AGGTGAAAGGATTTGGACTAACACAGTGGGGAGGAGAAAGTATGTGGTGACAGATACATAGCAGACAACCAGAAAGCACGGAGGGTTGCTTAAGAATCTAAACATGTTGCAGACATCAGGACTTAGTGGAAGTTTCAAGGGAGGATTTTTCAGGTTAAAACATAATTGCTTCTTCAGAGCTGTGATTCTTGGATCAAAAGTGAGAAGCGGGGACTGGGGAGAGGAGCTCTGCCCTTGTTTACCTTGGTAGCCAGTTCCAACCTCATCTGGATGGGGCGTGTGTCCCAGGAGGAAAAATGGCCACTTTAGTCCTGGGATGGAGTGTGCTGAAGAATCATGTGAACAGATTGTAAAAACCCAGGTTGGTGGGGCCCAAGGACGTACATTCTAACTAACTCCCAGGTGATGTTGCTGCTGGTCCAGGAACCACAGCTTGATAACCACTGATAGTCCTTCCTACTCCCTGTTGGTCTTTCCATTTTTAAGACATTTTATCTTTCCTGTTGCTGCATACATTGGAACCCATTGTGTAATTGATTTAACATCCCTAGTGAGCATCTTTGTGGAAAAATTGGTGAGAAACCTGTGGGTGATTTATATGAAAATATATTGTTTTTATAATGATCATATGATAATATGGCGCTTCACCAGCCTAGTGGAATGGATGTAAACATGCTCTTTCATTTTTCTTTTTTTCAAAATGCCATCAGCTTATTGGTCTAGTTGAGGATGACTTTATTTTTTTGTTTGTTTTTTATCGTTGACAGTGTCCCCTCTCCCCCCCTCCATCTCCCACTGCATGGAACATTCTTTCTTTCAATGAAGGATTTTTTTTCTCTTAAGTGTCTTAATCTCAGTGAATTGTATCCATCTCATGGCACAAAATTAGAAGTTCTCTTTCAAACCTAAACATTCTACCTAAGGAAAGCTGAGAAGAAAGCTAGGACAAATGTCATTCTCACCAAAGTTTAAAACAAACTTTGTAATTTTCTCACAGCCTGTCTTTCTTTCTTCACAGAGAGACTGGGCGGCTAGCCTGACCTAAAACATCAGTTAGTCAGCAACTCTGCAAAAAATTGTGTTTTTTCTGCCAAACCTTTAGCCACCACACCCATTGCTGGAACTTTCCCTGGTATTTTACCCCATTCAAATATGCTCTAAACGGGTCCTAACCAAGCTTGAAATATACCCCAAACTTGCTTCTGTTGGGTCTCTTTTTGTCCCTTACTCTATATGAATAGTAAGTGAATATTATTCCCAGGTTCTTATTTTTCTAAGACTATTCTAAACTTATTTTTAATTAAGTCATGAGAATAGGAAACCACTAGATTGAGGACTCCTACAAACAGAGCTGATCTTCTCTGTTCACATCACACAAGTAAGGGTTTTCTCAGGTTTGAACTCTGACCTTTAACCCAAACGGAATTCCTTTGTTGTGGTGGTTGTATTTTCTGGTACCTTTTCCTTCAGCAAGTCATTCAAAGAAGTATATATTAGTTATTTAGAATCCAGAAATCAATTTTCTATTATCTGGGAATCATTGGATGTTGAAGTTTTAATTTTCTAAATGGTTTTCTCCATCCAAAAGACCAAATTATAATCAGCATGTCTCTGAGTAAACAAAGAGTTAGAACAGAGGGACCTGGATATTCTGTCTTTTATTTTCGGACCTCAGATCTGAACTTGGATTATTCATTATCCTTGATTTGTGATGTATTGTCACTGTAAGTCCATGCATTTCCTCCTTTATATCAATTCATTTACTTATTTAGTTAATTTTTTAAAATACAATTTTATTTTTAATTTCTAACAAGCATCTTCATTCCTAGTTTTAAAAATTTGAGGTGAAATTTCCATATATTGAAATGCACACATCTTAAATGTATAGTTTGATGAATTTGACAAATGTATAAACTTGTGTAACTAACACTTCAATCAACATATTAAACAGGAAGTTCCCCAGTACCTCCTTTAATCATTTGCCACCTCCTTACAGATAACTATTGTTCTACTTTCTATCATCATAGATTGCCCGTTCTTGAATTTCATATAAAAGGAATCATACAGTACATAGTCATTTATGTCTGGCTTCTTTTGCTCAACATACTGTTGCATGTATCAACAGTTCAGTCTTTTTTATTGTGGAGTAATATTTCATTGTATTGGAATAACATTCCATTGCATTAAGTATGTGAGAACGCACAGGGGAAATCTTCCTCTCAGATGTGATTTTGAGGATATAGGACAATCTCTTTAAGAGCATAGTATTTTCTGACGCCCTTTTATTTAGCCTTTCTATTTTTGAAAATACTTTGACCCATTCATGACGATTGGCATAGTTTTATCAACACAGATGCTCACTCAGTTAGGCTGACTCTAAGATACCTCAGGCCATTGGCAAGTCTGAGTTTTAATATATATGGAAATTCTATTCTTAGTGTTAGTGCTTCACCACTTCAGGCTTCTGTTCTTATTCTTCTCTGTAATCCTTTAAAGCCCATTTGGAATTTATTGAGACTTATTTTGTGGCCTTGCGTACATGGCCCATCATGGTGAACATAACTTGGACTTGAAATGTATATTCTGCATTTAAGTGTTTTGTTCTATAAATTGAATTAGGTCAAGATGGTTACATTTTCACCACCCTAAAAAGTAATCCTGCCCTAACAGGTTTGGCTCAGTGGATAGAGTGTCGGTCCACAGACTGAAGGGTCCCGGGTTCAATTCTGGTCAAGGGCACATACCTTGGTTGCAGGCTAGATCCCCATCGGGGTATATGCAGGAGGCAACCAATGGATGTGTCTCTCTCACATCAATGTTTCTCTCTCTCTCTCTCTCTCTCTCTCTCTCTCTTTCTCTCACCCCCACACCCCTTCACTCTCTCTAAAGATCAATGGAAAATATCCTCGGGTGAGGATTAACAACAAAAGTAATTCTGTACGCTTTAGCTATCACCCACCTTTTCCATATTACATACATATTTATTATGTTTACTGTCTGTCCTCTCCTTACTGTTACATGTAGCGAATTATGTGATAAATATAGAGATCAAGAGTAAACATTTATAAGTTTTTTTAACAGTAAAATATTGTCATCATAGTTTTATGTTATTAAACAAAGGATTGGTCCCTAAAGAATTGGAAATGTTTTTAAAAAATTGGTTCTTTACTGCTTTGAAAATTATGGCATAGATTCTTATACCTCCATGCCATAGTATTTGAAAGGTTCTGGACAGAACAGAGAAGTAGATAATTACCTGTCATACTTAGAAGTGTTTCGTGCCCTACACAAATCATAGTTGCTAGCGAAGAAAATCAATCCTTGCTTTTATAAATTGGTGGGGCAGTGAGAGCTTTTTCATTGTGAGCATTACTTTGTTTTACTAGCATTTCCCATGTTTATTGCTGAGCTGACGTGTGTCCCTTTCTATATATCTCGTGATATCTAGAGTGCTTTGAAGTGCAACTTTTAAAATGAAGGTAATGCAAGCCACTTAATTATATGAAAGTAAAGGACTGAAGGCCGTTCAGCTTAATCCTTTATGTTCTCAGTTTTCACGTTTTAAGTTTTCCAGCCTGAAGTGTGATTATTAAATCTGTGCCCCACCTTGCTGGACTAGCTAAATGTGCGAGTAAGTTTTTGAGAGCTACCTAGGCTCATAACCTGGCTTGTTAACCACCTGAATTCTGGTCACTGTAAATGCACGCCTTAGGTATTTTCGTGCTGTAGCATTTCCACATCACATGGTAGAGATATTTTATACCTTCTGAGGTAAGTAAAGTTCTGGGAAACTCTTAGATGAAATCTATAAAAACTATAAAAACGAAGTAATATTTCACAATGATTAAATGGCATATTATTAAAATGAATGTACATAAGAACTGATCCAACAAGCTTTTTATCAGAACTGTGAATGTGTTTGTAAAAATAAAGTGGTGAGATCTGGCTGCCTGGAAACAAAGGGCAAAGGTTTCTATTAAACAGCATACCCTTCATTTCCCAGGTCTGTGTTACACCACAGTATCTGCAGAGTCGCAGAAGCCTTATTTAGGTGTATTGGGAACATTTGTATGCTACTTAGTCTGGCACCTGAAATGTGTTAATTAATATTGAAAACCACATAATTTGACTTTTTCCTGCTTTGACCAAATTTCTTGCAGGGCTAAGTTCAGTCAATTTTTTGAATAGGTAAAAGAGTGAGTAGACTGTGACAATTTCAGTATAAACCTATCTTTCAGATAGTCAGATAAGCAAATATAATATTGTTGGAAATCAGACCTAGGCTAAAAACCGGTCTTTGCTATATTTACTTGGCATGTTTCCTTGCAAAAATCAACAAACATCTTTGATTTCATTTGTAAAACGAAGATGAATGTATCCATTTTATAGGGTCGCTGTTATGATTAAGGATTGTGGATAATGTATGCAAATGTATAGGGACCACTGTAGACACTTAATGCATGGTAGCTATTGTTGCGTTAAAAAATAGCGGTCAATTTGTGTGTGTTTACTATATACGCACACAATGAGAACCATTTTCTTACACAAGTCTTATGGTAATCCTTATACAGAAAAAAGGGGGCAAAATTAAGAGAGTAGAGATTGGTTTGGGCTGGAATAGGGAGGGAGGAAGTTCTGGTCTACCCAGCATTCCTCAGGGCCCTGAGCAAGGCTCCATAGCCATGCCTGATAGCCCTCATGGAGACCTAGAGCTCTATAGAGTGCGGCATGGAAAGCATTCTTCTGGACTTTAAACACCTTGAGTGCAAGAACTGAGTCTTGTTTCATTAACTGATACAGGTATAGCATGTGGTCTCTCAGTATAGTAAGTGACGGTTGACCGCAGCTCGTTAAATGGTTCAATTAATTCAGGTCTACTACTTCAGAAATTCCCTCGATTTGCCTGCCAGGTGGAGTTATCATTTGAAGTTGAATTATCAAACCTGCCAGGAAGCATGAGTCATTTAAAGGATGTAATGATAACATCGTTATTTTTTCAGATCTAGGTTGGAATTTGCCCTTCACAAATAACAAAATGATGAGTGATGCAAGTGACATGTTGGCTGCGGCGCTGGAGCAGATGGATGGTATTATAGCAGGTAATGTGCATCCTCTAAAATATGGAATCATGCCATTTATTCTGCTCTCTTGGCTTTTGCATTACAGCTGTTTTATTACCTTTCCACTTTCTTATTTTCACTTATTGGCTCTCTCCAATGCCTTTAGGTTCCCCGTGGTTTCATCCTTGACCCTCCTTCCCATTTTCTTCCAGAATTTTTATTTTTTTCAAAAAATTTTCAGTTAGAGTTGACATTCAATATTATTTTATATTAGTTTCAGGTGTATAGCATAGTGGTCAGATGATTATGTAATTTATGAAGTGATCTGTCAGTAATTCTAGTAGTCACTTGGCACCATACCTAGTTATTACAATATTATTGACTATATTCCCTATACTATACTTTCCATCTCCATGACTATTTAGTAACTACCAATCTGTACTTAATCTCTTCACCTTTTTCACCCAATCCCCCTAATCCCCTCTCCTCTGGCAACCAGCAGTCTGTTCTCTGTATCTATGAGTCTGTTTCTGTTTTGTTTGTTGATTTATTATGTTCTTTAGAGTCCACATAGAAGTGGAGTCATATGGTATTGTTTTTCTCTTACTGACTTATTTTACTTAGCCTAATACCCTCTAGGTCAGTGATGGCGAACCTTTTGAGCTCGGCGTGTCAGCATTTTAAAAAACCCTAACTTAACTCTGGTGCCGTGTCACATATAGAAATTTTTTGATATTTGCAACCATAGTAAAACAAAGACTTATATATATATATTTTTAAATATATTTTATTGATTTTTTACAGAGAGGAAGGGAGAGAGAGAGAGAGTTAGAAACATCGATGAGAGAGAAACATCGATCAGCTGCCTCCTGCACATCTCCCACTGGGGATGTGCCCGCAACCCAGGTACATGCCCTTGACCGGAATCGAACCTGGGACCTTTCAGTCCGCAGGCCGACGCTCTATCCACTGAGCCAAACCAGTTTCGGCATATATTTTTGATATTTATTTTATATATTTAAATGACACTTAACAAAGAAAAATCAACCAAAAAAATGAGTTCGCGTGTCATAGGTTCGCCATCACTGCTCTAAGTCAATCCATATTGTCACAAATGGTGAAACTTCATTCTTTTTTTTATGGCTGAGTAATATTCTATTGTATAGATGTATCATATCTTCTTTATCCAATATCTATTGATGGGCACTTGGATTGCTTCCATATCTTGGCTATTGTAAATACTGCTGCAATGAACATAGGGGTATTAGTGTTGAATTTAATTAGTGTTTTGGATTTTTTTCAGATATATATATCAAGTAAGTGTAATTGATGGGTCATAAGGTAATTCTATTTTTAAGGAACCTCCATGCTGTTTTCCATAGTGGCTGCACCAATCTGCAATCCCACCAACAGTGTAGGAGGGTTTCCTTTCCTTCACATCCTCACCAACATTTGCTCATTGTTGATTTATAGATGATAGCAAATTCTGACAGGTGTGAGGTGGTATTTTATTGTGGTTTTAATTTAATTTCTCTGGTTCGTGACATTGAGCATGGTTTCATATGTCTATTGGTCATCTGTGTGTCCTCTTTGGAGAAGTGTCTATCATATCCTCTGCCCATTTTTTGAATTGGATAGTCTGTTTTTTTTTGGTGTTACGGCGTATGAGTTTTGGATATAAACCCCTTATCGGATTAATCATTGGCAAATATCTTTTTCCATTCAGTAGATTTTATTTTCATTTGTTATTTGTTTTGTTTCTTTTGCTGTGAGTTCCATTTGTTTATTTTTTTTTCTTTTGTTTCCCAAGGAGATATATCAGAAAAAAAAAATATTACTAAGAACAATGTCAGAGAGTTCACTGCCTAAGTTTTCTGGTTATTTGGGTCCTCTCTTTTTTCTTAATGAGTATTGTTAAAGGTTTTCAAAGAACCAGCTCTTGGTTTCATTAATCTTTTGTATTTTTTTTTAGGCTCTATTTTGTTTATTTCCACTCTGATTTTTACTATTTCCTTCCTTCTATTCACTTTGGGTTCTGTTTGTTACTGTTTTTCTAGTTCCTTTAGGTGTAAGGTTAGGTTGTTTATATGTGATTTGTCTTGTTTCTTTGTGTGTTTTTTTTTATTTGAATCTCAGAAAAACAACAAATAATTTGTTAGTATATTTGTTCCCAGTATTATATAGGATTACTTAATACTACAAAAGTATTCATTTTTAAAATTTTAAATCATTTTTTATTTATCAATTACAGTTGACATAGATTTTAATATTAGTTTCAGGTGTAAACCCCAGTGATTAGATATTACATAACTTACTAAGTGATCATCCCGATAAATCTTGCACCCATCTGACACTGTGCATAGTTGTTAGAATATTATTGACTGTATTCCCTATGCTGTACTTTACATCCCCATGACTATTCTCTAACAACCAATTTGTACTTCTTAATCCCTTCACTTTTTTCACCCATTCCCCAACCCCCTTCCCATCTGGCAGCCATCAAAATGTTCTCTATATCTGTGAATCTGTTTCTGTTCTGCTGATCTGTTTATTTTGTGTGTGTGTGTTTTAGAGTCAATTTATTGATAGATATATATTGCCATTTTATTGTTCATATTTTTTATCTTTTTTTATTTTTATTTTCTAAAGAAGACCTTTAACATTTCATATAATACTGATTTGGTGGTGATGAACTCTGTTAGCTTTTTCTTGTCTGGGAATCTATCACACTTTCAATTTTAAATGATAGTCTTTCTGTGTAAAGTAGTCTGGTTGTAGGTTCTTACTTTTCACCACTTTGAATATTTTGAGCCAACTCCTTTTGGCATGCCATGTTTTTGTTGAGAAATTGTCTGACAGTCAATTTCTGGGAGCTCCCTTGTAGGTAACTCTCTTTGCTGCTTTTAAAATTCTGTCTTTGTCTTTAATATTTGCCATTTTAATTATGATGAGTCTTGGTATGTGCCTCTTTCATTTCATCTTGTTTGGGACTCTCTGCTTCCTCAATTTGTATGTCTATTTTCCTCTTTAGATTAGGGAAGTTTTTAGTAATTTTTTCAATTAGGGTCTCAATTTTTTGCTCTTTCTCTCTGCCTTCTGGTACCCTTATGATGCAAATGTTTTTAAGCTTGACATTGCCCCAGAGGTACCTTAAATATCTTCATTTGGGTGGGTGTTTTTTACTACCTTCACTTCCAGATCACTTATTTGATCCTCTGCTCCACCTAATCTGCTGTTGATTCCTTCTAGTGAATTCTTCATTTCTGACTGGTTCTTTTCTGTGGTTTCTATGTTCTTTTTTATGCTTACTCTCTTTGTAGAAGTTCTCACTAAGTTCCTTGAGCATCCTTAAAACCAGTGTTTTAACCTCTGTATGTGGTAGATTGCTTGCCTCTATTTCATTTATTTTCTGAAGATTTCCCTTGTTCTTTTCTTTGGGACATGTTTCTTAGTCTCCCCATTTCCGCTGTCTCTTTGTGTTTGTTTCTATGTATTATATACATCTGCTACATCTTCCAGTCTTCGTGGGGTGGCCTTATGTAGTATGTGTTCTGCAATTAGACAGTCTCCCTTATCACCTGAGCCAGGTGTTCCAGGAATATCCCTTGTGTGGGTTGTATGTGCCTTCCTGTTGTAGTTGAGACTTAATTGCCATTGAGACTTCAGTAGGTGCAATTGGCTCTCAGGTTTACTGGCAGGAAGATTGGCCATGACCACAGTGTACATGCTGCTGTGCAGTGTTGATCCCAGGGAGCGGGATTTGCCCTAGTGGCGTCTAATGCCTGCTGACTGCTCTTTGGGCATGCCACCTGTGCAGCTAATCTGGTAGTCTGAAGCTAGCCACTAGGTGTGCTCTGTGTTTGTTCCAAGGTTTCTTGTGAGGGTCTCCAGTGCGGGTCAATGTTAGACACTGCCTGTAATTGGTCCGGGGCTACCTGTGGTTGGTGGCTGTCTATATTGGGTCTGGATGCACATGCAAGATGTCACACTGTTAACCAAGACCAGCTGCCACCAGTATTGGGTCTAGGGCAGGTCAGCAAAAGGTCCAAGGCACCCTGAGACCTGCAGCTGCCTGCCAGCTACCTTTAAGGCTCAGCTGCTGAAAGAACTTTCAGTGATATGTAAGTTTGGTGAGGCAGGGTCTCAGGGAGTCACCAGGGTGGGGCCAGTGGTGTGTTCTCCAAGTTAATACAGATTCATATTTGGCACCAGTGCTGACCATGAGGACACTCAGCAAAAGTCTCAATGGGGCTAGCCACCATCTGCCTGAGGCCTGTGGACCTTTGTGAGTGGTGGGGGTGGGGGTGGCTCTCAGGAAGTCACCAGGGTGGAGCTGGTGGAGTTCACCAGTCTAATACAGATTCAGATTTGGCCAAGTGAGGGGAGGACTCAACACAGGGACAATGGTAGCTGTCCTTCAGCCCTTTCCCTAAAACCACACAACTCACTTTCTCTCTGTATGTCTCTGGCACCCCTGGAGCGTGATAAGAATTCCTTGAGAGTTTTAAAAGAAAGACTGCCATGCGGACTCAGGGTGGCTGCTGTTGAAAGAGCCTCAGGGCTTGTGCAAGTTGGGCAGGGCAAGGTCTCAGGGAGTTGTCAGGGTGGAACGAGTGGACTTCACCAGGTTAATGCAGATACAGATTTGGCCTCATGGGAGGAGGACTCAACACAGGGACAGTGGCGGCAGTGCCACACAACTCAGTTTCTCCCTGTATTTCTCTGGAGGCCCTCCAAGCTGCTGTCTCGCCACCAGAGCCCAAGGTGAGTGCCTGCCAACAAGAATTTTTTTGCGTGGGTGGGCCCTTTAAGAAGATGCCTGTGTTTCTAACACCCTTCCGTCTCACCCAGTTGTTAAGTGGGCTCCTCTTCCCAGCACTGGTGTTTCATGCTGGGAAGCCTGATGTGGAGCTGAGACCCCTCCCTCCTCAGGGAGTACCTCTGCAGCTGAAATATCACTCTGGATTTTCAACCGCCGCCTGTGGGTGTCCAGCCAGCCTGTTCCACATCTCCGCCCCTCCTATCAGTCTCAATGTGGTTGCTTCTTTATATCCTTCAGGGATAGGGCTTCTGTTCAGCCAGTTTTCAGGTGGTTGTCCAGGTTGGTTGTTCTATAATTTCATTGTAATTTTATGTGGTCATGGGAGGAGGTGAGTGCACTGTCCACCTACCTACCATCCTGTTGATTGGAACTCCTCCTGGGTTAGTATTATGTTTAGGTTAGAATTTGGTTCAGGGTTTAAGATAAGGGTTAGTTTTAGTGTTCGTGGTGAGTTCAGTATTAGATAGGTGGGGTTGATGTTATTTGATTAGGGTTAGGCTTAGGTTTAAAGGGAGGATTAGGATTACCGTTTAGAATTAGGGTTAAGGTTAAGGTAAAATGTTTGTGTTTATTTCAGTATTATGGTTAGGGGGAGGATTTATGTTAGGTGTGGGGGGACCTCGGCAGCTGAGATATCCCTCCAGATTCTTAATCTCCACATGTGAGGAGGTAAATACAGCAGATACCTACTCTGCCATCTTGACCAGACCCCCTTTCCAGAAGTATTCTTTTATTTTTTTAATATATTTTAGTGATTTTTTATAGAGAGGAAGGGAGAGGGATAGAGTTAGAAACATCAATGAGAGAGAAACATACATCAGCTGCCTCTTGCACACTCCCTACTGGGTATGTGCCCGCAACCAAGGTACATGCCCTTGACCGGAATCAAACCTGGGACCCTTGAGTCCGCAGGCCGACGCTCTATCCACTGAGCCAAACCAGTCAAGGCCAGAAGTATTCTTAAATTTTACTTTAAGATATCAAAAATTCCGATAGCATCTTGGGATTCTGATCAAGGTTCCTGATAGTCTGTGGACCACACTTTGAAGGATACTGCTCTTCCCAGTATCCATGAGTGTTCTGATCTGTTTTCTTGAATTTAACATTCACTTTTCACCAGTGACTCACACCTACTTACTTTCCCAATTCTTTTATTATGCTTCATGTCTCTCTCTCTTACTGCCAGTAAGGTATTTCCCCTGAAATATCCCATAGACACATCAATGTCATTTTTTTAAAAAAATGAGCCATTATATTTCCTCAGAAACCTCTCTAGCAGTCTTTGGCTAATTCCATAGCCCTTCATCTCAGCTTTACAAGGTTCCTGTGGAAATTGATAAGAGAGGGTTATGTGAAGCATTTAGCACAGTGCTTAGCGTATCGATGTCAACCGTTGTTATAGTTTGGCAGATTTGAGTCCAGATCATCTGTCCAGTATTAGGAGGCTCAGTGGAATGGACTAGTAGAGACTCTCCCCCGTTGTTAGAATTGATCAAGCCAGACAGCCAACTGGAGAGATAGCTAACACGTTGGTTCTCAAGTATCATCCAGTTGTAAGATTTTCAGATTTATGAGGTGATAGCCTAAATATTGTAATTATTGATATTTAAGTGTGAAGTTTGTATTTATATTTGACAGTATGTTTATTTAACAGACTAGAACATAAAAACCAAAGAGATGAAGAGGTCTATACGAGTGCTTTCAGAATGGGCTGTGGGTCAGATGTGTGGGTTTAAATAGCAGAATGTTTTTCTCTTATAAGTAATTGAAAACAACAATGGCTGTAAAATTATTTTTTAAAGCTAATTTTAGCAAGAGCATTTGATGTGAGGCTGCAAACAAAATCATGGCGGAATTGTTGCTACACACTTGCTCACACATCCACATACAAATATACGTGTAATTCATTGCACTTCTTCAGAGATTAAGTTCTGGCAAGTTACCTGGGAGCTGGCCCTCTTCCTTTGAAATAATACCACGCAATTTCCACCTCAGCGTGTAGCTTATTTATAGGAAATGAAATCCTTTATGGTCCCTAAAATTCATTCGTGTTTTTTGTAATACATGGCTCCACGTGAACTGATCTGCTACCTTCTTAACCCCTGTGTCTGTGAGGTTAGCACCTCCTACACCGAAGCCCACCATACTCTTACGGTACCACACCGTTGGTGGCCCACCTGTTAGATATTTGACCATTGATATTCACCATCAGTTATATGGTTTTGATTTTTGCACCAAATAACTATGCCTTTGAGAGATTTACATGATCAAATTATCTATTCCTTCTTTTTTTTCCTTTTTACTGAATTTATTGGGGTGACACTGGTTAACAAAATTATACAGGTGTCAGGTGCACAATTCTACAACCCATTATCTGTACACCATGCTGTGTGTTCACCACCCCAAGTCAAGTTTCTGTCCATCGCCATTTATCACCCCAATACCCCCCCCTCCATTTCTCACCTCCCCCTGACAATCACCACACTGTTGTTTGTATCCATGAGGTTTTTTCTTTTTTTCTTTTCTTGTTGCTCAATCCCTCCATACGTCCCCCCACCCCCGGTGACTGGACTGCTGGATTTGCTTGCCACCTTCAGCTTTGGTGTCTTGTCTAATATAAATCCTGTGGCTTTCTTTGATTTTTTTAAACCTAGGTTCTAAGGCCCTGGAATATTCCAATGGGATTTTTGATTGCCAGTCCCCCACCTCCCCGTTCATGGGAAGCTTGCGAGCCCTGCACCTGGTGGAAGACCTGCGTGGACTGTTAGAGATGATGGAAACAGATGAGAAGGAAGGCCTGAGATGTCAGATCCCAGATTCAACCGCAGAAACGCTCATCGAATGGCTTCAGAGTCAAATGGTAGATTCCTTCATGTTGCACCTCCCATGCTCTGAATCTTCTGTTGCTTATTCCGAAATTTAGAACATAGAATAGCCAATTAGAGCAAGAAGAAAAAATATATAAGGCAACACAAGTTTTCCCTAAAGAGCTCCCAGTTCCCTTTTGACTCTAAGGGTTATTTTTACAAAGGGCTCTTTATGTACATTTCTTGGGGGCCCAGCAAGTCACCTGATGATTCTCATAAAAGTGGACTAGCCTTTAGATTGTGAACGAATGACCTACTGTGGCTTCGAGCAAATAGTCCTATAAGAGAAGGAACCTTGCACATCATAGATGCTTAGCAGTACTATTGGGTGGTTCACTGTAAAAGGACTCAATGGCAATTCTAAATAGGCAGACTCTCAAAGAGCAAGAGGTTTGTAGCAGTCTTTGATATGAAGTGCCATCTAGTGGCTTGTGGTGGTCATTTCAATTCCAGTGTACAAGTTACTAGTAAGCTGCATTGTTGGGCTTTTAAACGATATTCGTATTCACTGATCAGTGAGGACTCTTTCTAGACATCCTTCTCAAAAATTCATGACATGGCCCATCTGCTCTTTCCCTGAACACAATGGTAGATACCATGGTTTTAATACGCGTCAAACACATAAAATCTAAAGGATATCACAAACACAGATTCAAAGGAAAAGATAGGAAGGGTGTTATTTTGTAAGTATTTAAAGAATACTCAGTTTTCAGGAATTTACATTAATGTGCTTATGGGTTAATTGTGTTAGTATAAAAGCTAATGATCATTGTATGTAAGAATTGAGATATATTTTTGGTTCTGTTTGCTGTTACCTTAATACTACATCCTGCAGCTAAAACATGTTCACATGATATGACACATGATGTCTCCCCAGCCAGTCCCATGACGAGTGTTCTTGTGTTACCAGCCAACATGCCTCCCATTTCTGACAGTTTTTAAGTGGTGGTGCAGCTACACAAACTTGACAGTTGGAGATATTTTATTTTTTTTATAATACATGATACCTTATTATTATACTTTTTTCTTTTTGGTTAATCCTCACCCGAGGATATTTTTCCATTGAGCTTTTTTAGAGAGAGTGGAAGAGAGAGGGAAAGACAGAGAGAGACATCGATGTGAGAAAAACACATTGATTGGTTGCCTCCTGCACGCGTCCCGACCAGGGCCCAGGCCGGGGAAAAGCCTGCAACCAAGGTATGTGCCCTTGACCGGACTCAAACCTGGGACTCTTCAGTCCTCAGGCCGACACTCTATCCAATGAGCCAAACCAGCTAGAGCCTTATTGTTATACTTTATTATTTGCTCTGCAAGTTTATTCTCTATAGATTGAAGTATCCAGGTTTTCTGATTCCGTTGGGGAATTGCTTCATGCTCTAAAATTAGATGTTTTTTAGCTGTTCCCTAGGCTATTTCTTCTTCCTCTCTCACCCCCTTTTTACTCCACATTTTTCTGATAATTCATCACCTAATGGGAAAGGAATTTACTATTGGCAGCAGAACCTATTCCTGGCACATCCAGAGGCTGCCGATGGCAGCCATAGCTCAAGGGTACCTGCAATTGAATTTTTAACTTGTGTTCAAAAACAAGTGTTGTCTAAAACAAAATTGTATGCCCCAAAAACATTTCCATTCACACATGCTCCATCTGTTCTGTTAAAGTCTTTCTGGAAAAGAGTAAAGAGGATAATGATGATATCTGAATATAAATCAGATCGTGTCCTTCACTTCTTTCTCAGAAACTTCCCAGTGGTAGTCACTTCGCACTCAGAGGAAAAGCCAGATGCTAACTCTGGATTGCAAGGCCTTCTAGGCATTTCTCCTCATTATTCTTTGACCTTATGTGTCATTATACTTCTCTTTCACTTCACTCTAGGCACACTGGCTCCTTCACTGATTCTCAAACAGTCTCACTGGTTCTGAGACGCACTGGGCAAACTGGCCTCAGGGCCTTTGCACTAGCTGTTCACTCTGCTGGGAAAGCTCTTTCCCCAGATATCTGTATGGTTAGTTTTCTCATAGTCTCTGATATTGAAAGTTGTGTTCTTGGTGAGGCCTTCCCTGGACAGCCTATCTAAAATTTTACATATTCATTCCTGTTATTACATCTCACTGCTTTTTATTTTCTTAGCACTTACCACTTTCTTACATACTATGGATTTGCCATGTTTATATCATTTTTTTTCGGTCTATCCAACTGGAATGTAAATATCAAGAATCTGAGAATTTTGCCTTGGAGCTAGGTTACAAATTACTCATACATAGTTCACTTTTTTAAAAAGTATATATTTTTATTGATTTCAGAGAGGAAGGGAGAGGGAGAGAGAGATAGAAACATCAATGATAACAGAGATTCATTGATCGGCTGCCTCCTGCACACCCCCCACTACTGGGGATCCAGCCGTGACCTCCTGGTTCATAGGTCAATGCTCAACCTTTGAGCCATGCTGGCTGAGCCATAGTTCACTTTTTGACAAAAGAGTACAGGCATTTGTCAGACTGTGAAGAAGTTTCCATAATAATTTAGAAAAATTTATTAACACTCGTTACATAATTAAGATTTAATGATGACCAACTTGACAGTCCATTACTTAAGGCTGATACTAATGTTCTCATTAATGCAACTGGGTATTATAGTTCTTATTATTATTTTGCCTGGGCCAGAGAGATCCCCTGGTTTACTGTAGGATGCAGGCCCATTTAATGGTTTTATAGGATCAGAAGCTGGATAAGAAAAAAGAAAATAGTAACACTAGCTGCCTGTTATAGTGAAGGGATAGTAAATCTACAAGAATGAATTTGTGTTAATAGAGTACCTATAGCTTTAACCTTCTAGGAATGAATAGGTATTTTTTACGATTTAAAAGTTTAACACAAATATTTAACAATGCTTTAGCAAACTCCAAGTCCAAGAGGGCAAATAGGAAAACATGTCTGTTTGAGCCAAGCAAGTGGTTTTTGCTTACTTTAGGTCTAACATGACGAGTTGCTCTAGTGCCTTTTTTTCAATAAATGAAGCTGAGAGTTTCCTGACCTGGATCAGGTCAAGAAGTCCCCAAAGTGTCTGGTTATTTGGCAGTTTTAGTTATGAGGCAATCTCAAAATCTGCAGAAAGTACAAAAATGCAATTTTCAACAGAGCAAGTAAAAATGCTGATGGTAAGAACTTCAGACCAGGCATCATAACCCGGGAGATACGTAGAGTAAAAGTGGGGGAAATGAAGAGTCCTTATTGCCCTGCCATGTTATTTCCTCTTTTGAACTGCATGAGAAATGGAGGAGGGGAAAATAAGCGGGCCGTATGCAAGACTGACCCAGTCGGAGGTGCTGTGGTACACAGGGGCCCTCGCACTTGGAAGGGATGCTCCACTGGCCCGAAGGCAGCGTTTGTTGCCCGGAGGCGATGATTTACAGCACCAGGGTAGAGCCTCACTGCCCTCCGGGAGAGGACAGGGGCAGAGCAGGGCCTCTGCCTGGGGCTTGATTTCCACCGTTGCTGTCCTGTCCTCTGACTCTGGACAGCAGAGCAGGAGATGCTTTATCGGGTTGGTCACAAATGAAATGTGACGGCGATATTCATGGTTGAAGGATTCAAGTCTTATCTCCATCTCCCCTCCTAGTACAGTGTTTAGTGGAGAGCAGGCAATAAATGATTGCATGCAGTGGTGGAGATCTAGTACTGATTAGGACACGAGAGACCCTGGTGTTAGGTACTCCTTTTGGTAGCTAGGGATAATGTTTAATTAAAGGAGCTTTAGTGGACGGAGCCTTCCTTTTCCCCTCTCGATACTGAATTTTAAAAACTAGAATCATGAAATCAAGAGTGTATTGGTGTCGAGTACATGATTTTCTAACCAGTATGCTGTACATCTGCAATTAATACAGAATAAAGCTGAACGTAAACTGTAATTGAAAATAAAAAAAATAAAAACTTTAAAAGATAGCAAATGGAATGAAAGAATATATTCATAATAAAACTACACAGTGTTGACGTAAAAACTAGATTATAAAACCTCTATCTTACAGTACTGCATAGTTCAGAGTGTAGGATTTGGAGTCAGACCACTACATTGTGAAATCTGTGTACCTAATAGGGTTATGAGGATGAGAGGAGATAATCTATGTAAACCATTTAGAACATTGGCCTGGGTTATTAAACTCTTAAGCACTTAAAAAAAGTGTGCTGGCAGAGAGACACACATGTAGCCAGCTCTAGCCTAGTCCATTCGTGTGACGCCTGCTGAAATGGAGATACATCCAGATGCTGTAACTGGCACGTGAGTGAGCACGTAATGCGAGGAAGACTTCACACAGCAAGCCCCAGGGGAGGTGGACCATAAGGGAGGAGGAAAGAGGAAGAAAGGGTGGGAAATACGGTCCATGCAGAAGGGAGACAGTCAGTGTGTGAGAGAGCATTCTGTGTTCGGGGAGGTTTTGAGTGGTCTGGTAGGTGGAGCACAGGAGTTGGAAAAAGAACAGAGGCAGCAGGGTATTTGCCTAATGGAATTTATCTCTCTCTAACATTTTTAAGGCAAAGGTAACAAAATTGGGAGAAATATAAATAAGGGTGTGACTAGGAGAGACCTTGACCTACTTGAGTAAGTCAACACAGTGTTTTAAAAGTATATAACTAGTCCAGTGGTAGCTCTTAACTTTGGCTTAATGTTCCTATAGTGACTTTTCGTGTGTTTGTGTTTTTGTTTTTTAAATATATTTTTATTGATTTCAGAGAGGAAGGGAAAGGGAGAGAGAGATAGAAGCATCAGTGATGAAAGAGAACCATTGATCAGCTAACAAGCTGCCTCCTGCACACTCCCTACCAGGGATTGAGTCTGCAACTGGGATATGGGCCCTGACCTCCTGGTTCATAGGTCGACACTCAACCACTGAGCCACACCAGCCAGGCTAACTTTTCATGTTTTTTTTTTAAAAAACTAATATCCCCCTGGGCGTTATGAGCGCTTGTAAATATTAATAGTGTTGAGACACGTGAGCATTCTCATTGTGAGCCAATTTTTAGTATTTGTTGTTCTCTTAGGATAATTCTGTAGGACTGGTTTTGGAACATTTTCTATTTCCATATCATATGCAGTAGCTTCATAAAACACTTCTAGAACTTGCTATGAAATACTTGTAATCGTGCTGTAATTTTCTTCAGGCAGAAGGAAGACGACTTTTGCTTTGTACCCTCCCTGAGCAGAAAGCTTTTTTCCCTACTTAATTAAATGTATTTATTTATAAAACATTGCCTGTGTGGGAATCGAAAAGCAGGTGCCTGCTAATATCCTTAATTAAAATGAGGATTTAAAGCTGTGGTGGGCCCATCTCAGCACTTGCTTAGATGGAGAACATGCATGATGCATCCTGGCTTTTTTCCAAAAAGCTGTCCTCGGGAAGCTACATAAATTTCACTTCATGGTAGTCCCCAGGGATGGAAGTCGTCCAGGCCCCTCCATCAGGCTCCTCATAATACTTGTCACTTAATTCTGGGCACTTCAGTTTACAACATGAACAGAATTATGCTGAGGTGATGGTGCAGGTATGTGACCAAGCAGCTGATGTTAAATTAAACATTTTATTAATTCTAAATATACATCGCACACTTACTAAATTTGTTTCTGATTTTTTGTGTGTGGCCTCATGGGAAGTGTATCCAGTGTGCATAGTTTTTAGAAGAAATATCCTAAAATTTTCTTTTTTGTTAAAGCTCCTTTTTGTGTTGTGTGTTTTTTTTCAACCTATAACTTGAGTTATTCCCAGAATTTATACTGGAAACTGCATGACTACCAGTTAATTCTGGAAAAATAATAGATGTCACATCAGATAGGAGCTGGGTGGTAAGGAGGTACAGTTTATATCTACTCTGGTTGTAACTCGGAAGTTGTTATTTGCTGTTTTGATTGAACTCTGGATGGCTTCGTCTAACCATTTTGGACTCCACTGGCTTTTATTTCTGTTGTATTTGAAAGAGGAACTAGGACATTCTATTGGGATTACATATTATATGGCTGTGAACTGTGTAAGTGAGATAACAAGGGACATAGCACATACACGACTATGTTTCAAAATGACATTTTTATGTTGTCTGCTCTCTGTCAGCCTTTTCATGTGTTTCCGTAAAGGCTTGCATCTGTAAGATGATTGAGAAAAAAAACCTCACTTGCTCTCCCAATCCGTACTTTAGCATGTAGACCATGCAGGAATATGCCCAGGTCTGATAAAGAGCGTGGGGAGGGCCCTAGCCTGTTTGGCTCAGTGGATAGAGTGTCAGCCTACGGACTGAAGGGTCCCAGGTTTGATTCCGGCCAAGGGCACATGCCTGGGTTGCGGGCTCCATCCCCAGTGTGGGGCATGCAGGAGGCAGCCAATCAGTTTCTATCTCTCTCTCCCTCTCTCTTCCTCTCTGAAATCAATAAAAATATATTTTTAAAAAAAGTGGCGGGGAGGGGTTTGCAGGGAGAAAAAAGAATGAGCAGTGGTCTAAGCCAGTGGTTCTCCACCTTCTGGCCCTTTAAATACAGTTAGTTCCTCATGTTGTGACCCAACCATAAAAGTATTTTCGTTGCTACTTCATAACTGTAATGTTGCTGCTGTTATGAATCATAACGTAAATATCTGATATGAGGATGGTCTTAGGCGACCCCTGTGAAAGGGTCGTTCGACCGCCAAAGGGGTCTCGACCCACAGGTTGAGAACCGCTGGCCCTGGGCCAGGTGCTATGGAGGTTACAACATGATGCCTTGTATAGGCTCTGCCCTGGAGCTTGCATAGCGTTATATGAACAAGCAAGCTCGCGAGAAGTTAGGGAATTCAGGAAGGAAAATGCTAAATCTCCAGTGAGCTCGGCTGGTCAGGGCTGCTGGGGACAGGGGGGTGTGGGGGGGTGTGGTAGTGTCTTACATACTGAGAGTTTAGGTTCTGGGGGAGAGAGAAAGGCTTCAAAGAGGAAGGAGAGGTTTGCCCTGTGATTTGGAGACTTGAGTAGCAGGAAGAAGCCTGTAAGTTACCCCTGTTGTCTCCCATTTAAGGGGAGGCATGTGCAGTCCTGCATTTGGGACTTAGCGGGGAGAAGGGAGGAAGGAGAGGGCATCCCAGGTCACTCCCACTGTCTCCACTCAGAATTATGGCATTGAGCATGCGGGGGAAATAGAAGTTTGATGCCCGACCACACACTCGCAAAGCTTCGTGTGCCCCAGGTGTGCCCCCACTTGACAGTGAATGTTCCTTTTAGCCACTGTTCCTTTTAGATCATTATTTTCTGCTTGATGAGAAGTTGTGTGGTTTGGTAAAAACATGCCTAACGTGCCTATCTTACCTATTTTGAGGTCAATGAACCAAGTTTTATTCTTGTATTTTCTATTCATGGCTGTCAATCACAGCTGTGCTAAATTCAGTTCAGGTTCCTTGAATTAAAGACAGATGCAAATTTTTTATTTACCCACAGCAGTTCAAACGGAAAGAGGGCCAGACTCACCCTAGTTACTTCCTTTTCAGACAAATGGACACCTACCCGGGAACGGAGATGTGTACCAAGAAAGGCTAGCGCGGTTGGAAAATGATAAAGAATCCCTCGTCCTTCAGGCAAGTGATTTTTTAAATGCTGTTCGTTCCTCATGACATATTTACAAACATTTAAAACTGGGATGGCAAATTCAGGCGCTTACAGGAGCCAGATTGCTAAGTACTGGTAAATGCTGCAGGCCATCTGTACTCAGTAGGGAGCGGTGAGGACTGTGGCAGAACCAGGGTGTGCATACCCTGTCTAGCATGAGCAGCCCTTAATCCAACACACCAACACACCCTTCCAGGGCCAGTCTGATGACCAGCACAGTCATCTGATCTGATTTTTTAATATATACTAGAAATTCTGGTTTGATACTATATATATATATATATATATATATATATATATATATATGTATATATGCACACACACACATATATACTGTATATACATAACATGGACTCTGAATAAGTACTTCTGAGTATATATTTAATATTTATATATTTATGTATATTTATTATTTCAGTTTTAAAAAATGATACCATGGGCCAAACAAAGTGAGTGGTGAAGTCCTATTTGTAGGCTAAATTTGAGTTTTCTTGTTCAGAATGTTATTTTTTCCATATATATATATATATATATATATATATATATATTATTAAAGTATAGTTGACATACAATATTATATTAGTGTCAGGTGTACAACATAATGATTCAATATTTATACACTTATGAAGTGATCACTACGATGTCCAGTAACCATCTGTTACCATACAGTGTTATTACTGTATCACTGACTATATTCCCTATGCTGTACATTTGCAGTCCGTGATTGATCTGTTTTATAACGAAAAATTGTAATCCCCTTCACCTTTTCACTCATCCCCTTAACCTTTCTCCCCTCTGGCAACTATGAGTTTGTTCTCTGTACCTATGAGTTTGTTCCTGTTTTGTTTTGATAGATTCTACATATAAGTGAAATCAAATCATATTTTGTCTTTCTCTGACTTACCTCGCTTGGTATAATGCCCTCTAAGTCCATCCATGTTGTTTTAAATAGTTGACAAATACTTTTAGCAGCCTAGTGTGTTTACTAGGTTGGTGCTCATTGTGGGGAAACGGTGAGTTTGCAGTAAGCACTGAGGATGAAGGACTAACCCGATGGCTCCTCCTGGCTTTGAAAACATGTGGATAATGTGATCATGAAAGATCTCATGGAATTTGAATTCTCTGGTTTATTTTCTTTATTCCTCCTAAAGTATCAAACTTGAATAGTCCTTGATAACTCTCCTCCAAAAGTTAACTCCATTTTCTCACTTAATCTCTAATACTACCTCCTACCCTCAGCTCACCCCAACACCCCTAAATGCTGATCTGTGTGCGTGCTCCCTCTCATAAATGGTTGAAATGGTTTTAACCTATAAAGCATTGTACACCCCCGGTGAGCCCGACCTTTCTTAAGTATTGAATAGGAGTCCTCAGGTCAACAAGCACCACATATAGAGGAGTGTGAAGGGCTACATATAGAGGAGTGTGAAGGGCTGCTGTCATTAATTCTCGGGTGGTGACAGCATTCCAGTTTTTGTTCTATTTAGAGAAATAAAGTTTGCAGTGGGACCCAAATTCTTCCTAATCCATTGAGATGTTTTGCTCTAAATACAGGTAAGTGTGTTGACAGACCAGGTGGAGGCGCAGGGAGAGAAGATTCGAGATTTGGAGTTTTGTCTTGAAGAGCACAGAGAGAAGTTGAACGCCACAGAGGAAATGCTGCAGCAGGTGTGTACGAAGCTGGCCCCCAGCGGGATTTTCCTGCTGAATTGTTTGAGATGTTCCATTGTTGCGTTTGCTCTGATGGAGCAGTACATTTCGTAGTTCACTTACACTGGCATATTTTAAGTAAAAACCTAGGGTAGCAGGCTCTTAAAATACATACACACAATAAAAATGTGCTCATGTAACTAGAATCTGAAATAAAATATTACTAGAATTACAGGTAATTTTAATTATCTTCCTTATGCTTTCATATGGTTTCCTAACTCCCAACCATGAGCATATTTATGTGATTAAGAAAAAAGATAAATACCACATATGGCCTTTATTAGAAAAAATTTGTACCCAGACATACATGATGTTCATATATGAGAGGACCTATAATATAATGGGTAGAATACACACTGGAGCAAGGCTGCTTAGTTTTGAGTCCCTGCTCTGCCATTTCCATGCTGTGTGACTTTGGGCAAATTTTTAACCTCTCTGTTCCTCAGCTTCCTCATCTGTTGAGTTCCTCATCATGCATTATCCTCATGACTTTCTACCTCATAAGGTTGTTTTGAGGCTCAGACCACTAAGTACATGTCAGAACAGTGCCTAGCACATGGCACACATAACATCATCATCATCATCATCAGTGTTATCAGGCTTCATACTGTATATAAGGTTTATATATGTGTGTATCTACGTAATTTATCTCCCCAATAAGCAGACGTGTTTAGTGCTGCTCAATGAAGGTTAACTAAATTGTATCTACTTAGTAAGTACTCATCAAATCCTCTATTTGACAGTTACTGCTTTGCAGGCAAGAGTGAGACACGTCCACATGTGGCTGCTTGTAATGAAACAACTTTTTAATGTATCTCTTAAATTCTAATAGGAGCTTCTGAGTAGGACATCCTTGGAAACTCAGAAGCTGGATCTGATGGCCGAGATATCTAACTTGAAGTTAAAGCTGACGGCTGTCGAGAAAGACAGATTGGATTATGAAGACAGGTTCAGAGACACAGAGGTAAGCAGCACCCTCTCTCTTTACGTACATATACATACATGTGCGTACATATACATACATATGCGTATATATGTATATATCACACACATATTCCTAGAGCAAGTTGAAATTCCTTGGAGGTGTGAGGGAGAGGCAGTTAATTACATGTGCCCTCATTCATCTACGTTGCTTTTCTTTTTTTAATCTTAATTGTTGAAGGTATTACATATGTCCCTTTTTCCTCTCATTGTCCTCTTCCCCGCCCCCCCTCCCCGAAAACCTTCACCACCCACTGCCTGTGTGTCCTTGGGTTATGCATATACGCATATGAGTTCATTGGTGGATCAATCTATGCTTCTTTTTAAGAATAATCTTTAATTAAGTTGATTTTTTATCATTAAATGCTAATGGCAGTTTTTATTTTCAGACATTTTAAAAAACATATTGTTACTGATTTCAGAGAGGAAGGGAGAGGGAAAGAGACAGAGAAACATCAATGATGAGAGAGAATCATTGGTCAGCTGCCTCCTGCATGCCCCACACTGGAGATCGAGCCCGCAACCCAGGCATGTGCCCTGACTGGGAATGGAACTATGACCTCCTGGTTCATAGGTCAACACTCAGCCACTGAACCACGCTGGCCGGGCTGTTTTTAGACTTTTGATATGAAATAGTAATCCTTTCATTAGCCTTTAGAAGTACTTGTGACTTTAGGCTTTCGGGGCTTATATCTTTCTGTTTGTCTGTCCATTCTCTGTCCATTTGTACTGGTTTTTTTCATTGTGGAAATTATGGGTTTAAGTGTATGATTTTACTGTTTATTTAGCTATTATTTAGGCACACTGATTATTATATAATAAGATTTTTAAGTGTATATATAGAAGACATGCTTTCATTATATAATCATAAAAATCACAGCTCTTTAGAGGTCATTTAATTTGGCCTTCTACTTTTGGTCTATTCCACACATAAATCATTCCAGTGAAGTAAAGTTCACTATTCTTTTGTGAAATTCAGGGTAGATTTTACTACTTGAAGTACCCATTTTTGTGGCCAAACATACTCATTTGTGCCATTTTATTGTTAATCCAGGTCTTCTAATTTATTTATTTGCTTATTGCTTTGTTGGGGAGGAAGGCATATCCATTTGAAATTTATTAATTTGAAAAGAAATATTAAAGGCTGTGGAAAGTCCTTCTCTGCTAGGGCCAGCTCTTCTTTTTCCTCTATTTTGTTTCCTCAGTTGGGGTATGGAGAGATGTCATACTGGATTATTAAAAGGGTACCAAGGAGGAGAGAGGAGTCCCCCTCCCCCATCTTCATTTTAAACATTTATTTCATACCAACTAAATGCCATCATGATATGAGGTACTACATAATACATATATTAATCACTGTATGAAAGCCCTTCATAGATTTGAATTGAATGAGGTTTGCTTCATTGCCTTTTTCAAAAGCAAAATGTCTGTCAAAGGTCTAACTATGATGGGAAGTCTTGTCACACGTATTACTTCCTCGGGAACAAAAGGAAATCCCTAACTTGGTGCTTGTCTTATCCGTAGAGCTTTTTGTCAATCACCTGTATGAGCATGTTTCTCATTTGATTGAGACGGGCTCTTAGAACTTAGGAAGTTACCCAATTTCTGTAATGTTGCTCTTGTGCTTTTTTAAAAAAAGAAACAGTTTTCCTCCTGCCATTCATAACACAATAGTAGAATTCAGTCCGCAGGTGGCATGGCATGGAGCTAACCCTGCTGCAGGGGAAGAAGTGACACTGTTTGGGGATCGAGAGATGGCCTTCTATGTTACATACACAGCGTTTACGGGATGTCTTAACCTGTGTGACTGGGTAATTTGGATACGAAATGTTAACGAAACATCAGGACTAACTTGAAGTAGATGTTGTATGATTTTTTGGTAAGACCCCAGAGCAGTACTTACATCTCTTGAGTGCGTCTGCATTTTTATAAAACTTTCCCCCCGGTGCTGCATTCTCAATCGTGTGCGAAGTGATCCTGTCATCAACTTCCAGGAAACTCGATCCCTGAAATTTTTCAATAAATATTTAACACTATTGTTAAAATATAGGGTGAACATTCCCAGAGATTATGGGATGTTTGATAAGCTTTGTTATATATGAACATAATTAAAATAGTCTTCAAAATTAAAACTGAATTGACTGTGCTCGTTTCCCTATTACTGTTCCCTTGATAAAAATAAAATGTTTCCCTGGCTGTTTCAGGAATCCAAAATTCTTTAACTTTGTCTTAGAAGTTTGGATTACTTGGGGATGAAGTTCTAAGAATATATTGGAAAGGGAAAGAAGTAGAGGTACTTCCACAGACTGGGGGTAAAAGTCCTAAAACCTTGAAGATTGAGGATGTGCCTGTCGCAGGAATTGCTGACAGATGGTTAACATCGTTCCACACTGCCCCCTTCTGGTAACAGCACAGATGTCAGAAACTGAATTTTTGTGGAAGTCCAAAGGAGTTCTTTAGAAGGGAAAAGAGGAAGGTAACAGGGATTTTCTTCTTAAAAAGGACTGAACTTCTGATAAGATATTAGTTGGAAATCATTTGTATATCACTTTCTAAAGTTTCATATTAAGGAGCTAATTTCAGATTTTCCAGCTTGAGTTATCATGGGAAGATATATGGCCAGTGTTGCCACAAAGGATAATTGGGTAGTTTTGTGTTTATTTGTTCTCAATAGAAAAATGGTCTCAGTTTATAATTCAATTTTCTTCCATTGTTTCTTCTTCTTTTCAAATTGCTGACATTTCTAAATGAAGTGGTAAATGCATACAAAACCTAACAGGAATTCAAAGCTGTTTCTTCACAATGATAAAAGTGGGTAAATATATATATTAAACAGACCAGATCGATGAGGGAATATCACTGAGAACTCATATTATGCAAGGAGGATTGATAAATGGGAGATAATAAATGGGAGAAACTGACTTTTTTCTGAACTTGAATTCTGAGTTTATAGATTAGGAATCACAAACTAAAATGTTATTAAATGTTATCAAATAGTTCTTGACTTCATCCACAAAAGGAGAAAATAGACACCCTTTTATTGAAACATTGTATTAATAAGTAATTATTATATGATAATGCTGGGTAATACTTTTCCCCATTTTACAAGAAATGCTTTAAAATAGGAACAATTTAAAAGCCTGTGAGTTTTCTGGAAAGTGTATTTTCCAGAAAATACACTTTTTCCTAGCCTTTGTGAGGTTATACTTAAAAGTTTAGAGTAATTCCTCGTTAACTAAGTTTTCCTTCTTATAGCATTGTTCTATTTTTTTTTATTGATTTCAGAGAGAGGAAGGAGAGGGAGAGAGAGATGGAAACATCTGTGAGAGAGAAACACCAATCAGCTGCCTCCTGCACACCCCCACTGGGGATCAAGCCCACAACCCAGGCCTGTGCCCTGACCAGGAATCAAACCTGTGACCTCCTGGTGCATGGGACGATGCTCAACCAACTGAGCCACAAAGGCTGGGCTATTTTTTTGTATGGCATTCTTGTATAATTCTGTTCTGTCATCCATGAATTTGTGGCTCAGGAATAAATGTCTCGTAAAAGAGAGGAACAAAAATATGTTAACTATAGGCGGGGCCTTTGTGGCTTGTAGTAAAAAAATAATCTCCTTCACAGAGTATTTGAGCCCTTTGTTTGGGGGGGAAGGAAGAGTTGCTATTTAGCATTCTCATTTAATTGTCCTACTCTCTGGGCTCTGAACAAAAAAGTATATCAGTATTTCTCACAATATTTATCCAAATTTGACAAGCATGTAAGTTTTTTATAAAGGTGGCAGTAGAAAAGGTATCTGATTATACTGTATTTGTATTATGAAAACATTAGGATTGCTATCTTTTTTATTTTCCAAATATAAAAATCCATTATGACACTGAATATATTTTTAAATGACAGGACCCTCATCCATCCTCAGGTTGAGAATCTTTGGTTTAAAGGTTTTAAATTTCACTCCATACTCCCAAATGGGCTGATGAACGGTCTGTACTTTATAGACGAATGAAGAAATGATGAAAATATTTTTATAAGCATCCAGCATATCCCTGAAAATACCCTAAAAAGCTATTGGTTTTACTAAAGAAAATTTCTCTGGTTTATTTTAAAAGTGAAAGTTTATAGAGTGAATTTTAGTCTAGAAATATCTGATCAATGATAGTAAGGTATTAGCTGCCTCTTAATAAACATTAGTAACCTTTATTTTCATGATCTCATCATTGTAAGACCGAAGAATTAGAAATTTAAAACAGGATTTTAAGTGGAAAGATAGTTCTCAAGGAGGAACACTGTTTTTATTTGTCTGATCTAAGGGATTGTGGATTTAAGATTCCCAAGCTGCCATTTCGGTATGTTGAAGTGTATTACCACTTTCCTAATGTATTTCCCTGTTTCTTTCGGGACAGGGGCTGATGCAGGAGATCAATGACTTGAGGTTAAGAATCAGTGAAATGGACAGTGAAAGGCTTCAGTATGAAAAAAAGCTGAAATCAACCAAAGTAAGTTTTCTCAATGACAACAATTTTTAAACAAATGGCTCCACTGCTTATCTATGATCATTAATATAGATGCAATATGTTTTCTACTCAGTATATGACAAAGAAGGTATTTTACAAGTGAACTTTTTCTCTGAGCTGGAGACCTTCTTGATTTAAGCACTATTCTGAATAAAAACCAGGGCTTAGCTAATCTGATAGAACATATTACCTGTCATTTCTCTTAATTCTCTAACCTCCTGTGTAAACTGATACTGTTTTCTTGGTTACTTAGCTTATCTCTTTCTATCTGTAGTTTTCTTTTACTCCTCTGTCTCTCTACCAGTCCTTAATGGCCAAAGTTTCTAGCATGAAAATCAAGGTGGGTCAGATGCAGTATGAAAAGCAGCGGATGGAACAAAAATGGGAGTCGCTGAAGGTGCGGTAGACATTGGGGAATGTGGGTCCATGGCTTGTTGCTTTCTGGCTTGTGTTGCTTTGCTGTGATGGTGTTTTTAGTGGTGTGTGCATTTATTTTGTCCGTGTGCCACCTATTTTTTTTAAAAAATATGTTTAAAGCTAATTAAAGGGACAGTGTGATCCTTAATTTGTTTTTAGAAACCTATGAAATAATTAGTAAAAAATAATAAACAAGTAAATGAAAATGTTTGTTTGTAAACGAACTCTCACTCCTTTAGGCTATATGAGATTCAGGCTTGGCAAAATAGTTGTAACAAGTTCACCTGTGAAAGAATTCTGTTATGTACCAATAGTAGACACTGCTTTTTTCCTTTGGGATTTTCTGGAAGGTAAATGTATTCGGCAGTTAACTATCATGGCAGCAAATGGAAATTACTGCTGAGAATAAGCACAGTAAGAACAGTGGCACTTCTTGCCAGTGCTTCTGAAAATCTCTTGTGCTTGATATTCACTCCTTCCATAAGTAAAAACTTCTTAGCTTCATTGGAGAGTTACACCTTCTCATAGTACTAAATGTAATCCATATCTTTAGAAAAGACTGAAAATAAAATGTTTGAAAATGAAATTATTTTATGAATATAAAATTAAAAATAAAGGTGCATTTATAAGCATCACCTAGGATTTTTTTCGGTGTTACATACAGCCAGCAAAACTGAATTTGCTAAAGCTCTTTACCAAAAGGAAACTGAAAGTTAAAACATTAGTAAATAGGTAGAACATTGAACACGGCACCCTTAATAGTCATGTAGTTTTACAAAAGAAGAATTAAAATCCGTTTTCTAAATCTTTTTTTTCTTTCTTTTTTTTTTTTTTTTTTGCATTGTTGTAGGAGATTCTGTTCTGTTATCTTAGTAATGAGGATAAATATTCAGTCCCAAGATTTGGCTAAAGTTGTGCATCACCTGCTACTTTACCCACTAATTAGGCTCTACCTTGTCCAGGGAACCTAAGTGCCATCTTGAAATGCTGAATAAATGTCAAGCAAGTCTTAATATCTATCTCCCAATTTGCATTTTATTTTGCTTTTACGATACTAAGCATCTATTTTTTTTTATTAGCTTGGTCAGATTTTTTATTTAACATAACATATACCACCTTAGGGCTACATTAGTCCTACTTACACTTTAAAACAGGGGTCCTCAAACTACGGCCCGCGGGCCACATGCGGCCCGCCGGGTGTTTTTGCTGCCGCTGCCTGTCCTGCTTAGCAGCCGACTCATCCCAGGCCCGCAGTGCGCATGTGTGGAATGTCTGAGGGACAGTGAACTGGCCCCCTGTTTAAAAAGTTTGAGGACCTCTGCTTTAAAAGATTTCTTTTTTAATTTGTTCACAAAGAAACTTGAAATAATTATACCATAATTATTATAAATTGGATTTTAATAATTGCCTTGCTTTTTGTTTATCATCACCACTGTCTGATTTCTGAAGTTTGCATCTTTGCATCTAAATCACTAATTATTGACTTAAGAACATACTCTCTGAATATTCTTTTTTATTCATAAGCTACTCTTTTTAAATGAATTATCATTTGTAGGATGAACTGGCATCTTTAAAAGAACAACTGGAAGAGAAAGAATCTGAAGTGAAAAGGCTACAAGAAAAATTGTTTTGCAAGATGAAAGGAGAAGGGATAGAAATTTTTGACCGAGGTAGGAATATGTATTTAATATTGGTTATCTTCTTTTGTTAAAAACCTCTAAGAACTGAAAAAAAAATCTGATGTTATTTGATGTGTAGTTTTAGCATCAAAGAAAAGAATAGCAGGAGCCATCTAGCCCAGGGCCCCAGGGAGCCCTGAGCTTCCTCGTCTGCAGCTGGAGAAGGGCAGCTCTGGACCCTACTGGGTGTTCTGGACCCTACTGGGTGTTTCGTTGAGATGACTAAATTGTAAATTACCATCAGGAGAGAGTTTTTGTCCAAATTGCAAGAAAAGGAACCATTACGATGTCCCAAGACTATTTTCCTCTAAACTGAACTTGAGACAACAGAAAGACATTTAGAAACCTTGTCTGCCCTGTTGAGAGAAGAGAAGAAAAGGCTCTATCTTTGGAAAACTCAATGAAAATTTCTTAACCTTCAAGAAAGCAAAAAATAGGCTAATTTCTTTTTGGAAAAGTGCATGAATTTATCCAAAAATTGTTTTCATAATTGAGAAGGTTTGTCCTAGATATTATGTGGACTGTAATTTTTAATAATGTAGCTTCTACTTGGTAGAAAATACTGTGAATGCAATGTGTTTTTCTGAATTATATTTGGAAACATAAATGCATGTAACATCTGACGACACTAGATCAAATTTAACCTCTCTTTGTTATTACAAATGACTGTGGCAAAAGCAACTTCTGATTTGTTGGAAACAGAACAAATTTCATTTAGTATAGCTTTGGTACATTTTTACCTGTTATGTGAACACTGGTATCGTTATTGTCTATTCAATGAGGAGCTTGAATTAGATGACCTGTAAAGTCACAGGTATCACAGTTCTCTATCCATCAGGAAACTTAACTCATCAAACATTCAGAAAAATGGAATTGCATCAAACATTCAGAAAAATGGAATTGTATGTTCGGAAAGGACATTCACAAACAGGTCACGCTTTTAGGATTTTAAGATAAAGGGTATGTTAGAATAGTGCTACCCAAAGTCCAGTCCAAGGACTGGTGCCAGTCTGTGAACTGCTTGCTACCAGTGCACCACCGAGGACATATAGGGACAGAGAGCAAGTGGTTAGAAACTTCACAGCAATATGGTGTTGACATAACATCTAACTGCATGATCAGTGGACTCACATGGAGCAGGAGCTACGCCACTTCAGTGTTATTGAACTTGAGTGGTGAGTTGAATGTGACAGAAGCAATGTACTGGTCATGTTCAGGAGGCCCAATATCGGGCTGTAATGGAAATGTGAAAAACGACCAAGGCAACATTAACCAGCTGTTCACCACACACTGTGTAAGGAGCGCTGTACTCCATCGACCCAATTTCAGGGTGAGAAAGTCAAGGTTCAGAAAGTTGACATAACAGAGGTAGTAACAACATTAGGTCTTCTGGATTAATTACATTAGATTCTCTTTTTAACTGCACACAGAGCGTTATGTAGTATAATACCAGTCCTGACGTCACAAAATAGTGCTTAATATTCAGTCTTTTTGAGTTGAGTCTCTTTATTTTAGGTAAAAGGAGACAATAATAGTGCTTTTAAAATATCATTTACTGTTGTAATGTATGCTAACTTCCAATTCAATGGGTTTTCCTGCACAGATGAAAATTTTAAAAAGAAGCTCAAAGACAAAAGTAAGGTTTTTGGTGTATTTCCATCAGCCTTTACATTCACCGAAAGTAATACTTGGACTGTTCTTTGCATGTGTTTTTAAAACATTTCTCTCACCAAAAATGTGAAGTTGCTTCATCGATAAGCTCTCCATTTCTTTGAAGCATACAAAATAGAGGGTAAACAAAAAATAAAAACGAGGAGTAAAAGGTCCCTTAGCAGATTTTATCTGATTCAGCCCTTTTGCTCCATAGGACACAGCAGGGCACCCAGAGTGGTGGAGGTGAGAAAGCATTTTCTCTGGGTCCAGGAGATGCAGGGTCAGAGAAGGAAATAACGTTTACCCTCCTATGAAAACCTGTTTTTGAGGTTTGTCATAGTTGAAAGATTGTTTTGAACTTTGCTTTTCAATGTTTTGTAGCCCACTTTTTCATTGAGATCTACTTTAGGAGGTTTTTTAAATACACCCTCTTGGTGTTTCGAAGAGTGTCATTATTTAATTGCATTAAATAACCCAGGATGTTTCATGGAGCCTGGATTATTTAAGGCAGCATAACAATAAATCTTAAAGGGCTCTCTCCTCCAGACATTGAATTCTTAAGTCAATGAAATTTGCCTTTAAAAAAAAAAGCAAAGAAAAGAAAAGCAATTCCTATAAAATATACCTTAATCAAAAATAGTTATATCAGTACTGAACGATCCATCACTGTTTTTAAAAGTACCTTTAGTCGGGTTTTTTTTTTTTGTTTGTTTGTGTTGTGGTTTTGTTTTGTTTTTTTCACAAAAGGTGGAAATTTTAGCTGAATATTTTTTTCTCTGTTTCAAATTTTTTAATTTGTGATTTCATTCTAGGTTGACTTTTGATCTTTAGACTATTTGCTTTTTAGTATTAAAGTAACATGCTTTTGTATTTGAATATCAAATTTTAAGTGAAATTACATTCGTCTCACTCTGGCCTTTATGTTTTCAAATAGCATTTGGAAATGAGGTTTATAGATGAAGCAAAGTACTTAATATCCTTCTGTATGGAACCTACAGCTTAGCATGACTACTCGTGTACATATCACATTCCATCAGGCTCTTACCATTTGTGTCTCCATCTCGGTTATAACTGAGTATCATTTTGTCTGCGTTTGTCGTGTGCACTTTGTTCATTGCTTTTGCCCACTGCTTTTTTGAAAACTCTGTGTTTTTATTGTTAGCACTGACATTTCATTGTTCTCTTGAAGATCTTGTTGTTGCTTTGAGAGAGGGTAGTTAGCTCTCACTGACCCTGTGACTATTCAGGAGAGATAGAAGGTGTTCATTTTTCAGATTTTCCCTAAAAGACAATATGTATGGTAAATGTGCCCTTTTAAAAACAAACAAATAAAACAAATCAGTAACATTTTTACCTTAAAACACTTCAATCTGAAGAGTCAGTAGCTTCTCATTACTGTCACACACGTTAACTAAACTGACTTCTGATTTGATGTTGTGATATTTTCAGATATTGAAGTACAAAAAATGAAAAAGGCTGTGGAGTCTTTGATGGCAGCAAATGAAGAAAAGGTATCTAGATGAAATTTAAATATTTACTTAGATGTGTAATAGCACCATTTTGATCATTCTGTGCATTCTCTTGAGATATTGCAGTTTGAAAGAACACACCCTATGCACTACTGACATTGAGGGGCAAGCCTTCTCCTTTCCCAAGTGTGTCCACTGTCAGGGGGTCACACTTGTTACTGTGGCCGAGCATAGGAATGGAGACCAGCAGCACTGGCTCCACTGAGAATTCTCTCTTTCCTCCCTGCATGAATTCAGAAAATGCTTGAGCTATCAAATCTGGGCTCATGTATGAACTCCAAACAACTTTAGCTTCGTGGTCATGTCCCTTTTTTCTCCTTCATACTGCTGACCTCTTTCACATTGGGGATTGTCTCTGTTCTCCTGAGTAGTGAGATACCAGAAAAGAGAGGCCCAGGCACCATGAAATCAATATGGCCCTAGGCTCTGTTTTAGCTGTGGTGGCCCAATGCCATGTCTCCAGAAGCTTATTTCTTCTGGTTGTTCCTCCCCACTTCATCCTGCTAAGAGCAGGGATGCAGTTACTCTACTAAAGAAATGCGTTTCTTCACGGCTTTCCTGACCCTCCGGCCAGCAGGCAGCAGCAGCTGGGTCCAGCTCCTGTCATCAGAATTGCTCCCCTCTCGTGTCCCTAAATCAGTGGTTCTCAAACTTCTGGCCCTTTAAATACAGTTCCTCATGTTGTGACCCAACCATAAAATTATTTTTGTTGCTACTTCATAACTGTAATGTTGCTACTGTTATGAATCGTAACGTAAATATCTGATATGCAGGATGGTCTTAGGTGACCCCTGTGAAAGGGTCGTTCGACCGCCAAAGGGGTCGCGACCCACAGGTTGAGAACCGCTGCCCTAAATGAATAGATCAAGGAGGCATTTTCCCAAGAAAAGAGTAATTTCAAGAAAGTGAAAATCAAGCCATGCCAAAAAACTTTCTCTTGGACTTTTTCTAATTGATCATAAGTTTCTTTTTCTAATTCTTGCCTACTCTGTTTTACTTGTTGATTTATCTTTGCCTTTCATTCTCTTCATTTGTTCTTTACTCCTTGGAAATAAACTCATTGTCTTACCCACCCAACCAGATATATATAGATTCTTTTGGCTAGTCTTTCCTACTATTGAATAAAAATAGAAGTCCTTAGCAAGCTGCATGCAGAGCTTTTTTTTTTTTTTTAAAGAAAATCACTAAAATTCATTTTGTTTTAATTTTTCTCCCTCAAAATGCAACAATAACAAAACTCCCAATGTTGAATGAGGGCTCACAGGATGCTCAAACTGCTATAGCTGCACCAAGAGTGACATAACTTCTTGGTAGTTTCAGAAGGCTTCACAGAAGACATATTTGAACAAATTCTGAAGAATAGCAAGAGTTGCTCATCAGGAAAATGAAGGCTTCTAGGCAAAGCATCCATGAGTGAAACCATGTTTCAAAATCAAGGCTTGAAACAGCCCAGTGCACGCTGGGAAAGTTCTGGAACATGAAATATAGATGAAGGGTGTATAAGACTAACAAAAGAGCGACGGTGAATAATAGGCAACCTTGTATGCTAGGCTAATGATCTGGGACCTTAGGTTGTAGGTGTTGGGCAGTGACATAATTAAATTGCCATTTGGAAGCTAACTCTGGTATCAGGAATAAGGGATGGAGAGTAAAGATTGAACAATTAAGCTAGATGAGAAATGGAGAGGTTGAAGTAGGGCAATGACAGTGAAGTGGTAAGGAGGGGAAGATATTTTAGATATATTTGCAGGTTGACAAAATTTAAAAATCTTTGGATTTTAGAGTTTCTGGTTTGATCATTGGGGTAAATGATGGTGCCCTCCACAAGTTAAGGGCATCCAAGCGAAGCTGAAGTACTAGGGGCAGATAATGAGATTCATTTTGGATACATTCTATTTGATGTGTTCATGGGACATCTAAAAGGAGATTTCTCATAGAAAGTTGAAAATAAATCTAAATTTTAGGATTAGTATAGAATTATATATTAGTAGGGAGTGAATCTCATCAATGTTAGGAGAAATATATAATTAGTTGTGGATTGGTGGGAACTAAACTATGGTTAATGTATTAATTAGCTTTGGCTCTGTGACAAATCACTTTTATTATTTTTCTGATACTTCAGTGGGTTAGCTAGGTGGTTCTTCTGGTCTGGTCTGGCTTAGCTGATCTCTATGGTTAGCCAGTGTCTGGGAGAGGGCTGGGTGGTGTAGGATGGTGTGACTCATGTGTCTATTGATTGACCAGTCTTGGTCTAGGTTGGCCCAGCTGAGATATCTCTTCTCTAAATGGTCTCTCATCTTCCAGGAGACTAGCTAGCCTATGCTTCTACACATAGTGGCCTTAGAGCAGCAGGAGAGGGCAAGCCCCAAAGTTAAAATACTTTTCAAGCCTTTGCTTAAAGCACATTTATTGATATCTTATTTGCCAAAGTGGGTCACATGGCCAAGCCCACACTCAGTGTGGGAGGAGCTAGAGAGCTCACTCTTATAATCCACCAAGTTAGGGCATGGGGAAAAGAGAAGAGGGTAAAGGACAAAACCGTAAGGCTCTGTTTTATTGGCTGGGTTGGGTAATAGCGGGGTTATAGAAGTGGAATATCTATCTCATCAAGGGATTAAGAAATCAAAATAGAAGAAAAGAAAGAGTGGAAAGAAAAGTAAAAGAGGAAGGGAAGAGTGGAGTCAATCAAGTGCCAACTAGAGTTCAAATTAGAGAAAATATAAAAGTGTTCATTGTTTTTAGTAAATAGGTCTCTGATGACTAATTGAAAGGCATGTTTTGAGAAGGGAAAAGCCAGGTGGCCATGAATGACAGCTGATAAACACAGCAGGTGTAGATCTGTTTTTCAAGACTTGGCATGTAAGTTAGAGAGGAAAGTAATTAAAGTTGACTTTTTTTTCTTGTTTTCTTTTTCTTTCTTTTTTTTTTGTATCTTACTACCTTGTTTTGTTTTTGTTTTTTAAAGATGGCAGCTGAGTGATAGGATCTCTAAATTTAGAGGTACTTTTTCTATATCTCTGATATATGTAGGAAAGATGTTCTAGATATTACTAGTTTTACTAAAGTTTAGAAATATTCTGTAAATAATGTAAATAACTCATGTCTACTTATCTTTGTGTTGCAATTACTTTTACCATTTTAAAATCATAGCATTAGATGGTAATTTATTTTATTAATAGGACCGGAAAATAGAAGATCTTCGACAATGCCTGAACAGGTACAAGAAAATGCAAGATACGGTGTTACTGGCCCAAGGTAAAAAAGGTACTATAGCTCTAAATGTTTTCTACTTAACTTGATTTTTAAGTGGCCATAATCTTTTATATTTGGCCTCAATTTCTTTTATGAAACATAACCATTATCTCTAATTAGATAGCTCATTCATCCATTCAGTGATATTGTTCAGCATCTGTTCTCTGCCTGAAAGCATATAGGCTAAAGAGCATACTGTAGATTGGTTGGCCGGGAGAGCCTCTCTAAGGAGTCCATTAGATAGCGTTCCAGAAAGAGAGTACAATAGCACATGCAAGAACTTTTTTGTGTGGGGATGGGGGCGCGGTTAGGGAGGAGTTGGTGTGTTTAAGAAGTAAAAGACCAGTGTAACTGGAAGGTAGTGATTAGGAGAAAGAGTGAGATAGGATTATTAGAGGTGAGTACCAACCAGATCCTACAGGTGGGGAGTTTTCCCTCTTATTTGTCCCCTAGGGATCCACTGAAGGGTCTTAACAAGTCAATGATAAGATCTTTGTAACAAATAGACCATAGTGGGTGGGAGCAGTGTTGGAAGGAAGGTAAGCTATTTAAGAGACCGTGGCAGTATTCCAAGTGGAAAGATCTGATGGTACTGACTGGAAATATATTTTGGTGTTGATGTGTTGAATGAGTGGAGGAGCATGAAGAAGAGATAGAATTAAGAAAGACCTCTGATTAATGCAACTGGCTGGATGATAGTTCCATTTTCCAAGATAGAGAAACCTAGAAAAGGAACATTGGCATGGTTAAGGGGCATCATGTTCAGTTTTGAAAATGTTAAATTAAAAGAAAACGCACACACACAAACCCTGTAAGACATCTAAGTAAAGATAGTTATGCAGTTTGTTGTATTTATTATTACTTTATCTGTTGTCCTCAAATGTGGAAAAACTTTTGGAGTCATTCAAAACAAACAAAAATGTTAAGGACTTTAAAAGTTCTCTTGTTTATTATCCATGCATAGATGGGGTTATTTGCTCTAAAAATAAGCACTGGAGATTAGCAAGTCTTTTGGAAGACACTCGTGGTTGCTTTTCCCCATTATGCTGTTCTTTCTGCTTTAAAATGAGTGGAATAAAAGGATCCTTTTGGGGATCAAAAGGGCGTTATCTCTTTTTCTTCTCTTTCTATGTTTTTCTTTTTTCTTTAGGAGCTTGGTAGTGATGAAAACGGAGTTGTTTAAATGGTGACTCTTTTGGTACCACTGGTATTTCTCAGCTTGGTTATTTCTGAGCTGAAATTTGTGTAAAGCCTCCAAATTTTGAAACAAAAGTACAGGAGAGTTGTTGAACTGAATTCACTTTTTTAAAAAAAAAAGATATTTTTTATTGATTTCAGAGAGTAAGGGAGAGGGAGAGAGGGAAAGAAACATCAATGAGGGGAGAGATTCATTGATTGGCTGCCTCCTGCACACCCCACATTGGGGATCAAGCCTGAAACCCAGGCATATGCCCTGACCGGGAATCGAACCGTGACATCGTGGTTCATAGGCAGATGCTCAACCACTGAGCCACGCCGGCCAGGCTGAATTCACTTTTTAATTTTAATCTTGTGAGTCTATCATTGCCCCTGTTGACACCACTATCAGTTAATACCTCTATTAATACCACAGCTGGGTACTCACATGGCCCAAAGCCCCGGGGCCTCAGATGCTACCAGTTGAAGGTGTTGTTTCCTAGGTCCTGTGTTTTTTTCAAATGATTTCAGAAGCTGACTCTTTGGATTTTTTTTTGAGGATCAGAAAAATTTTTACATTTAATATATTTGGGATTCTTCTTCCAAAAGTGAAAATTTGCTGTTGGTCCTCTGTTTTCTTTGTCTTTTCCTAGGCCAAGAGGGTGACTATGATGACCTGCCCACTTCCGGTTCCATCTCCACTTTTCTGGAAGCACAGGGTTTTGGGGAACTGGAGAAAGGTCTGTCATCCACGCCAGTGATGGGGTCTCCCAGTCGTGACCCACTGAACACAAGTGTTCCGGAAGAGGTATGTATAGACTCCCAATAGTCTCTTCCTGCTGGGGAGAGTGTGTCATTGAAAGTTAAAGTGCTGTGGACAACACGAAAGACATGGGATTTTTTTCTCAGCTTGGTACTGATGACTTGGTTTGCCCTGAAAGTTTTTGTGCCCTATAAGTTTTTATTTGAAATGTGTGTATGTTTTTCCCCCCTTCTTTTTAATAAATAAATGCCCTGGGCAATGTCAAAATTGCTTATGTAATTCAGGAAAAATATAAGAATCCCTTAGGGATAGATGTCATCTTAAATATGGGATTCTAATCTATATATTAAATAATAAGTAGGGAATAAATAAAGTGGGGATAAAGTGAGATTATATAGAGAAATTGATTTGAGTCACCTTTGATGGAGACGCTGTAATATGAAGGATTGAAATTTTCCTCTGATTTCTTTAGATTTGGAAGAAGCAACTGGAGGGGAATAAAGTCTTAAACTCACTTATTTTACTTTCATATCAAATTGCCACTGATACCTTTCTCCATTATCTATTGCGCCCCACCCCAACTCTTTGTGTCTTGAATGACAACATTTATTTTGCTGACGAATCTGCACTTTGGCCCGGGCTCAGCAGGAACATCTGGTCTCTGCTCCACTTGGCAGCAGCGGGAGTGGCGCAAAGGCTGGGGCTTGAGTCACCTGAAGGCCACCCATTCCTCTATCTGGTGGTTGGGGCTGGCCGTTGGCTGGGACTTCAGCTGAGGCCCTGGCTGGACCCACTGCATGTGACTGCTTGGCCTCTTCATAATACAATGGCTGGTCCTGAAGATGCGTATCCCAAGAAGAGGACTAGGCAAATTCGTATCACCTTTTATGATGTTTCTCAGAAGTCATGTAGCATCTCTTCTCCTTAGTCATAGGCCCACCCAGATTCACGGAGAAGGAGTTATCAATTACCTCTTGATGGACAAGTGGCAATATCACATTGTAAGGACATGTGAGATGGGATCTCTTGGTGCAACCACATTTGGAAAATAAATCTGCCCCTCACTCTCTGGCTACAACAGTTTATATCCCTCTCCCATTCACAGTATACCTACTCCCTCTCCAAAGACCCCTTAGTTTCATTCCAATTAGGCATCAGCATCCCAGGAACTTGTCATCCAGACCAGGTCATGATGTACATGAAGCTCCTCAGGTGCATCTTCTTGGGCACAGCTGCTCCTCAGGTGCATCTTCTTGGGCACAGCTTTTTGGGTACCACTCCATTCAGTTTAAGAACCGGGAACTTAAGGGAGGGATAGGTATAACATAACTGCTACAGGCACTCTCATTTAAAAGAGGGACAACAGAAGGGACCCAGGTATCTCATTTAAAAGCAATTCAAAAATCTAGCCAGGCATGTGGTGCCAGTTCCTTTGTTAGGACTCAGTCCTCTGGGCTCTTGGTTTTTCCTTCTGAGTCATCCTTCCTTTCCTACAAGAAGGGGATGTACTTGCAGATAGTAGTTTTCTGTAAAAGTGTCCATATAGGTCCAAAGCCGCCTTTAGTTTTTTCCTATCTTTGTCCCTTTTAGTCCCTTTGGTACAGTATTTTAAACACTCAGAATTTCTTATGAGTCAATTTGTTATCCACTCCATTAGATAAAAGCATTATTTGATTAATGAGATACCTTCACAATAATCCTTCTCTACCTTAGGTTCCCTGTAAGGCTACTGTGGGATATCCCCTTATTTTTAGAGTTTAAGATCTGTTTTTAAGGGTCAATGAGACAGCGCCCCCTTAAATCTTCCTAAGTTCTTAACAAAGACACACACATGTCTTCATTTCCTGACAGCCCCCTGAAACCATTTCTTAATGTATATATATAAAAGCCTAAGCAACCGTTTGACCAGTAGCTATGACATGCACTGACCACTAGGAGGCAGATGCTTCATCTGGTAGGTTAGCTTGCTGCTGAGGTCCGGCTGATCGGGACTGGGCGAGATGGGCTGGACATGCCCTCGAGCCCTCCTGCGGTCCCTCACTGGTCCTAATTGTGCACCGGTGCAAGGGACACCCCCCCCCCACCCCCCCACCCACCCCCAGTGCACGAATCCATGCACCGGGCCTCTAGTTTTAATATAATGTGCTGTCTGGAGAGACTGGGAATGGGAAAAAGTTTTATTTTTTAACAAAACAACCTTAGGTCCCTTATATTTAGCAGTTCCTTCTTTGCTCATCTCAGTAAGTAATTAGAAGAAACCAAATGGCATCTTTACTTTTTATATCTGTTGCTGATAATTACATAATGAGAAGATGAAATTTGAATTGAATGAAAATGAATTCAGGGAGACAACAATTAACATTTCTCTTAAATATAAGAGAGGGCTAAAATATGTCCTTAGCAAGGAATTAGTAGTGGGTGGATTGGTGGTAAAAGGTACAAATTTCCAGTTATAAATATAAGTACTGGGAATGTAATGTACATGCATGTGACTATAATTAACACTGATGTGTGGCATATTTGAAAGTTACTAAGAGAGTACATTCTAAAAGTTTTCATGACAAGAGAAAACAAAACAAAACATTTTCTTCCCTTTTTTTTAAATCTCTGAGGTGATGGGCATTAACTAAACTTATTGTGGTAACCATTTCACAATATAAATCAGTCCAGTCATTATGCTGTAAACCTGAAACTTATACAGTGCTGTACGTCAATTATATGTCAATAAAACTGGAAAAAATGGGATTAGATAAGGAATAAGAAATGTTTTAAAGGGAAAAGGTCCCTAATTGTTAAATATATATTTACACCTTAAGGGAAAGTTACACTCAACAGCCATTGAGTGAGCTGTCTCACCCAGTCCCGCCCTGCCGGCCACCTTCTAATTAATTTCCTTTCAATGTGCACAAATCTGTGCATGGGGTCACTAGTTTTAAATGAAAAGCCAGGAGGGAGATTTGAAGTTGAATTTAAAGCCCTAAGGTTTGAAAGGAAATAAAGAAAATCAGTCTGCTAGTGGAAGTTCATTTATTTCTTGAGTAGGAACCCAAGGAGATAAGAACTTCAGGAAGCAGGGATGATGGCTAAATAAGTTGTCCAGGATAAATCATAAAGATTCAAACTGGAAATAAAAAGATAGTGAAATAATGTCTTTTATAATAAGATGACTTGTTAAAGAACAAAATTCGACTGAGTAAATTTAAAATGTCTTGTTGGCTTAACGCATCAATTCATGAATCCAGCAGCATCCAATCTAGGAGATGAGATAGAAAGGCCCAAGGAGCTGTACAAGATGAAAGGCTTTTTGTAGAAGTGAGCAGGAGCAGGGAAGTTAGTGAGGCACTTGCTGATTGGTGAAAACAGGGTTACTTTCCTTACATGGAGCAAAGGGAAGTCTTGGAGCCCCGTCAGGTAACTTGTGGGAGCCAGCCAGTACTGCTGGGCTGACCGAGGCCCTCCTTTTCTGGGAGAGCTGAGCACAGACATTTCATTCAGTTCAGGTTTGCTGATGCGGGGCTTCGCATGACCCACACCATCTTGGGCCCAATCTGGTTACTTTAACAGATTTCACATTTTATAACCTTTGATAGTGTCCAAGGATGAGACCACCGCTCAGTAACTGAAACAAAACTCACAAAGCTGAATTTATTGCTTATTTAAGAGAGTGGACTTGGTTGGTCAGGGACACTCTCTCCAAACTGATCTTATAGAGCAGCAGTTCTCAACCTGTGGGTCGAACGACCCTTTCACAGGGGTCGCCTAAGACCATTGGAAAACACATATATAATTACATATTGTTTTTGTGACTAATCACTATGCTTTAATTATGTTCAATTTGTAACAATGAAAATACATCCTGCATATCAGATATTTACATTACAGTTCATAACAGTAGCAAAATTACAGTTATGAAGTAGCAACGAAAATAATTTTATGGTTGGGGGTCACCACAACATGAGGAACTGTATTAAAGGGTCGCGGCATTAGGAAGGTTGAGAACCACTGATATAGAGGGTTTTAGGATGCTTGGAGCTCAAGGACTGGTGGACCTTCAGAGGAAGCAGGAGTGAGTTGACAGCAGCCGGATGTGGTTATGAAGGTGAGACTGTTGTTGACTGGGTGGCATTTAGAGGTGTGTTTGCTGGTGTGAGCCCCTACCTTGGTGGCTGACTTATAGAGGTGAGTCATGGTTGGTTAACCTGCAGAAGTGAGTCAACTCACTAAGGCGAGTTTTGTTCACTTTTTTACTGAAATATTTGCTAAAAGTGTTTCATTTGTTTGTTCATGATGTGTCCAACCATCTAACTGCTCTCTGGTTGTCAGAAATTATTGAAAACCAGAGTATATAATTTTTTTTCACAGAGTCCATCCTCAGGATACACAAGGCATTTGTGTGGGAAAGTGTATTTTTGTTGTTGTTGTAATATTGTTACTATTAAGCAAAGTATTTTAAATAGTATAATCACAAAGTACATTATAAATTGTTTTAATTCTATTTTTCATTAATTCTGTTCATTGAAATCAGCTTGCTCACACACAGAATAATAATTAACTGGAGTGACCAACATTTTATTTTCGACTAGCAGTAGAAACTAAAGTGAAAGTAGTGCTCATTTTACAGAGAAAATTGATGCCCAGTGAAGTGACTTGCGTTAGGCAAGTGTTAAGATTTTACTATTAACTTAATTAATAGTATTTATTATGTCTTACAATATTCAGTATCTTATACAGAACCAGGTTCAAAAATTACCTTCCTCCAGAATGTCTTCTCTGATTAGCATTTCTAGGTGTTTATATCCTGAATTTTGGTTGCTCTGTGGCTTGTGTTTTGTTTGATGTGACTCACTTTTGACTTTTTATTATTATATTACAGTTCCACACCAGCATCTTGCAGGTGTCAACCCCTTCATTATTACCAGCATCTAAAGGCTTGGAAACGCCTGAGAAAGCAAAATTGCCTCCTAAGTCCGAGACTTCATTTGAGAAGTATGTCATTAATGTCCTAACGTTGCAAGTATAAATGTTTGGAAAAGTAGGTCAACCAAAAGCAAGGGTGCTTTGCATTTATTGACAGACACGATTTCTTACCCAGAGAAGCAAGAAACAGTAAGACATGCACCAGGAAACCTTATCAGTTTTGTGTTATTGAAATAACAGGTGTGAAGCCAGAAGTAACTGGAGATGAGGCTGAGGATGTGCTTTGGGTCAGGTTAGAGAGGGAGTCTATGTCCTAGGTCCTGGGTGCCCCTCAAAGGGCTGCGAGCAGAATAGCAGCAGTCCTGTGCCTGAGACTGGACAATGGCTATGGAGGAGATAGGACAGGGATACAATAGTTTTTGCATAGGCAAATAGGATTTGGGGGGAACATAGTCCCAAATTAATTGCCTAATCTTACAATTAGACAAAATAAAATAAAATACAATACCAAAAAAAGAGAAATAACTTTCCTTGCACAAGTGTTTGTTTTTGACAGTTCTGTTCACTTTGAATATATATGGTCTTTTCTTCATGAAGTTTACAAATACTTTCTTTTTTTAAATTTTAGTGATGGAAAAAGAACCCTTGGCGCTGCTGTTGAAACCCAAATGTCTGACAGTCTTTCGTAAGTTATAAGTGATTGAATGTGAAAAGTGTGGTTGGTACTTCCGGTAGAGGAAGCTTCCCTTACACTAACAGTAACCAGTATGGAAAGTGAGTGACTATGAGGCCTGAATTAATGAATGAAACTGTAATGATAAAGTGGAGGTGAGGTGAGGGTGGGGGATGTAAGTTGACAAAGAAATACTTGCTCACTTATCATTGTCTCATGCCAAGTTTCTGTATATCTTTAGCCTTCTTTACCAGTTTTCCCCTGAAGTTCAGTGCTTGTAATTTCACTTTTGTGCTGATATTTTAAATCTTGCAGAAAAGAATCACAGAGTAGTGTGGTGGCTGGAAAGTTGCATTGGTTTTCTGCACTATCAAATTGATAAACTGACCTAATATCTATGTTTATCCAAGTTCAAGTCTGTATTAAATTAGGAAAATGTATTCCTCAAAAAGTACTCAAAGATAAGATCTTTTTCACCATTATACTTTATATGGTGGTAGACACTTCTAGCAACGTATTTACACATAAATACATGACAAATGCCTTTTAAACATTTGTTTGTATACCAGGTGTACCAGTTACTAATGCGGATTTTTTTTAACAGGTGGAGTTACATATATGTTGATATATATGCGATTTGATATGTATGCTATTTTGTTATATTGACAGCAAGCTTCAAAACTTCATATGTCAAATTTGCTGAAGGTATTAACCTCATAGATATTTTTATGCTTAAAAATGTCAAATTTTGTGCCAAAAAAAGAGCATTTGCAGGAAGTTTTAATTCATTACTTTATTTTGAAGAAAAATGCTGTTGAAAGTTATCGTATACTTCAGGAAGCTTATGGTGAGCATGCTCCATCTCAAGATACTTGTGAACGCTGGTTTAAATGCTTTAAAAGTTATGATTTCGATGTGAAAGACAAAGAACATCCAGGTCAACCGAAAAAGTTTGAAGACCAACAATTACAAGCATTATTGGATGAAGATGCGTGTCAAACTCAAAACAACTTGCAGAAAGATTAAACGTTGCTCAGCAAACAATTTCTGATCGTTTACAAGCAACGGGAAAGATTTTAAAGGAAGGAAAATGGGTGACACATCAACTGAACGAAAGACAAATAGAAAACCGAAAAGTCATCAGTAAAATGTTGCTTCAACGACACGAAAGAAATTCATTTTTGCATCGAACTGTGACTGGCGATGAAAAGTGGATTTATTTTGAGAATCCCAAACGCACAAAATCATGTGTTGATCCAGGTCAACCATCAACATCGACTGCAAAGCCAAATCGCTTCGGAAAGAAGACAATGCTCTGCGTTTGGCGGGATCAGGAAGGTGTGGTGTATTATGAGCTTCTAAAACCAGGTGAAACTGTTAATACTGATCGCTACCAACAACAAATAATCAATTTGAACCACGATTTGATTGTGAAACGACCAGAATGGGCCAGAAGACACAGCAAAGTAATTTTGCTTCATGATGACGCACCATCGCACATTTAAACCATTTAAAGACATGTTAAATTATATTGCCTGGAAAGTATTAACCCACTCGCTGTATTCACCAGATCTTGCTCCTTCAGATTACCACTTGTTCTGATCGATGGCACACGCACTTTCTGAGCAGCACTTCAAAACATACGAAGAAGTGGAAAATTGGGTCTCTGAATGGTTTGCCTCAAAACAAAAAACGTGCTATTGAGATGGTACCCACAAATTACCTGAAAGATGGGGGAAATGTGTAGCTAGCGATGGACATTACTTTGAATAAAATACTTTTGATGTTTCTCTTGAAATGATCATGTTTTCTTTGATTACAAAATCCACATTATTAACCGGTACACCTGGTATTTATATTATTCTGTTTCTTTGAGCAAAAGTATTACTTTTTCCCTCTCTCTTTTGAAACTAGTCACATATTCCTGCCTTCAGTTTTAAATAAGACCAGCTCTATAAAACTGAATGCTAATCCTGTGAAAGAGAGAGCCTCTGAATGTTTACAATGTCACTTTGCTGTGACGAGGATAGCAAATGAATTTATATGGACAGTAAGAGGGATTCCTCTACTATGCTTTGATCAGAATTACAAATGAAGTGCTCTGTCAGACTCAGAAAATCGATTTCTTTGAGAATTGAAAAGTAAAATTTTCATGCTTTATTTATTTTTGTAAGAGATTTTTTAAATTGATTTTTAGAGAGAGGAAAGGAGAGGGAGAGAGAAACATCGATTGGCTGCCTCCTGCACTCCCCCTACTGGAGACCTAGTCCACAACCCAGGCATGTGCCCTGACCGGAAATGGAACCAGTAACCTTTCGGTGCACAGGATAACACCCAACCAACCGAGCCACACTGGCCAGGGCTTCATCCTTTATTTTAATTAGAGGATTATATGTAAACTAGAGGCCCAGTGCACAAAAATCTGTGCACTCGGGGAGGGGGTTCCCTCCGCCCAACCTGTGCCCTCTCGCAGTCTGTCGGACCCCTTGGGGGATGACCACCTGCTGGCTTAGGCCTGCTCCCCGGGTGATTGGGCCTAAGCTGGCAATCAGACATCCCTCTGGCAGCCCGGCAGCCCTCCGGGGATGTCCACTTGCCAGCGGGGAGCAGACTTAAGCTGCAGTCGGACATCCTTAGTGCTGCTGAGGAGGCAGGAGAGGCTCCCACTACCACCGCTGTAATGGCAGCCATCAGCCTGGCTTGTGGCTGAGCAGAGCTCCTCCATGTGGGAGCTCATTGACCACCAGAGGGCAGCTCCTGCATTGAACGTCTGCCCCCTGGTGGTCAGTGTGTGTCATAGTGACCAGTCATTCCCAGTCTTTCTGCTGTTAGGGTCAGTTTGCATATTACCTTTTTACTATATAGGATAGAGGCCTGGTGCACAGGTGGGGGCCAGCTGGTTTTCCCTGAAGGGTGTCCCGGATCAGGGTGGGGGTCCCTCTGGGGTGCCTGGCCAGCCTGGGTGAGGGGCTGATGGCTGTTTGCAGCTGGCCACACCCCCTTCAGTGTGGGGGTCCCCACTGGGGTGCCTGGCCAGTTTGGGTGAGGGGCTGAGAGCCATTTTCAGGCTGGCCAGCGACTGAAACTCCAAGCCTCTCCTTTTTTCTTTTTTTTTTTAATTCTGGGATTTATTTACCTTCTATAATTGAAACTTTGTTGCCGTCACTGGAGCTGAGAGCCAGCTCCTGCTCCCTCCAGCTCTGAGGCCACAGCCTGCTGAAAGCAGGTATCTGGGGTTTGTTTAGCTTCTATAATTGAAACTTTGTTGCTTTCGGAGCTCAGAGCTGGGCCGTGGCAGGCGGGGAACCTTGGCTTCATCCATCACTGGAGCAAGCAAGCCTCCTGCTTGCTTCAGTGCGTGGCTGCTGGCCGCCATCTTGGTTCGGTTAATTTGCATATCACGCTGATTAGCCCATGGGAGGCGTAGCGAAGGTACGGTCAATTACCATGTTTGTCTATTATTAGATAGGATAGTACATGAATACTTAAAAAGTTCCCAGTGTATAAAGGTATACATGCAAAGGATCTAACATTAGGCCTCGGAAAACTGGTTTAAATTTTCGAATATTGACATCACAAGAATAGTCCTAAGTGTTTTTCCAGCTACTCAAACATGTGCAGGACGTTTACAGTTATTGGCAGGACAGTTAACCACCCCTGCTTTTAAAAGAACTAAATGTTATAATTTTCTTAAGCTCATAAGTGACTGCCGGAATCCAGATGTTCTTTTATTACCAGGATTCAACCCACACACAATTCTAGTTTCTTTCCAAGATATCCTACTTAAAAACAGTGGCACCAGAGCCACTTATTATTAATCCTAATTATTATTATTGTTATTTTTAGAACTTCAAGTCTGCAGAAGTCTAGCAGCCTGGGCAATCTGAAGAAAGAGTCATCAGATGGGGTTGGTTCTGTGTTTTTTTTTCCTGTCTGTTACCCTGAGAAGAAAATATTTAGGGATCTTCATCTTTTCACATGTTGCAAGTAAAACTCTTAAGAAGAGCTTGTGGTTTCTTGATGGAAAATTATTAGATAATAGGAAATGATTGGGTTAAGGATAAATATCAAGAAGTATGGTAGGAAGGATTGAAAGTAGTGCATAAAAACAAAAATAGAGACTTTAATAATAAAACGTTGTTGGAAATAAATGAAACAGATTTTGTAGCTGGGATATATATGTAAATTTATTTTAATTTATGGAATTGTATGTGACAAATTATGAATATATAAGAGATTCCTATAACAATCTTAACTGTTGTTGTTTTGAACAGGAAAAGGAGTCTATTCAGAAGCCTCCAGAGGTAATTTTCATGTCCAGGTTGCAATGTAAAAATGTTTTAAACTTCTAGTGCGTAAGATTGCTTAAATGCCTCTAGTAGACAAAACTCTCAAAATGAAAGAAGCCAGACACAAAAGATCACGTATTATATGATTCCATTTATGTGAAATATCCAGGCTAGATAAATTTATAGAGACAGCTCGGAGGTTGGTGGTTGCCAGGGGCGGAGGAGAGTGGAATGGGGAGAAGCCGCTTAATGGTAAGTGGTTTCCCTTTAGAACATGGAGGCCTTTTGGAACTAGATAGAGGTGGTTGTTTGCAACACATTGTGTATGTACTAAATGCCACTGGATTACTTTAGAATAGTTACTTTTATGTTACATGAATTTCACCTCCATAGGTTATTGGAAAAACAAAAAGAAAATGCCAAACTCTCAGTCACACAGTTTAACGTTCTTAGCGATCGTCACTGGGCTTCCTTTGACCTCACAGAAAGCCCTTCTTAGATCACCAGAGGTTTATTTTATGCAACCACTGTCCACCTCCAGCAAACAGTTTGCTATTTTAGAGGCATCGTTGAGATGTGCTCTGGTTCTTCTTTCCTCTGATTTTCGATCATTAGCCTCGTAGAGGTTACCGTCTGGTAGACAGGCTACTTCCAGATGCAGTTTCTTGGCTATTGGCTCTCAGTGCCTTGAGTCATAGTGTAGGTAGAACTGAGGAAGCACAGACAGTGGGCACAGCTGTAATTAAAGCCATCCTCTGTTCTTTTCGCCCTGCCAACTCAATAGCGGAGTGCTTTTGACATCAGTGCTAAGACATGAATATTAGTGCCACTAATCTGTGGCATCTGTAAACTTTTAGTTACTACGAGCGGTAGATATGTAGAGTAAAAGAACCAACCACCTTAAGAGCCTATATCCATCCCCTTGCCCTTTTCTCCACTTCAGAAGAAACAGAGGGCAGGAGATGTTAGAGAAATGAGAGCATCCAAACAAAAGCTTTGTTGCATAATACTGAAACCATATAAAAGACCATGTTACTATAATTGCCAGTTCAAATAACCAGAAAGCTAAAAATAATAAGCAGCATTGAAAAGCATAATTTAATCACAATGGAAGTTCTGAAATACTGTAGAAATCTGAAGTAGCTTCTGAATCAACCAAGAACAATTTAATTATAGTCACTTTAGTTTTAGGTAAGTGTATCTGAATATATCACAGTTTTTGAAAATTGTTAATCCAAATTTAACAACTTCCTGGCAGGATATGAATATATCCCAGGATCTCATTTCAAAAATAGTTTAAACAGTTGCTGATTATACCTTCATTTTATTAATTCTTTGAGGAGAATATTTAAAATAATTGGAATACAATCTCCTTACACTGCTTGTGTAGAAGCTTGAGAATAATGCCTACTTTCTGGAGTAATTATATTATGCTGTATTGGGCTTCTATAGATTCAGTTATATTATAAAGACTGTGAACTGTCTCCTAGCCAGATCTGTGTCATAATTGTTGGAAAAGAAGTCTATTGCTATTCTGGTTTTTTTATCTCTCTGTTTTTTGGGGGGATGAGGCAAAGAACACTTGAGAATTTCTGTATCTATCCTAATATTTAAAGTCCCTAATATTTAAATATATGGGTTATAAGTTAGTGACAAGCATGTTTTTTGTTGTTGCTTCTTAAGTAGCTTTCAGAATTGACTTTTTAAACTTCTCATGTGGCACTTGGTATTCATAACCAACTTACTAGTTTAGTTATTCCTTTAAGTGCAGTCACATATGTAACATATTCAGTATTGTGCCTGGCAGGTGCTCATAATTATGTGCATTGGTGTTGCTTCATTTATTTTTACTTCTCTCTCAGGATAAAGCTCCGGTAGAAAGCAGCCCGTTTGGGACCCTCCCGCCCAAAGCCCCAGGGCACGATGCCTGCTTGGATGACAACCCCTTTGGCACCCGAAAAGGCAGATCTTCCTTTGGTCGTGGCTTCTTTAAAATAAAAAGTAATAAGAGGACAGCAAGTGCGCCGAACTTGGGTAGGTCTGGCCAAAACGCCTTTGCCCGAGTTCCATCAGAACAAGGAAGAGAACAGTCTCTTCCCTTCCCCGACTCATCTATTTATGCATTTCTCTTTCTCAGAAATGAAGGTGAATGACTTAGGGAGGAAATTAGCAAAAAAAAAAAAAAATGCTTCCGTGGATTTAATTCAGTGGTCTGCTGAAGGTAGCTCTGTGTAGACTCACCTTGCTCTCTCTTCTGGGGTGTACACAGAAGGAAGACCTAAAACCATGATTCCCTCTGACTTCATTGTAACCAGCTTCCCATCTGTTTTTCACGTGGACAAATTAACCCCATGTTGACACTGCTCGTGGAGTCGCGTGGAACTCGCCTTCCCTCCACCGTGTGTACTTTGGGAGGAGGAGTCTGATCTGTGTTTCATTTTGTCATTCCCCTGTGTTCTCTCCATTGGGTTGCGTGTGATTGTGTGCGTTGTTGGGATATCTGAAGATCGTAAACGAAGTGCCAGTGCACCCACCTTAGGTATTGTACCCCTGCATGCCAGCCTCGGCTAGTGCTGCGCTCCAAACCGGGCTAATCCCTGCTCTTGGCATCTGTGATCTCTAGAAAGCGCGCTGGCAGCAACCAAAAGATGTAGTTCTCTACTCCAGAGGGTTCTTTCCACCTTCTGCTAAAAAGGACTCTCTGTAGAACCTTTGCTTTCAAGCGGAAATGCTGTTGTAAGCAATGCTAATGACACCTTGCGAGCAGCACTGGGGGGATCCAGCGCGCACAGCATCCCTCTGAGTGCCGGGCAGGCGTGTCCTGGCATTTAAACAGCTTTCACCCTTGAAGCACAGTTCCTCTCACACTAACTCCAGGTCCTTGCCGTTCCTGCCCCATGTTTCCATCTTCCCCAGCCTCCAAAAAGAAACATTTTTAGCCAAATAGAGAGATCTGTGGAAGAGTCTGAAAATGGTCTTTTAGACTTAATTCTCTTAGGGGAACGTTTTCCTGACATGTTATTGCTTTGAAGATAGAGGGAACATTTCATGATGACACAGGTAACTCAATGTGTTCTTTGAGGAGTTGCCCCCAAAGTGATTTTCTGAGGAGGAAGTTCAGTTTTCCTCTTTAAAGGGCAGGCTTCCCGGAGGGGGAAAAAAAGAGTCTAAACATAAAAATGAGATGCTTTTGAAATGAGGGTGGGGTAGGCAACTTCTCAGGAACATCAATACCCATCATGGCTGTAAGGATTTGGATGGAAAGTTCCTTTGGGTTTTCCCAACAGGCTCTGTTACCTTGTATAGATATCCACATATCTATTCACATGGGTCCTCAAAGGTGACTCCTCTCTCTTTGTAGCCTTAAATGTCTAAAATGAACACTGGATGAATAAAATAAACTGATTCATCCAGATAACTATTTTCAAATGTTTTGTTACCTTTCTTAGAAAGGTATTGTCAATGCTAAGAGGCAAATGCTGCTTACTATAACCTATAACCACAGCTCTGCTTCATAGAAAAGTCAACCTCTGTAACCTTTACCACTCTCTAAGACACTGCTCCTGTGATTTTTGTACAACTTTTACTTTCCTCCATAAAAGTGTAAAATCTCACATTGAAGAAACAGTAGCCCTTGTGTTTGCTAGTGTGGGATCACCCGTTAAGGAACAGCTAAAAGAACTGAAATAGTTAATGCTTGGAGATCCAAGAGTAGCAAATTTGGATGTTATTTTTGTAAGGCAGAATCAACAGACACTAATTTTATATCAAACAAAAAATTATTCATATTCAGTTCATTCTTCTCTCAGTGCCTAGGATGTAATAGGTTATGAACAAAAATACATTTCTTGAATAAAGAATTGCCAGAACTTGGTAACGGATTTGAAATAAATGCCAAAGGTAAGGAAGGAAGGAAAAGAAAATGACAGAGTTTGAACTGGAGTGCAAGGAACATATTAATTAATATTAATGAAATATTAAATAAGGACATCAAGAGAAGACTCAGAAAAAAATTGTATGGGAATTTTGCTGAGTCCAAGATAGCCTTGGCACACTGAACTGGGAATATACACAGCAGATACTGAGGCTGGAGAGAAAGATGAGGCCCATAGATTTTAATGCCAACTGCTTATCAATGAGTGAAGCCATATTTTAGTGCTGAGCATAGAGTGGGTGGGCTTGTCAAGAGATCCTGCAGAGGGAACTTAGAAAAGAATCTTGGAGTGGAGTGGAGGAGGAAGGGAAAACAGGGTGCTATAGCAAAGAAGGAACTATCAGATAGCAGATCAAGGAGAGAGTCATGCCAAGAAGCTAAGGAAGATGATGACCCTGAAGGATGTAGGAGATAGTCAGCAGTACCAAATGGTATAGCAGTATTGAGAATAATTCCATTATGAATTAAATTACTTAAGGAAAGAATATGGCAATCCTATCACACCTTTGAATTTCAAAGGTGTTGTATTTCTTAAGTTAATTGACTTTACACACAACTGATGTAGAGTAGAACAGGGTGCTTTTTGGTTTATAGGCCAACAGAAGAATTCTTACCAGTTGTTAAAGCCAAGAACCTAACCTCTACTCATGCTCATTTGCTATACTAAAATTCATTGAGTTTGTTTTCTCTTCTTGGAATAGCTGAAACAGAAAAGGAGACAGCCGAGCACCTAGACCTGGCTGGTGTATCTCCTCGGCCAAAAGGTTCACAGGGGAGCAGCCCCTTCCAGATGTCCCCATCATCTCCAGATTCCAAAAAGAAATCCCGAGGCATCATGAAACTCTTCGGAAAGTAAGTAACAGAGTGAACAAGTGGAGTGGACTTTGTCTTATATGTTGTTCAAACGTAGGAAGAAATGGAAAATTGGCTGAAAATGGATATGAAATTGTAAAGCTTCCGTGTTCCTCTTCTGGAAGGAAGATTGTGATTTGGGATTCATTAACTCATTGGGTCTCAAACTTTAAATCCAAATGTCTACTCTAATGACAGACACAGAGGAGTAGCTCAAATGTATACACCGATTACAAATGTTCTGCTTAGTCTAAGGCCTCCTCAGGTCGAATACAGCAATGTGTGTTGTATCTTTTCTTCAGACTTAGGAGAAGTCAGTCAACTACATTCAACCCAGATGACATGTCTGAAACTGAATTCAAACGAGGAGGGACGAGGGCAACTGCTGGGCCCCGATTGGGTTGGTCTCGAGATTTGGGACAATCTAATAGGTAAGAACATCCAAACTAATGGACTTCCGCATCTCTACCCAAGCATCAGGGGGGTCTCATGCGCACCAGCAATGCTAGTATTGTCCCTGGGTTGCACAGTCAGATCCATTGCTTACAGCCATGCCTAGTGGAAGGGTCCGCCATCTTTAGAGCAGTGTAATTTGGCAATGGTTGGTGAACAACTGTGCAGCAGATGTGGGCTATCTGAGCTAGGTGAGGAGCCACAGCTGAAGTGCCCGCAACATCTGTATTAGAATGAATATCAGACTTAGTTTTCAAAGAAAATAATTATAAGTACTCTAAAGCATAGCCTTGCAAAGATAGGACAGTATAGTGTTTACGAGTAGGTTCTAGAGCAGTGGTTCTCAACCTGTAGGTCGCGATCCCTTTGGCAGTCGAACAACCCTTTCACAGGGGTCACCTAAGACCATCCTGCATATCAGATATTTACATTACGATTCATAACAGTAGTAACATTACAGTTATGAAGTAGCAACGAAAATAATTTTATGGTTGGGTCACAACATCACGAACTGTATTTAAAGGGCCAGAAGGTTGAGAACCACTGTTCTAGAGGCAGATTGCTTGGGTCTGATTTCTAGTCTTACCACTTCCTATAAGCTGGATAACGTTGAACAGCTACTTTCATGCTTTGTGTCTCTGTTTCTTGTGGTATGTATTAGTACCTTGCCCGAAAAATGGTTTTGAAGATTAAATTAATTTATATGTGCTAAATATCTGACAAATCACTGTTTAATAAACAATGGAACTGTGAAAGCACCTAAAGATATAGATTCTATCAGAAATCTTAAACTTATTAGGATTATGTAATGTTTTAGTTATTGCGAGTCTAAGAACTTTTCCTACACCTTTCCCACAGTTCAGGGCTGGTTTGGAACTACCTGTACTATACTGACCTACCGAGCATAAAAAGGGTGGGGTTGGCAAACATATAGCACCAATCATTGATACTAAGTCTTTTAACTCTGGTTAGCCTTCTCCAAATACTGAGCAGTCTCATTTGCCATATGTTCTCTTTGTACACAGTAGAGGACCTCCTTGTGCTGATAAAACAAAAAAAAAGTCTTATCACCACTTTTTTTTTTCCCAAACAGGAATACTATTTGTGTGTCAAAGTAAAAGAAAACAGAAATATGCTTTGATTATACTTTCTTATAATCAGTGATGACATATTGCTCCCTTCTCGTTGATCACCACCTGGAAAGAAACCATTATTCTGCTAAAATTAATTCAAGTTTTGAGTTTCTTTTCATCTGACCTAGTGTTTTCTGTTTGTGAATTCAGTCTTCAAACAACATTGGTTGAAACTAGTACAATGACTTGACTTGTTGGTTCAACTCGGTCTTCTACAGAACATGCTTTTGCTGAACCACATTGCATCTTTTGTGGTTTCATTTGAAATGAAGATTGGTCTCACAAGGTCACTTTCAATGCCAGTGCCACTTCCTCTTCCAAATATGTACTGATATTAAGCTTTGCACAGTCCAATGTGTATCACCAGGAAATACCCATATCTGTTGAACATACAGTTGTTCAACCTTGATGATAAGCCATAGGATTGGCTTTGAATTGTTTTTCATACAATTGTTCATTTTCCTGTAGTGACTTGGATATGCCATTTGCCAAATGGACCAAGGAGCAGGTTTGCAATTGGCTTGTGGAACAGGGCTTGGGGTCCTACCTGAATTCTGGCAAGCACTGGATTGCATCTGGCCAAACACTTTTGCAGGCTTCTCAACAAGATCTAGAGAAGGTGACTGCTTCTTTGTTTTTGTTTACATAATGAATTCTGAGAGAGAGATAGAGAATGTGAATGTAGGATTGTTTTCTACGCCTTAAATGGGAATGGGGGGAGCCAGTAAGTGCTCTTGGAAAAGTCTGGCTTTCCTGCTTCGTGCTTATTTTGTTTCATGGACTAAAAACAAAGGATCTGGTTGTAATGATTCCTTATGGAACACTTAAGCCACTGGGCATTTTAATGAAAAATAATTGTATGGCCATAATAATAAACCTTAAGCTCATATTTCTCAAAATCATTCTGTGGCTTTATCGTTATTAACCGGTCTCCCCAATGTAATATATGCAATTCAACTTCACTTTGCAAAAGGCAACAACAACAAAAAAGAGCTCTACATTTTATGTTCCATTATTTAACATTTCCCAATTATTTCCCAATTATTTAATAAGAGTAGAATTCCTGTTCTGCATCCTACAGTTCCAGTCTTGCCCAGGAAGGAGCCTGCTAGTGAATGTCTCACACTCTCCACTGAACTAACTCCAGTGGTCTTGGCCTTCTAGGGGCCTTTTGTTCAGCAACTCTTTACTAGCCAGAGTTAGCATTCTGATTTAATGTCATTGTTGGCTCTTGGATGTTCGCTTCATTTTGGAGGAATTTGCATCCATTGCCAGTGGCACCCAGCCCGTATTGACAGGATTGTAAAGCCAGTGTTTCTGTTTATTATTTCAGGAACTTGGAATCAAGCATTCACTTCATCGAAAGAAACTCCAGCTGGCATTGCAAGCTCTGGGATCTGAAGAGGAAACCAATCACGGAAAGCTGGATTTCAACTGGGTCACTAGTAAGAGGTTTTAAATTCTTGAACTCCTAAGTAAGGAAGCAAGCAAATAAATAAATAATGCCACTCTTCCTTTTTAATCACAAGGACAGGTATTCTGTGGCACGTTAACAACGCACATTTCTCTCCTTTAGGATGGTTGGATGACATTGGCCTCCCCCAGTACAAGACCCAGTTTGATGAAGGCCGGGTAGATGGTCGAATGCTCCATTACATGACTATCGTAAGTGATTCCCTCCTGGGGTGTGGGGGTTTTCACAAGGATTCACCAAGTTTGAATACGTTGCTTTAACTTGAAGATAGGGGCAGGAATATTTCCCATTAGGTTTAAATTGTAGGATTTGGTGGTTGCAACAGCGTTGGAGGATTTAAAACCTAATTTAAGTCAAACTATCCAGAAAATTGATTTCATGTATAATCAATATAGTAGGCATTGAAGTGCATACTTTGAATGGGTGAATTGTATGGTGAGTGAATTATATCTTATGTTTTTTTAAAAATAGAGTGTGGACAACAGTTCCTCTGAATGTCACTTATGACATTCAGCATGCAGCTACAGAGGCATGTAATAGACTGGACGTGCCTATCCAAGCCAATGGTACTCGAGTCTCTATATATCCCATGTACAATTCTCAAATGTTAGCATAAAGGCTTCTAGTCTACCCACGATATGTTAAGTGGCAAAAGCAAGAAATAAAACTAGACTTAAATATGATCCCCCAAAAATGTGTGTAATGAGGTAGGCACAAACACAAATAAGCATACACAAAATAAGAAAAAATCGAAAGTGTTAAGAGTAGTTAATTTTAAACGGTAAGATTACAGATGGTTTTTCTTTTTTCTTTTCTGTTTTTAAAATCTTCTGCATGAACAAATATTACTGCTACAATAAAAAAATAAACTTCCTTTAAAAACTTTCCAAAAAAAAAAAAAAATAGAGTGTGGAGTTTTTAATCCCTGGCAGTTTCTAAATTTTATATTCCTATATGCAGTGACCACTCAGGAAAGGCTACCCTTCTGGCCTGAAATCCAGAGGGACTTGTCTTCTCTCACATTTGAGAACTGTTACCTGGAAGCTTCTCACTTCTGCCCAGTTCTGCTAGAGCGGGAGTCACCCTGGGGTAAAGAAGTAGGGGAAAGGTTGACTTTCACTCTGATTCCTTCATTATGGTTTCATATGTCCAGCCTTTTGCCCCAGGGGTAGAAGGACTTTCCCCTGCTTTACAACAGTGGGGAGAGATGGATTCCAGGAGAACGTGTTCTAGATGCCACAGTACTTACCTGGGTTCTACCTGACATACTTTTACTGAAACAAAATTTATTTTATTTTATTTTTTTGTGAGCTGGGCTATGGATTCAGCTACCATAAGTATCTCCTTTAAATAAGTTGAAAGTTTCAAACAGCTAACTTAAATGAGAATTATCCAATATTAAGAAACTTGGAGATCAGCTCATGGGATTTGCTTTCGTCTCTATCATTGAACCAAGTCTATATCTTGGTGGGCACATCTTGCTACACTAACAGGTGGTATGTTGCACATTTGCTGTGTGCCAGGCACTTTACTGGGATCAATACTGAAGTCTCGGCAGTCCTTGAGCTAGCATTCTTATTATCCTCAGTTTTTAGATGAGGAAGCGAAAGAACCCAGAAATCAGGTAACTTGACCGAGCTTCCACAGTTACAGAGTAGGAGAAACATCATATGGCATTTGAACCTACGCAGTTTCCAGACCCCTGCTCTTGATAGTTCACAGCTCCACCTGGAGCAAATTCAGTAAATATTGGCCTGCCTAGCTAGGTCTAAGTACGCTCCCCTAGGAATGTGAGCAAATTCAGGCTTAAAATCTTTATAAAAAGTATATCTATAACTCTCATAGCTACCCTATATAATAAAAGTGTAATATGCAAATCGACCGAACAGTCGAACAGCAGAACGACCATCCGGAGGACCATCCATGACCACACTATGACACCCGCTGGTGCCAGGCCAGCCAAGGCGGGTGCGATGCGATTGGTCGGGGACCCGGCCATTGCCCCATGATCTCCCCACAGAGGAAGGCCCAGGCCACCAGCCAGCAGGGCGATCAATCAGGGGGGCTCCACGATCACCCCAAAGAGGGAGGCCGAGGCCACCGACCAGCGGGCTGCGGCAGGTGGGCAGGACCTCCCTCTGCGAGGGATGCCCAGGTCCCAGGTGCTGGTGGCTGAAGGGAAGCCCAGGTGCCCTCGGCCGGGGAAGGAAAGCCTACTCTTGCACGAATTTCGTGTATCGGGCCTCTAGTAAATGAATAAATGACCTTAGAAAATTTGATCCTGGAAGTTCTAAGTCATAAAAAAATATGTTTTTAATGTGGTATCCTGGGTTGGATCCTGGGACAGAAAAAGGACCTTCATGAAAAAACTGTTGAAATCTGAATGAAGTCTGTAGTTTGTTTAATTTTATTATTGTCTATGTTAATTTCTTAGTTTTAGTGAATATGTTATAGTTATATGTTAACACTAAGGGAAGCTGGGTGAAGGGTATATGGAACTCTCTGTACTATTATTGGCAACTCTTCTGTAAATCTAATAGTACATAAAAATAAAATAGTACATAAAAATAAAATCCAAAAAAGTGTTTTGATTAAAAAAGGAAATGGTCCCTATTTTTAAAATCCCTTAAGCTAGTAAAATTTTATTTATGTTATGAACATTATGCATTTTTTTAAAATCTGATAGATTTTAAGTTGAAAATAGCCCACATGCAAATGTTTTAAATGGGTGTTTCAATCTTAGATTGTCAAATGTCCTTTCTAATTTATAAGGCACTACCTTTAAGAAGTTAATCCAGAAAAATTTAGGAAAGAATTTTTGCTCAGTGAGTAGCCTTTAAGGATTTAGACTGATTGCTTAATATTTAGAAAATATTTTTATAATAGATTAATTTTTTTTTCCTCATAAAGAATGTTATCAGTAAGATGTGTCTAACATGGATGTTTTCTTTGTTTATTTTCTGGGTGTGTTTGGATGTAGGCCTGTGCTTATGTTGACACTGCCACCCAAATCACCTTCTTCTAAAATAATTTGTTTTGGTGTGTTTGGTATGTTTGAAATGTGCCCAGTAACCACAGACTGGCCAAAGTTATTCCTTGAAGGAAATGATTGGTGATATGTGTAGATACTTACATATAGCTTCTTAATTTCTTTACACTCAACTCTGAACAAGACCTTTGCTTTGGTTGACATAGATTTTCTAAAAATTTCCATAGTGTCTGCTGGATAACACATACAGATCTAGAGCTAGGGATTTCTTGAGGTTGGGGGGATAGTGTGTGCCCACTCTTCTGGTTTTTCCCAAAACTGATGTGTGTTAGCTCAGAAAAGCAAACCTCGATAGTCAATGAACATCACTTGCTCTTAGCTCTCTGCTTTATCAAAGCAGGTCACTGTTTGTCATGACCCAGTGAGTGCTTTCCAAACTGTGTTTCAGAGCGAAGGGATCCCACAAGCCTATCCCAGAATGTTTGGGAGAGAAATAGATGGAAGTCAGTGTCAGTCAGAACAACATTAATTTTGGTTTTCTGATATATCGGGTCCTGGAGAAGATTTTGATTGGAACAAGGAAAAGGGTCTTGCTATTGAATAAAGGCTTTGAACACAATGACAAGCCCTCGGGGTCGATGAGGAGAGGGGCTCTTCCACTTTCATGTGCGTTTTCTGAGACTTCCTTGAGGAGGTCGTCCTGCTCAAGGAGCCCCGCGTTTTGTTCTGTTCTGCAGGATGACTTGCTGTCTTTGAAGGTCGTGAGTGTGCTGCATCATCTCAGCATCAAAAGGGCCATCCAGGTCCTGAGGATCAACAACTTTGAACCCAACTGTCTACGGAGGCGGCCGTCTGATGAGGTAGCATCTGAGTGGAGGGTTACTCAGCACGTGCCTTCCATGCACACGACTGTCGGAGTGTTCAAAACTGAAACCCATTTCTTCTTGGAAACTGCGGGGAGGGCTGCTGGTTCCCTCAGACCCTCACATCCAGCCTCATTTACGTTTTTGGCTTTGTTTTCCTGTATTCCTTCCCTCCCTCCCATGAGGGTCCTACCTGTGTCATGGAAGCCAAGGGTTGTGATTTAGTTTCCCTTCCTCCTTTTCTTGAGTGTATTTTATTTTCCTCCCTCCTTAAACCAGAGGCTTAAATATCACTATAAAGACTTCCTTTCCTAAAGCCCTGCTCTAATGGTGTGTAAAAAAAAAAGCTTGAAACTTTGTGCCAATTTTCTTTCAAAGAGAATTCAAATTAGCAATCACTTTTTTACCCTATCTGTGAACATTTAGTGGGAGGTTCTGCGGGGCAGACTTTTGGATGGATTGTGCAGGTGGGATATTAGGAATCCCATCATCAGTGACTGAAGCTCTTGGTGTCCTCTGTTCCCATAGAATAGCATCACCCCGTCAGAGGTGCAGCAGTGGACCAACCACCGGGTGATGGAGTGGCTGCGTTCTGTGGACTTGGCAGAATACGCCCCCAATCTCAGAGGCAGTGGTGTCCATGGTGGGCTCATGGTAAAAAACTATTTTAATTTGAAATTGACTTCTTATCATTTTATCTCCTTTAATCTAATGAGTGGGAGCATATCAGTTTACTTATTATAACCCTTAAGATGGCTAACCCAACCCTACTGCACTATTTCTAGTGGATTTTTACTTTCAGTGTGTTTTTCCCCTTATTTTTTACTCTAGATCAGATTTAAACCCCTCTCTTCCATTGTCCTCTTTTCTGTTGGATAACATCTGGCTGCTGGCTCTCATATGATCATGTTTTAAAACCTCTGCAAAGATACAGATTGTATTTCTGCACGCAGATGTTGCAAAGAAGTTGGCTGCCAAAAGCATCCCAAATGTTGCTCTGACTGGAAGCCTCAGTTGGTTAGAGCATCGTCCCAATACGCCAAGGTTGCGGGTTCGATTCCTGGCCAGGGCACATACAAAAATCAACCAATGAATGCATAAATAAGTGGAACAACAAGTCAATATTTCTCTCTCCATCTCTCTCTCAAATCAGTTTTTTAAAAAATAAAAACAAAATGCCTGTATTCAAAGACATCCCAAATGCCATATCTCAGAGAGAGGTAGAAGCCTGGATGTCAGCTCTCTTCTCACTAGCTTGGGCAGAATAAAGAAAAGAAAAGAAATTAAAGATTAAAGTTTATACGCAGTGTATCTCACTGAGTAGGTCATTGGAGAAAACTAAATGAAAGAGCTTTGCAAATTATAAAGCACAGTGCAGACATGTGTGATATACCGTACCTTACACATCTTTATTTTTCTTATAGGTTCTAGAACCCCGGTTTAATGTAGAAACAATGGCTCAGCTGCTGAACATCCCACCGAGTAAGACCCTGTTGAGAAGACATTTGGCCACTCATTTCAACCTTCTGATTGGTGTTGAGGCCCAACACCAGAAGCGTGATGCCATGGAGTTACCAGATTATGTACTTTTAACAGCCACTGCCAAAGTGAAGGTTAGTTCAAGCTCGCATCATTTGATAATTGGTTATACCAAAAACGAGAACAAAAGCTCAGTTCTGTTACCCGGCTATCCCATTTTCTGGGATTTACTAAGTTCTGTGGATGGGTTGAAGGAATGTGCATCTTTAACAATAATCAATAAAATACAATTTTAAAGGTTTTCTTCTGGGGGAATTTTTGCTAAAATCATTTATTTTATTAGGGTTAACAATAATAAAGAACATGATGTTGGTTTCTATAATGGATACATTGCCAAGGCAGAGAGCCCATGACTTGGACCCAAATATTGATTGCAGTTGTCCTATTTTTGCTGTGGATAAATCAAATGTACGAGTTGCCTTTCTCCTCATACAGATTCTGCTTGTCTGGCCTATAATTGACCAACCTTGCAAGTTAGACAAAGGCACGCCAGCAGAGAATGGATGTTCCTAGTTTGCCTGGATTCATGGAGCATACGAATTTCAGACTCCTTTTTCTTCTTTTAAATGATTCCTGAGCTAACTCTTCTGCGTGTTATCTTAACCAGCTTAATGTGGATGTAGGGTTTATTGACTCCTTCACAAATATGTATCAAGTTCTTTTTTTTAAATATATTTTTATTGATTTCAGAGAGGAAGGAAGAGGGAGAAAGAGAAACATCAATGATGAGAGAGAATCATTGATTGGCTGCCTTCTGCACGCCCCCTACTGCGGATCGAGCAGCAACCCCGGCATGTGCCCTTGACAGGAATCGAGCTAGGAACCCTTCAGTCTGCAGGCCAACATTTTATCCACTGAGCCAAACCAGCTAGAGCTCAAGTTCTTTTTTTTTTAACCCCCTCTACCTGCTTGACACTTTCTCTTCACCTCCCTTTCTCCTTTATAAGATGTGCCAGATTTGAAACTCTGAGAGATTCTGTTCTATACAAATTCTCTGCATCAGCCAATTACCATCTACTTAACAGTTTCCGTGACTACCCAGTGACTAAGATGTAGTTTCTCTTCTAAGTCTCACTGGAAGTTTTTTCTCCCAAAGAGCAAGGATTCTTTTAGCAGTCACCACCCTGTTATAGAAGCATAACAGGCATACAAGATAATCACAGCCTCACCCAAAAAGAAAATACAGTAAGGGCCATTTTCTTTTGCTGATCTTAGACTAGAAAACCTTGTAAAATTGTATTTATCCCTGAGGAATCTCATTTGCATTAAGTCTTGTTGAAGCAAAACTAAGGCTCTTTACATATTTTGCTTTTATAACTGTGACTACCTAGCTAGTTGGAGTGAATAAGGAGAACAAATGTAATCTTCTGAGATTTTTAAGGGATCATTGATCATATTTGGATGCATCAGTCATAGGCCTAGGATGCCTTAGTTTTTGTTATACAAATTTAATCATTCAGTTGCTTTTCTCTGTATGATGAAATGAAATTATACATGTTATTAGTCCTTTTTTATATGAATTTTATCAAATCCCTGGAGGTTACTGTTTTCTTTGTTTTAAAGCCAAGGAAGCTCACCTTCAGCAATTTTGGGAATCTGAGAAAGAAGAAACAGGAAGATGGGGAAGAATATGTTTGTCCAATGGAATTGGGACAGGTCTCAGGAAGTGTGTCTAAGAAAGGACCTAAAGCTGGCTTGGAGATGCGCCTGGATGATTTGGACCGGTTAGAGCAGGTAAGTGCTAAGTACAACATTACCTAACTATTTTCAAGTTCTCCCAGCATTGAAACACTCAATGGAAACTTTTCGTATTGTGTCCACTAAGCAAAGAAGTTTTCTTCCAATGCTTAAAAATAAAGGTAATAATAAAATGATGGTGAACACTTGCAGACTGCTTACTATTTCCTAAGCACTTAACATATATTAATGTTCACAGTAATCCTAAAGCATAGGGAGTATTCTCATCTTAATTTTAGAGATCAGGACACTGGGGCACAGAGAGATTAAGTAACTTACCTAAGATAGAAGAGCTGGGATTCCAACTTGCCAGGCTGGCTCCCAACCCTGTGCCTTACCTACGTTACCCTAGCTCTGTATTAAGGAAATCTGAGTATGAAAACGAGTCAGGAATGGACAGCTCATACTACTTAGCCTTTTCAGTATGAAGTCATGGGACTGAAAATTGCCCTTTAATCAGTAATCCTTTGGTGCCATTGTCAGCATCAGAGCATTTTGTCTAGAAGTGCCGATGAAGTGTTTCTTCTGAATTTTCACATCTAATCACAGCAGTGCAAGGTGATTATCATCAGAAGTATTCCGTTGCTCCTCTCCCATTCAACACAACTTGCGTTATTTCTTCTCAGATGTTTGTTCATTTTGCCGCACTTTCCTTGCGGTTGTGCAGATGAGTTTGTCACGTTATGGTGTGCTCTTTGCAGATGGAGGATTCCGAAGGGACAGTGAGGCAGATAGGTGCGTTCTCTGAAGGCATCAACAACCTCACGGTAGGTTTGTGAAATGAGCTTAAAATCTTACTCTAAGAATGCGTTTGAAAATCACCCCAAGGGTCTGCACGTAGAGCGCAGTGTGTGTGACTCCAGTCTCTTTGTTTCCCAGCACATGTTAAAGGAAGATGACATGTTTAAAGATTTCGCTGCCCGGTCCCCCAGCGCCAGCATTACTGACGAAGACTCAAACGTTTGATCGTAGCACCTGGATGGGCATGAGGAGCCCTTGGTCCCTTTCCACTTTATTTCTACACTCCCAGTATATCCAGCAAGTAGCGGGTTGTATATTGTTTATCAATCACCTTCTGCTCATTTAGAAGTGGAAATGGAAAGCCGGGGATCTGTGCCTATTTTAAAGCTGCCGCGGAAAGTGAGACACTGGTGAATGAGAGTATAATTGTTTTTCCTCTATTTAATGTAAAAATCTGTGATATATTATATTTAAAGTGTTGCATTTACCATGAGAGGACTTTACCATAGTGTTTCCGGTCATGTTCACGGTATGGAGGACTTGGGAGAGCGGGAACTCACAGGTGGCTGATTCTGTCAGGTCGGTGTAGCCACTGAAGCAGAACACGTGCTTTTAAAATCAGGATGTGGAATCTCTCTAAGATCCAGCGTGCCCACTAAATGCCAGCCACACCTCCACTTGCCCCCTAGTGTCCTATTTTTATATATTTTTCTAAATATATGTATATATTTAGTACACAGAACATAGAACTTTTATTTTGTGACATACCTAAGGAAGATGGTAAAAAAAAAAAAGATCACATTGAAAAAAATACGGTGATCAAATTTTTCACGTGCCAGCTGGTTCTCGGACGGGTCAGGATAATCTTTCTTTCTCCACAACCGAATTTTAATGATGTTGATCACTCGGACTAAATTAGTGTATGTGAAATAACTCTTCTTCGATGACACATGACAAAATTGTTGGTTTTTAAAGAATTTCGGCCTTTAATCTTAGATTCTTTTAAACTCATAAGAAAGAACTTGAGGGACATTTGCATTCTATTAACTTGAACGCATTCAGAAGCTGCCCCAAATTTTGTAGAAATGATTTCTGAAGAAACCAAAATAAAAACCTTTACAGTATTAAGCTTCTTATTTTCCTCTTTGCTAAATAGACCATTGTCTCAAAATACCAGCAGCCTGACTAATGTACATTTCTCAGACTACCCATGAATGGAAGGAATCCTTTTAAAAAAAGCCGAATATCTGTTTGAACATTTTGTCTCAATCAGAGTTTAATAACTCTGAGGCTGGAAAAGAATGCCTATCTTGTGCTAATAAAATGTAGTTCATGTTTTTCCATAGCACAGGGCCCAAATATTCTTTATAAAGAAAATACAAAGCTGCAGCAAAAACTGTCACTGTGTTTATTATTCTTTTTAGGGGTATCAGAAATAATATTCTATTTTTTTATTCAGTACTACATCATTACCATGATAGCCAACTGTGGTAAAGACTGTTTTTCACAAATTGGCATAGGGGTGGGCAGTTCAGTATACACCGGTGGGCTTACTTACAAACTATATTTGAATATCAGTGATACGATCTTTCAAGTTATCAGCAACTTTACCAAGCTTTTCGTCAAAGAACCTATAATACTACATTACTGTTTATTCATGACTACAATGATTTGATGCTAACAATAATCTTTTGCTCCCTACCATTCATTATTTGATAACTGTATTGGACTCTTAATGTACTTGTGTTTTATTTTCATGTGGATATATGTCACCATTTGAAAAACAAATTTGATATTTCAACCTGGTTAAAAATACCAGGAGACTGTTACAGAGGCCAAATATTCTTTATTCAGGACATTGTAATATAACTGATTCTATGTGATGAGGTTAAATTTTTTTTGATATTTTATTTACAAAATATTATACACTGCTGGTATCACCATATGAAAAGAAATAAAGTCAGCTGATAATTGCCTCATATTTTTATTGTCTGTTACTTTATTTCCCTTTGTCAGTATAACCAGTAGGCTTTATTTCTGATATAGAGAACAATAACGAACTCTTGATAATTCACAAACTCCCATAAAATATTTTGCATGGGATTCCTAGCATGTACCAACAGGTAGGAATATGAGACGTTTTTTTGAGAAACGTTTGTGTGGAAGGAAGCACGGGCCGCTGAGCTGGGGATAAGGAGTCATGGCAGAGAGGATCCTGGAAAAGCAAAGGGAAATGACTCACCTGCAGATCTGAAGAAGTTAGTTGTAGAGCCCAGCCGGCATGGCTCAGTGGTTGAGCATCAACTTATGAACCAAGAGGTCATGGCTAGATTCCCAGTCAGGGCACATGCTGGGGTTGCAGGCTTAATCCCCAGTGGGGGGCGTACAGGAGGCAGCGAATCAATGATTCTCATCATTGATGTTTCTATCCCTCCCTCTCCTTTCCTCTCTGAACCAATAAAAAAATTTTTTTTAAAAACACTTAAAAAGAAGTTAGTTGTAGAAAGTATATGGTTCTTTAAGGAATTAAATGCTATTTTTAACTGAACTGAAATTTGAAAAGATGCAGCATATCTTAGAAAAGATTACCAAATAGGAAAAGTACGGTGACTATACCCTGAGAAGAACAGATGCTTTTTGTGAAAGTATCTCTCACTTTAGTAAACCAGCAGGAATCTGCATGAATAAAACACACCCAGTTGGCAAACAGGGAGAGCTATTTGTTTAGCTGTATGCATATATGCTTAGCTATACCAAGTAAGCTGCGGAATTAGAAAACTGGGACCGCATTAATAGATGCAGCTTCACTGCAAGACGTTCACTCCGAAAAAGAAGTCGTTCTGATCGAAGGCCACATGTTTGATATTTGGAAGCGGTATTGATTGAGTGCAGAGGAAATGGGGCAGAAACCTTCGCAACAGTCGGCTCCCAAGGACAGCCAAGAGGTTGTCAGCGTCTGTGAGGTGTTCAGTGGAGCTATCGTGCATGCCGCTCAGAAATTGGAGGAGTACCTTGGATTTGAAGACCCTCTGAGCAATCTGAGCCCAGCTCCAGACACTCTGAATGAGATCTTCTTAATCCACTTCGTCACTTTCTGCCAAGAAAAGGGCGTTGATGAGTGGCTCACCACCACCAAGATGACCAAGCACCAAGCCTTCCTGTTTGGGGCCGACTGGATTTGGACCTTTTGGGGATCTGATAAGCAAATAAGGCTCCAGCTGGCGGTACAGACCCTGCGGATGTCTTCTCTTCCTCCTGTAGAGTCTAAGCCTTGTGAGGCCTCCAAGCCAGAATCCAGGGCAGAGTCTTCCCGGAAGAGTAGATTTGAAAAGCTGGACGAATTCTGTAGCCTGATAGGAGAGGATTGTCTGGGCCTGTTTCTCGTCTTCGGTGTGCCAGCAAAGCCTAAAGACATCAGGGGAGTTGTCCTGGACAGTGTCAAAAGAGAGATGGCCAGGGGCCGTCTGCCCGGAGGGAAGGCTGTGGCACAATTTGTCCTGCAAACTAAAGACTGTGTCTCCGTTAGAGAGCTGCTTGGAAGCTGTCTGAGTAAGAAAGACGGGCTACGGGAGGTGGGCAAGGTTTATATTCGCATCCTCTGAACTAGATTTGTGTGATGAGACTGGCCTGTGAGGTGAAAAGGAAAAGATATTTTCTTCTAATAAGCAAGCCCTTCCACTTGCATCATCCCAGCATGGAATTCCCCCTCCCTCTCCCACATTGAATGAAAATGATCACCTGGACAAAACGTTTGAGTGTCATGATTATGGAGATTTCCATATTGTTGGGAAAACTGACAATTTAGCTTACTCTTTCATTTCTTTACTCAATGATAAAAATGGGAGGGGAGAATAATAAAGTCACCCTTAAAGTTTGATTTGCAAAAAAAAAATGTCTTTGTTTGAAATAACAAGTCTAGCTCTGGAAAGTGTAAAATGTGACTTTACTGCTGTGGGTGAGAGATGGGTAGGGTGAGGTGGTGCATAAGACTATAGAACAGGTTTAATTACATTTACAACACCAGTCTCAATTCAGGACTACCAAGTGAAATCTCAAACTGCTTTCTTCCTCTGACCCCTGCCCTTACTCCCACATTACCTCAAACTGCTTCTTCTGTGTAGTTTTTTTTTCCATCAGAATATGTTCTATGCATTTTTTAAAACACACACACACACACATCTAAAGCAAAAGCTGGATCCAGATTCAGCTGGGATGCAGGTCTGACTCCACACTGGAGTAGCAGGTCTGACTCCACACTGGAGTATCTGATCGGCTTCCCATGAGTGGAATACAATGGAGGTATATTCCACGTGGTCTGGCGATGCCCGCCTGGGGCAATCAAAAAGGGGACATGTTGGCATAGACAGTGAAGTCATCCTCTTTCCAGAGGGCCAGGTTGATCGTCTTGGAATATATGGCATCCGCATGGCAGGAAAGCTCCAAAGATTTGCGGAGAAAGTTGGTCTGATGCCTCAGTTGTTTCTTAAAAAATTGTGCCTCCATTTCTTCAGGGCCTTGGACAAGGGCCACTACTCCAATGAAGCTAGAAACAGCTGTGCCAAAGCTGCTAAGTTCCCCAGGTGTAGTCTCTGGCTTCAGGGTGCTGATGTCCTCCCAGCAGAGCAATGGTGTGGGGATGTCCAGGGAGGCATTGGTGGCTCTGGAATCTGAACCCCTGGTGGGATTCACTTTGGGATCTGCTTGAGTGTTACCTTGTCCTGTGATTTAAACACAGTAACCCAGTTAACAATCACTTGTACTAACGCTAAACATTTATTTAGCCTTTGCAGTAAAGATAATGTATACATATATAAAAACCATCTTTGCTTCAAATCCTGGGTGGGAGGAAAAATAGTTTTTCCCCTACTCCTCTAGATGGTAGAAGCAAAGAGTGCTTAGAAGTGTAAATGGAAGATAGATTCATTCACACTTGATTGCTAAATGCCTATGTTAAGGCCGTGTTCTATGCCCTGACAAATCAGCAGTAAAAAGAACCATATCCTATTTGGGGTTAGTTTCCCTCTTAATGGTGGAAGACAGAAAATAAAATATATACATATGTTTAAAATGTATATTTAAGAAATATAACAGGTGGTGTAAAGAAAAATAAAGCATGGGTAAGAGGATAGAGTGAAGGAGGTGCTATTTTATATGGGGTAGTTAAGGAAAGCCTCAATGAAAAGGGCCAAGTAGAAATCTGGATTGAATTAAGAGACAGCGCATCAGTGCAAATATCTGGAAAAGTGTTCTAGGCATAGGGAATGGCAAAAGGCCTGGAAGGGGCGTGTATTTGATATGTTTGAGGCATAGCGGAGGAGGCTGGTGTGGATGGAGCAGAGTGAGCCAGAGGAAGAGTAATAGATGAGGTCAGGGAGGTAGCCAGCAAACACATCAAGCAGATAGGACTTGTAAGGCTGGATTTTATTCTGAGTGATATGGGGAGACAAAGGCCTTGCTCTGACTGACCCTTTAAATGCCTCATTTGATTGCTGGGTAGAGACTAGAACCAGTGATGGCGAACCTTTTGAGCTCGGCGTGTCAGCATTTTGAAAAACCCTAACTTAACTCTGGTGCCGTGTCACATATAGAAATGTTTTGATATTTGCAACCATAGTAAAACAAAGACTTATATTTTTGATATTTATTTCATATATATATTTATATATATATTTTATATATATTTATTTAAATATATTTTATATATTTAAATGCCATTTAAAGAAAAATCAACCAAAAAAATGAGTTCGCCTGTCACCTCTGACACGCGTGTCATAGGTTCGCCATCACTGGACTAGACTGTAGGGAGGAAAGAGTGACAGCAGTGCCCAGGAGGACAGGTAGGAAGCTATTAAAGGAAACCATTTGATAGAGAAAAGGGTGGCCTGGACCAAAGTGGGGGAGGATGAGGGATGAAGAGGTCAGATTTATAACTAGTTGAAGGTTAAAAACATACAGCTGATGATTGGATGAGGAGTATGAAGTATATCACAATTACAATGTTGTATTTCCAAACTTCTTAAATATTATGAATATATGCAAAGGCGGAACTATATTTGCCTTTGATGTTTCTTCATTCCAGGAAACCCAAAGATCAAGGAAAGCATTTAAGCCCTCACTGCCTTTAGTAAGTGAACATGAATAGGCTCAGGAGACATCTCTTGAAGCTGTTAAACAATTATTCCTACTTTGTTCCTAGAAGGTTATAATACCCAGTTAATGTTTCCTTGTTATATAGTGACCCCTGTCTGCAGCAATGCTGTGTATAATAAGTTATCAAGATGTTGGTGTAGCATAGAAAAACCAGTATTCAACTTGGAATCAGATGTGGGTTTGAGTCTCAGTTCTCTTAAGAGCAAAGTCTACCCGCTTAACTCTTTGAGTTTTTTTTAATCTGGAAAACGGGAATGACTTCAACTAATTCAAAGAAGACAATGCTTGTGACATTCTCTATACTAAAGTATAAGCTTACCAAGATTTTGAAGTCTAGTACAAATTGTAAGTCTTCATGTTATAATCAGCTGGGTGATATAAACCAAAGACTCACCATATTTTTTAAAATTAAAATAAACATGTGAAGCTTTTGCTGATTTAAAAAATAGCTTTGTGTGTGTGTGTGTGTGTGTGTGTGTGTGTGTGTGTGTGTGTGTGTTTGTGGCTATGAAACTTGGGAGATCTGGCCGGGCCGAGGACATCAGATCTCATTGTCCTCCCAGCACATCAACCCTCCCCTGAAGGCCCTCAATAAAATAGATTGATCCTAAAAAAAAAAAAAAAGTAAGTAAATAAATAAATAATACTGTATTCTCTTATTTAAAAATCTGCATTCTGATATAAAAATTAAAGTAAAGAAGTGTGGAAAGTTAAGTCTTCAAGAGTCTCACCTCCCCGCCCCCCCTCCATAGCCACTCCCTCTAGTTTGCTCTTTACGCATCCAGAACCTGTACTGTATATTAAAAGTATTTTATACAAACAGAAGCATATGATCCATAAATGCCTTTTCACATTAAAAACTTAGGTATTGTGGACCATTTTCCACGCTAATAGATTTTTATCCACATGGTTCTTTTTAAGGCTGACATCAATGCTCCTCAGGCCTGTCTGCATATTAGAGTTACTTGGGGAACTTAAAAACAATAAAACACCAATGCTCAAAACACACCTAGACCAATGGATCAGCATCTCAGAAGGAGGGGCCCTATACCATTTTTTAAGTATCTTCTGAGGTAATTCTAATGTTCAAAAAGGATTAAGACCCATATGTCTAAATAGTATTCTATATTGTATAAACCATAATATATTGAACCAATACTGATTTCAGAAAGAGGAAGGGAGAGGAAGAGAGAGCGAAGGAAACATTGATCAACCATTGAGCCATACTGGCCAGGCTAACCAATACTGTTTTGATGGATATTTAGGTTGCAAAGTACATCCACATACCTGGATATTTGCATATTGTCTATTTACTATGCTTGTGAATAGATATACTTAATTCACTTACTTTTTCTAAAGAAATTAGTTTTGATTAATAGCTCAGATGGAAAGTCATTGGATTAAACTAGGTTTTAAGTATAATAAAAGCCCACTATTAAAAACACCTTAATACTTAAAATTGTTCTACACAAGGACTGGCTACATAATTTGTAATGCCCATGCGAAATGAAAATGTGGGGTCCTTGTTCAAAAATTATTAAAAATTTCAAGATGCACAGCAGAGCATTCACCAAGCATAGGGCTCTTCTAAGTGCAAGTCACATGCCTATGAAACCAGTTTTGTTTCTACAATAGGTATGTTGGGATATTTGGTCATGAAGGCTGAAGGAAAGATTTTTATCATAGTAAGTGGTTGCACATTAAATTCTTTTCCAATTAAAAAGTTATGTAATTCTTAGTAGCTCCTTTGTACACAATAGTACATGCTTTACTCTTTAAAAAAATATTTGTATTGATGATTTTTAGAAAGAGGGGAAGGGAAAAGGAGAGAGAGAGAAAGAAACATCGATGCGATGCAAGGGAAACATTGATCGGCTGCCTCCTGCATGCTCCTTGCTGGGGATCAAGCCCACAATGGGGCATGTGCCACGACCAGGAATAGAACTGACAACCTTTTGGTGCATGGGACAATGGCCAACCAACTGAGCCACACTGGTCAGAGTATGCTTTACTCTTTACACTGCATGAACCAGTTATTATTATTGCCTGTTGATAGCATTGCAAATGAGTTTTTAACTATTAATATAGAATGAACTTTATTGTACTTGATACCTGGGGAAACAATAAGTGTTTCTCTGGCTCCACTAACTCTAATCATATCTATCCACTTTATTCTTAGAGAAAGAGTAAACAAAAGACAGAAAGCACAGGAAAGTAGACTGAGGACCTAAGTCTCTTAACATCTTACTCAGAAATTGAGAATTCTCTGAATGAAAATCAATTTTATAATGACTCATATCTTTTTTTGTCCCTAAATTTCTATGGTATAGGCCTTGCACTTTATTATACTAAAATATACAAACTCGCCGAAACCGGTTTGGCTCAGTGGATAGAGCGTCAGCCTGCGGACTGAAAGGTCCCAGGTTCGATTCCGGTCAAGGGCATGTACCTGGGTTGCGGGCACATCCCCAGTAGGAGGGGTGCAGGAGGCAGCTGATCGATGTTTCTAACTCTCTCTATCTCTCTCCCTTCCTCTCTGTAAAAAATCAATAAAATATATTTAAAAATATATATATTTAAAAAAAATAAAATAAAATAAAATATACAAACTCAAGAGAGAAAAACTGGCTGCTGTATTGACTCAGCTTAATTCTAATGGCCACCATTTATATTACACCTTCTGAAATATAACTCAATCACAATGGTCCTGAGGAAGATATTATTGTTTCTGTTTTCTTTGAAATGGAAGCTCAGGGATGTTAGGTGGACTTGCCCAAGATCACAAAAAAAGCAGAGCCTGGGTTCAAACTCCATATTCATCTGTTAAAACACCATACTTTTCATCTTAAAAATAGAAGAGAAGGTAAAACACTATGTGAAGATAGAGGCAGAGATTGGAGTGATGTGTCTACAAGCCAAGGAATGCCATGGATTGCCAACAATCATCAGAAGCTAAGAGAGGGGCATAGACAGATCCTCCCTCTGAACTTCCAGGAGGAACCACCAACCCTGCCTATGCCTGGATTTTGAAGTTCTAGTCTCTAGAACTGTGAGAGTATAAATCTCTGTTGTTTTAAGTCACCTAGTTTGTGGTATTTGTTACAGCGGCTCTAGAAAACTAATACATCTAATACTTCTGCTTTGGAACAATAATGGATAGTAAGAGGCCAAAAGAGATGAGAATGGTGATTATTACAAATACTTCTCCCTGCCCTAATTTGGCTCACTGGATAGAGCGTTGGCCAGAGGACTGAAGGGTCCCAGTTGCTATCCTCCTCGGGTGAGGATTAACAAAACACACACCTCAACAAATACTTGTCCCTATCATGCTATTCCCCCCACCCCCACCTCAACCCACTCCCATCACATACTGATTGATGCCCATGTGCACTGAATGCTCATAGATAGAATACCCTGGGACACCAGCATACTTCTGCTCTGCCAGCTGTATGCTTACCAAGAGTCAGTTGTGTTTGTTCCATGCTGTTCTTATTATAATTTTGTACTTTGATTAAATATTATACATAACAGCTGAAAAAAACAGGGAATAATTTTATTAAGGGTTGTATGTTCATTCATCCTCATAATAAACTCATGAAAAAGAATGACCATTATATTCTAAGTCCTGATGAATACTGACTTTTTGTAATTCTAAACTGATCTACAAACGAACTAACCAAATCACTGAACAATTACATCCAATGCGGACATAATACTCATTGTACATCAATATTGTACCCACATGTTTGTCTATATTAACTAGATTAGACTAACACAGCCTAGAAATGGTGAAACCAAGTTTTAAAGTCAAGTATTCTTTTAACTATCAGATACTGCCTCTCCCCTTGGAATGTGTCCATTGCACTAGCTGAACACATTCTTTAATGCAAGAACCTGTAGAAAAGCAGCCATTGCAAAGGAGCACGGCTCTAGGGTAGACCCGGGCCAGGAGGTCCCACCCAGACCACACCTGCCCTCTGTGAGCGACATTTCCCCATCACCTTATGATCATTATTTGCAATTGTCTTTGGACTGCCTGCTTCGATATATTTTTTAAGCGTTTTGCTTCCTTTTCATGACTTTTTTTTCTCTTTTCTGTGGTGCACTTTTGACTCTGGCCCTGACTTCCCAGACCCACGTGTATCCTGTTTATGCACCCCAGGGGCGGGGCAAAGCGGGCGAGCATGCGCAGTAGCGGCCTCAGGCCCGCCCCCTGACCAACGGGATCGCGCTTGTCCTGCCCGAGCATGCGCGGTAGCAGCCTCAGGCCCGCCCCCTGACCAACGGAATCGCGCTTGTCCTGCCCGAGCATGCGCAGTAGCGGCTCAGGCCTGCCCCCAAGAGCGGGATCGCACTTGGCCAGTCCGGCTTGCCGTCTTCGCAGCCATGGCGGCCGCGTCGCTCCCCGCGTGGCGGTGCCTGCAGCCGAGGGCCGGGACCGTGCGTGCCTTCTCCACCGCAGCGTCTCCCACCACTCTCCCCGGGAATCCACGCCCGCGTGAGTGTCTGCCGCGTCGCCTCCGGGCTCTGGGGGAGGTGAGAGGGCGGAATATAGGACCCGTGGAGGCCGCCGCGGTGTCCCTGGCCCTGCCGCCTGGCCCTGGCTCGCCTGGCGGGAAAGCCGTGCCTGTGGGTCTGCCCGCCGTCCGGGTGTCGCCCGGTTCCTAGCCGCGGATTGCTGCGCTGGGGCCATTGCGGACCACGAGCCTGCCCCTCCCTCCCGGGTACCCGCGCTTCGGTGCCGGTCCCGCGGTCGCCGGCACGGGTCTCTAGTGACGGTGCTCGGCAGCGTTTCCAGGGGGTGCTGAACCTCGGTTTTCCCGAGCGTTAAGGGGAACATGTAGCTGCCCCAGGACAAACTGCAGCTCTGAACCCAGGCCTCGCCATGCCGCCAAATGGGATGACCTTCATTCACAGCCATGGAGGTGACCTTCGCTCAGAGAGAGCAGGGGTGCCTGGCGCCGCGCCCGCCCTGGAGGAATCGGTGAAAAGGAATCGAGGACTTTTGTGAACGCCGACTGTTCGGTGTGAGGTGCCTAACAAGAAGCGAGAATGGGGTTCTGTAGGAGCATCGGGGCGGAGCCCGCGGGAGGGGAGGACAGCTCTGTCCAGTGACACCAGGTGCTGCCCGTGCTGCCTCCTGGAAGATCTGTCCTTAACCCTGCTCACAGCCCCGCCGAGGCCACCGTCTCTCGCTTCTGCAACAGTTGCTTTACCATTTCCGCCGTTGCTCCCTGCACTGAATTCTCACAAAGGCCAGAGTGAGGTGTTCAAAACAGTGGTTCTCAACCTTGGCTGCACATTAGAATCACCTGGGAATCTTTTTAAAATCCTGATTTCTGGGCCTCATCCTCCGGAAATTCTGTTTTCTTTGTTACTAATGTTGTGGCCCCACCCAAGAGGTTCTGGGTTGGCAGGAGGTGCTCACTCTTACACCCCTGTCCTTGGTAGCTTGCTTGCCTGCTGCTGCCTTTGTGGCCCCACCCCATAACAAAGAAACAGAATTTCCGGAGGATGAGGCCCAGAAATCAGGATTTTAAAAAGAGTCCCAGGTGATTCTAATGTGCAGCCAAGGTTGAGAACCACTGAAATAGCAAATCTTATCTTGCCACTCCCTTATTCAAAATCTACAAGCAATTCTCATTGCTTTAAGATAAATGATAAATTCCTCACTGTATCCTATTGGCCCTTAATAGTCTTAACATGTCTTTTTTAAAAAAAATATTTATTGATTTTTTTTACAGAGAAGAAGGGAGAGGGATAGAGAGTTAGAAACATCGATGAGAGAGAAACATGGATCAGCCGCCTCCTGCACACCCCCTACTGGGGATATGCCTGCAACCAAGGTACATGCCCTTGGCCGGAATCGAACCTGGGACTCTATCCACTGAGCCAAACCGGTTAGGGCTTAACACGTCTTTTTAATTTTTCATTCATTCTATAAATACTTGATTCCTACTGTGTACTAGGCGATATTCTAGATACCAGGATAGAGCAAAAGTCCTTTACCTCTTGAAGTTTACATACTTTGAGGGAAGTCAGACTATAAATAGATAAACAATGTCAGCACCATGTAAGGTAGTGATTAGTGCTTTGAAGAAAAAGAAAGCAGACTGTTGGGAATGATGAATTGGAGGAGTAGTGACTATAGGGTCGGATAAGGTAGATAGTCTGGAAAGACCTCCCCTCCTTGGGGAAGTGACATTTGAGCAGAGCCCAGAACCATGCTGAGGTGGGGAAAGAGCATTGTTGGCGCTGGGAATTGCTAGTGCAGAGGCCCAGAAGTGAGAATAAGCTTATGGGTGTGGTCAAGGAACAGAGAAAAGGCCAGCGCGGCTGGAGCTAAGTGAGCAAAGGGGAGAGTTCTAGTATAAGAAAGGGGAGTGATGGCCTGATCTTGTAACTGCTTATGGGCATTTGGCTTGGCTTGTATTTTAAGTTGGGGTCACACTGGAAGATGTTAAGCAGGGCAGTGATGTTGTGTGGAGAGCCAACTTCAGGAGGGAAAGAGTGGAACTCAGCAGACCAGTTTGGAAGTTGTAGTACAAATGAGATGATGGTGATTTGGGTTGAGGTAATTGTGGAGTAGGCTGTTATGGTTGAATTTGGGACACATTTTGAAGGTAGAACTAATGGGACTTAATGGTGGATTTGATATGGGGCTTGAGGAACAGTCTCCAGGAAGCATGTTAGATTTTTGTCCTGAATAATTGGATGAATGGCAATACCATGTACAGGGATTGGGAAGACTGAAGAAGAAAATCTAGAGCTCGCCAATGACGTATCTGAGATGTCTATCAAATGTCTCCAGTCTCTTTTCTCAGTGCACTCTCTGTTCTGCTCTGAAGTTTCCACCATATTAAATTTGTTTACTTTGATTTCCATCTTCTCTTTCTCTAGAACACTTTTTCTCACTTGCCGGTTCCCAGGGCTACCTCCTGTTCATCCTTGAGGTTTAGCTTAAAGTCAACTTCTTCAGGGAACTTCTTCCCCAACTATTTGACTAGGTTTGGTCCCCTGCTGTATGTTTCCATTAATATTTATCATTGTTTATTTATTGAAATTACTTGTGAAATAGTTGTCTTATTTTGACAGACTCTCCATTTTGTGGGAGTAAGAACTTTGTTTCTCTTGTTCTTTGCTGCCTTCTTAATTTCTAGTACCCAATATCACTCTAAAACTTTTGAAGGGATGAGGGATATATATCACTGAGGGATGAATAAGAATTTTACATGAATTGAGGTGGGGAGGCCAAAGGGGACAGAAGTCAAGCAGATTGGAGGGAAGCATATTCCAGGCAGAGAACATAAAGTTCAGAAAGACTGAAGGGAAGTTCAGTGTAGTTGTGGGGCCTTGTGAAGGGGAATGAGGCTAGAGATGTGAAGAATGTGGTGTGAGGTTCAGAGTCTGAAGAGTCTTGTGAGCTGTGCTAATCTCACAACTCTTGGTCCTTAGTTTTCTTGGCCGTAAATGACTTCTAGATAAGGATAGTGTTAGTACTCACAGTTCTTGTGAAGAATAACATTAAATGAGGTAATGAAAAGCATTTAGCACAGCATCTAGCATGTGCAGGTGCTCAATAAATAAAACTTATTATTTTAGAATAGCAAAACAGTTATTTAGAGAGGCATACAATAATATTTTAAAAGGTATATAATGTATATAAGTAATCTGCCCTCTTCTACAGTTCTGTGATTTAATTAGGAATGGCTGTGATTTTTGTTATTGTAGCATTGGCAGTTCTAATATGTAATAGAAAAGGAAAAATTTAGCAATTTTCTTTTTTTGTTGTTGTTGGTAGAAAGACCAGAATAATTCCAAATATGAGCAGGTATACTTAAAACTAGAACCTTTCAAACCATTTATCTTTAAAGACACAAAATACTTATTTCTAACTAGATATTTTAACTTGGGGAAGTGAGTTTATTTGACTATGAACCTTAGAATTAATTGAAAGTTTTTCTTTATATGATGATTTCATTTTATATCTTAATAACTGGAATTTTCTTAACTATTTCTGACATTGCATTTTCATTAACACGATTTTAGTCTCAGCTTACACAAAATGGGTTATTGTCTCTTTGTTTGTTACTGAATACTTTAAATTGTATTCAGATCATGGGATCATGATCAGTTGAATAAATCCATGTTATAAAATTCTCTGTAACTATTGTGTTGTCTTTTAGGTACAACAGAAAGAACATCCAGGTCTGAAAGGCCACCAAGAAGAAAGGTGAACAATTAACATATTCTAATATATATTATCTTAATGGTTTCTGAAGTTCTAAAGTGAGGAAGATATTCACAATGAGGCAGGAGGGTACATCCCAAGAAAGGTTCATAAGGGGGTGTTCACTTGGTGACTATCACAGTCTTGACTCTAGTCTTGGTCTGGTCTTTGTCAGTATCCTGAGAATGGATCATCTTTGAGAGATGGACTCACCCACATATTCCCAGGAAATAGGTACCTAAACCAGAATATAGAATTACTTTTGATGATGCTTATAATAGTCATGTAGCCTGGGATATATGCATGAATATTACCAGTTCTGTGGGCATCGCTGTGGAGGAATCCAAATTATAAAGTCACTTGGCATGGAGTCAAAACAAAGGCATATTAGTTGGACATTAAATGGCATCAAATTATAATTGTCTAGAGTAGTCATTTTCATAGGAATATTACCTGCTTCAGGACCTGCTACACTAGTATTGCTTAGGTGGGTGTTGCCAAATTTTGCCTCTTTAAACCATATGCTGGTCATCCCCTTCTGCTGAGTATATTATATACTAGAGGCTCAGTGCACAAAATTTGTACACGGGTAGGGTCCCTAGCGGCTGCCAGCTGGGGCCTGCCTTCATTCCGTGTCGTCCCCTGGTGGTCAGCGCACATCATAGTGAGCAATTGAACTCCCAGTCAGTCAAACTCCTGAGGGGACACTTTGCATATTAGGTTTTACATATATATATATATATATATATATATATATAGAGAGAGAGAGAGAGAGAGAGAGAGAGAGAGAGAGAGAGAGATTGTGATTGACTAAGCTACCATGTAGTTATTCCCTGGGCCTAGAAGGTATATAATTTCTTATGTATTTATTCAGTTAGTTTAACCTTAATTTACTTATTTCCAAGTTCTCAATGTCACCTCATTCTGACTTCCATCAAAGGAGTTTTCAAAATGATTTCAAAATATATTGTTATTCACCTCCTTCATAAATAAAATGTAAAAACTTTGCTAAAAGTCTTTGTAAATACATAAGATAGATATGCTTTAGTGATGGACATTGTATTAAAGGGGATATCCCTCTTGCCCCAGAGAGTTTGAGGAAACAGTACAGAAATATTTAGGTAGATTTGGTATTTTTTCATTTGATTAGCAGCAACTTTGTGGAAGGTCAGATTTTACCTAGGTTGCAATTCTGCTAGTATTTCTCTTAATTGCATGTTTTCTTTTGCTTTAAAATTAAAATATGTGTTTATATTTAAAATATTAAACTGTTTTTTGTTTCTTAGGCACTACCTCCTAGGACAGAGAAAATGGCTGTTGACCAGGACTGGCCTAGTGTCTACCCTGTTGCAGCACCATTTAAACCCTCTGCAGTACCTCTTCCTGTTCGAATGGGTTACCCAGTAAAAATGGGGGTGCCCATGGCAAAGGAGGGAAATTTAGAACTTTTAAAGGTAAGAAGTTACTGATTCATTAGCCAAGACCTCTGTTCAAGTAAATAGTGATCCTCCTCCCACTGCCCTTACACTTCAAGGTTCAGTGTGTAGCAGCTTCTTGTGGGTTTTTTTGTTTTTTAAAAATATGTTTTTATTGATTTTAGAGAGAGAGGAGGGGAGAGGGAGAGAGATAGAAGTATTGATGAGAGAGGAACTTTAGCCTCCCACTGGGGATCAAGCCTACAGCCTGGGCATGTGCCCTGAACAGGAATCAAACCAGTGACCTCTTGGTGCATGGGTCAACTCTCAACCACTGAGCCACACCAGCTGGGCTTGTGTTTGATTTAAAAATTTTTCCTTAGGTAATAATGGATGCTATATTTTGATTTTCTGTGGTAAAAAAAACAAAAAAAACCCTCAAAAGAATCCTAGGCATTTAATGTAACTGCCCTAGCTGGTTTGGCTCGGTGGATAGAGTGTCAGCCCACAGACTGAAGGATCTTGGCTTCAGTTCTGGTCAAGGGTACGTACCTTAGTTGCAGGCTCCAGGCTGGATCCTTGGCCCGAGGTTAGGGTGGGTATGGGAGGCAACCAATGGATGTGTCTCTCTCACATCGATGTTTTTCTCTCTCTGTCTCTCCCCCTCCCTTCCATTCCCTTTTCGGGGGGGAGGTGGTGGTGGGGTGGAACCAGACGCAGGGCTCATGGCTGGCAAGCGCTGCTGCAGCAGGCAACTCAAGCCTCTCCCGGTTCGGACTGATTGGGTGCGAGCACATGGCAGGCACAGTGGGGCCAAGAGGAGCGGGAGCGGCAGGCGACGTTGGACTGTGGGTTTCGGCCCAATTCCTGCAGGCTACCCAGAGAGACCCCACCCGTGCACTGGGCCTCTAGTGATTAAATAATAATCTGTGTCCTTTTAGTTCTATAAGGGAAATATGTACATCTGTAGATTCATGGCAGGAAGAATACTATACAAATGATGCTAATATTTTCGAATGTTGTCATTTTAAAATACTTGGTACTGAATCTATATTTCAAGGAATTTCTTTTTTGTTATTGTTGGTTAATCGTCACCTGAGGATGTTTTTCCCATTGATTTTTAGAGAGTGGAAGGGAGGGGGAGAGATAGAGAGAGAAACATCGATGTGAGACACCTCCGTTGGTTATCTTGTATGTGCCCTGACCTGGGCCGGGGATTGAACCTGAAACGGAGGTACGTGCCCTTGACCAGAATTGAATCCGAGATCCTTCAGTCCACAGGCCAAGACTCTAACCACTGAGCAAAACTGGCTAAGCAGGAATTTATTTCTTGAATTCACAACACCTGTACAATATTGTAAGAAACTGACTCATTTTATTTATGATAAGGTTGTTGAGCTTATAATTTAGTTGTATGAGCAAATTATCTTTTTTCATGTTTTTAAGACAGTTGGCTGATTTATCCTTTAAATTTTTCTACTTTAGATCCCCAATTTTTTGCATTTGACTCCTGTAGCAATTAAAAAGCATTGTGAAGCTCTTAAAGGTAAGTGGTTATTTTGTAACATAATTGACTTTGAACACAATATTAAGAATCAGATTTCTAATGATAAAGGGGTTGATTCATTAAGAGGATACAATGTGTAAATATTTATGCACCCAACATTGGAGCACCTAAATATATAAAGCAATATTAACAGAACTGAAGGGAGAAAGAGACAGCAATACAATAATAGTAGGGGACTTCACTACCCTACTTTCAACAATAGATAGGTCATCCAGACAGAAGAAAATAAGGAAATGTTGGACTTAAACTACACATTAGATCAGGTGGACTTAACATTTATGGAACACACCATTCGACAGCAGCTGAATACACTTTCTCCTCAAATGCACATGAAAAATTCTCCAGAATAGATCATGTTAGGCCACAAAACAAGTCTAAATAACTTAAGAAGACTGAAATCATATCAAGCAACTTCTCTGACCATAGTGGTACGAAACTAGAAATCAATTACAAGAAGAAAACTGGAAAATTCACAGTTACATGGAGATTAAACAACATGCCCTGAACAAACAGTGGGTCAAAGAAGAAATCAAAAGAGAAATGAAAAAATATCTTGAGATAAATGAAAATGGAGACACAACATACCAAGCCTTTTGAGATTTAGTAAAAGCAGTCCTAAGAGGGAAGTTTATAGCAATAAATGCCTAGATTAAGAAACAAGAAAGGTCTCAAACAACCTAACTTTATACCTTAAGGAACTAGAAAAAGAAAGACAAACTAAGCCCAGAGTTAGTAGAAGAAAGGAAATAACAAAGATCAGAGTGGAAATAAATGAAATAGAGACTAAAAAAAAACAATAGAAAAGATAAATGAAACTAAAGCTGGTTTTTTGAAAGGATAAACAAAATACGCAAGCCATAAGCTAGACTCACCAAAAACAAAAGAGAAAGGACTCAAAATAAATATATAAGTGAAAATGGAAACATTTTAACTTATAACAGAACTACAAAGGATCATAAAAGACTACTGTGAATAATTAATTATATACCAACAAATTGGAAAATGTAGAAGAAAGGAATAAATTTCTACAAACGTTTAAACTACCATGAGTCAATCATGATGAAGTAGAATGTCTGAACAGACTGATTACTAGTAGGAAGATTGAATCAGAAATCAAAACCCTTCCAACAAAGAAAAGTCCAGAACCAGATAGCTTCACTGGTGGATTCTAAACATTTATAGAAGAATTAATACCAATTCTTCTCAAACTCTTCCAAAATATAAAACAGATGGGAACACTTTCAAATCCATTTTACAAGGCCAGCATTACCCTGACACCAAATCCAGACAAGAACTCTGCAAGAAAGAAAATTACAAGCCAATATCTCTGATGAACATAGATGCAGAAGTCCTCAACAAAATAGTAGCACACTGAATTCAACAGTACATTAAAAGGATCATACACTGATTTAGTGGGATTTATTCCAGGGATGGAAAGATGGTTCAGCATCTGCAAATCAGTGTGATAACACCACATTAACAAAACAAAGGATAAAAATTATATAATTATTTCAATAGATGCAGGAAAAGCATTTTATTAAATTCAACATCCTTTGATGAGAAAGATTCTCAACAAACTATATACCTCAACATAATGAAGGCACAACTAATATACTCTGTGTAAAAAACTGAAAGCATTTCTTCTAAGATCAGAACAATACAAGGACAAGTTACTTTTATTCAACATAGAAGTTTTAGCCAGAGCATTTAGATAAGAAAAAGAGACATCCAAAACATAAAAGAAGTAAAATTGTCTCTAATTGTAGATTATATGAAATTGTATGTAGAAAACCCTAAAGACTTTGCCCCAAAACTGTTAGGACTAATAAATTCAGTAAAGTCACAGAATACAAAATTAATATACAAAAATCAGTTGTGTTTCTATTAACAGTGAACTGTCAGATAAATTAAGAAAATCCTCATTTACGTAAAAAAAAATACTTAGAAATAAGTTTAATCAAGCAAGTGAAAGATCTATGCACCAAGATGAAAGAAACTGAAGAAGATACAAATAAATGGGAAGATAGTCTGTGCTCATGGATTGGAAGAATTAATATTGTTAAAATGCCCATACTGCCTCTAGATTCAGTGTAATTCCTATAAAAATTCCAATGGCATTTTTCACAGAAATAGAAATAAACAATACTAAAATTTGTGTGGAACCATAAAAGAACCTGAATAACCAAAGCAACCTTAAGAAGAACAATGATTTCAAATTGTATTACAAAGTTGTCGTAATTAAAACAATATGTTTGTTACTGGTATAAAAAAACAGATCATTGGAACAGAATGAAGAGCCCAGAAATAAACCCACTCATGTATGGTCAATTAATTTTTATGCCAGAGGGGCCAAGAATATACAATGGGAAAAGGATAGTCTCTTCAATAAATGATCTTAAGAAAACTGGGTAGCTACATGCAAAGGAATAAAACTGGACCCCTATCTTACACCTACCAAGAAAATCAACTCAAAATGAATTGAAGACTTGAATGTAACACCTGAAACTGTAAACTCCTAGAACCGTGGTCGGCAAACTGCGGCTCGCGAGCCACATGCGGCTCTTTGGCCCCTTCAGTGTGGCTCTTCCACAAAATACCACGCTGTGGGCGCGAACGTACAGTGCGATTGAAACTTCGTGGCCAATGCGAAGAAGTCGGTATTTTGTGGAAGAGCCACACTGAAGGGGCCAAAGAGCCACATGTGGCTCTCGAGCCGTGGTTTGCCGACCACTGTAAGAAAATGGGTTTCGGGGGGAGGGGCAGGGTAAGCTCCTTGATACTGGTTTTGGCATGTTTTTTTGGATTTGACACTGAAAGCAAAGGCTAAAAAAGCAAAAATAAACAAGTGAGACTACATCAAATTATAAAGCTCCTGCAAAGCAAAGAAGACCATCAACAAAATGAAAACGCAGCCTACAAATTGGGAGGAAATATTTGCAAATCATATATCTGATAAGGGATTAATATACCCAAAATATATAGGGAGCTCATACAACTCAGCAAAAAACAAATAACTCAATTTAAAAATGGACAGAGGAACTAAGACGTTTTTCAAAGAGGAGGTACAAATGTTTGAAGTTACATGAAAAGGTGTTTAGCATCACTAATCATCAGGGAAATGCAAATCAAAATACTATGACTTAGCACCTCACACCTGTTGGAATGACTATCAGCAAAAAGACAGAAGAGAGTTTAGTGTTGGCGAGGGAATTATTTTGTCCTGGTGGTGGGAATGTAACTTGGTACAGTGTCTGTGCCAAACAGTATGGAAGTTTCTCAAGGAATTAAAAATAGAACTATCATATGATTCAGCAACCACACTTCTGGGTATTTATTCGAAGGAAATGAAATCACTATCTCAAAGAGATGTCTGCACACCCAGATGCAATGTAGCATTATTCACAAGAGCCAAGATAGAGAAACAACCTAAGTGTCTATCACTCGATTAATGGTTAAAGAATAAAATATATATATTGGAATATTATTCAACTGTGAGAAAGAAGGGCATTCTGTCATTAGTGACAACATGGATGGGCCTTCAGGGCATTATGCTATGTGAAATAAGTCAGGGAAAGACAAATACTGTATAATATCACATTTATGTGTAATTTCTAGAATGGTGGTTTCCATGGGCTGCGGGGCCTAGGGGTTAGAGCAGCCGTGGGCAAACTACGGCCCGTTTGAAATGAATAAAACTAAAAAAAAAAAAGACCGTACCCTTTTATGTAATGATGTTTACTTTGAATTTATATTAGTTCACACAAACACTCCATCCATGCTTTTGTTCCGGCCCTCCGGTCCAGTTTAAGAACCCATTGTTGCCCTCGAGTCAAAAAGTTTGCCCACCCCTGGGTTAGAGGGAAAAGGGAGATACTGTTCAAAGGGTACAGTTTTCCAGTTATAAAATGAATAAGTTTGGGGATTCTAATATACCGCATGGTGATTATAGTTAATAATACTGTATTATATTCCTGAAATTTGCTAAGGGAGTAAATCTTAAATGTCCTTACCACAAAAAAGAAATGGTAATTATATGATGTACTACAGGTGTTTCCAAAGCTATGGTGGTAATCATATTACAATATATAAGTATATCAAATCAACATATGTATATATGTATTCTCTGTGTATATATTATATATACTCTATATAGTAGGTGCATATACTAGTATATATAATGCATTACCTAAATATGATTATGCTTCCAATTCTGGATTTATTGATTTTGAACAATAGCTATTGATTCCTAGATATCAATATAGATTTCACTCGTATCCTCCACATGCATGGAGCTAAGGACAAAGAACTTTTTTTCTCATGGTTTTATGTATGCTCTCAAAATAAGTACATATTCCAATTTAATTTCTGATCTCATTTGCATTGGACTATCTAGAATAAGCAAATTTGAATTGTTTTAGGTTCACGACTATTAGTGATTAGTGTGTAGTTTAATTTAAGAGTTAGTACCTTTGTGCCCTAGCTGGTTTGGCTCAGTGGATAGAGCATCAGCCTAAGGATTGAAGGGCCCTGTTTCGATTCCAGTGAAGAGCACATGCCCGGGTTGAGGGCTGGATCCCCAGTAGGAGGAGTGCACGAGGCAGCCGATCAATGATTCTCTCTCATCATAGATGTTTCTCTCTCTCCCTCTCCCTTCCTCTCTGAAATCAATAAAAATATATATTTTTTTAAAAAGGTATTAGGAAGAAGAGATAAAGAGGTCTTGAAAAGTAGGAATAATTACCTTACTCTTGAAGTGAGGGAAGAAAGAAAATCTCTTCTGTCTCTTCTCATTTATGTAGTGTTCTGTTTTGGGACATTAGAGTGCTTTTCAATCCCTTTAGGTTATATGTTTCTGTATCCATTAGTGCCTGGTAGTAGACTGACACTTACAAATTTGTGCTCATTGGAACAAATCATATATCACTTTTTGAATCCTTTGTAAATCCAGGTGACAAATGCATTACACTGATAAATTGCATTTTTTAAAACACTATTTTTAAGTGTGCATTTATAATTTGGAGACTGATCGTTGTAATGAGATTTCTAAAGTGCTTTATAGTTTTTAAATGTAAGGCTTTCGTACAGCACGTTCGGAAGAGTAGCATTATATTTTACAGTGCTTTTGAGTGTTTTAATCTTTCCCTAATTTTGCCTTTACACTTCTGCCAGCTTCTGGATGTAGATTGTATCTTCCAAATAACTCAAAGGGTTTTCAAATATTTCTTCTCAGTTTTCTTTCAAAGTAGGTCAGTTTAGATTTTATATCTAACTTGCAGATGGAAAATCTGAAGTACAGGAAAGTTAGGTAATTTACCAAAGTTTTAATAATCAGTGGCAGAAGTTAAGTAAAAAACCAAGGTTTTCTGAAGTCTAGTCATTACTCTACCTATCAGATGAATAAAGGCTAATAGAGGCCTATTAGGTACTTTCCAGTTGGCTGCATTCTTTTAAACATGTAATCAGGTCATTTAATATAAAGGCTGTAATTATCATCTGGTGATTGAAATGACTTATTCAGAGTTTTAAAAAAAAGATTCAGTATAAACTCAGAAACTCATAAAATTCCCCAAACTAGTCTCTCTTATTAAGTACTTGCTTGGCAGTGTTGTTCTCATAGTGTAGGATGTTGGAATTAGTCCATGATAGGAATGAAATTACCTCAGTAATCTTATTCATTTTGTTTAAATGTCAAATTGTGCTTTACTTTTTAAAATCCTCACCCGAGGGTATTTTTTCATTGATTTTTAGATAGAGTGGAAGGGAGAGGGAGAGACAGAGAGAAACACCAATGTTAGAGAGACATCAATTGATTTCCTCCCGCATGCCCCCAAACAGGGCCGGGAGCCTGCAACGGAGGTACATGCCCTTGACCGGAATCAAACCCAGTACCCTTCAGTCTGCAGGCTGACACTCTCCACTGAGTCAAACCAGCTAGGGCTCAAATTGTTCTTCTTTTTTTTTTTTTAATATATTTTATTGATTTTTTACAGAGAGGAAGGGTGAGGGATAGAGAGGTAGAAACATCGATGAGAGAGAAACATCGATCAGCTGCCTCCTGCACACCTCCTACTGGGGATGTGCCTGCAACCAAGGTACATGCCCTTGACTGGAATTGAACCTGGGACCTTTCAGTCTGCAGGCCAATGCTCTATCCACTGAGCCAAACTGGTTAGGGCTCAAACTGTTCTTAGTTGCAAAGATATTCTCTTTCCCTTCCAGGTGTCTGAGTATTGATCTCTCTTAAACAGTGTGTTTAGGGAATGGTATGAGCTGGATACACTTATTTGCTAACATATAGTTCAGTGATGGCGAACCTGTGACACACGTGTCAGAGGTGACACACGAACTCATTTTTTTGGTTGATTTTTCTTTGTTAAATGGCATTTGAATATATAAAATAAATATCAAAAATATAAATCTTTGTTTTACTATGGTTGCAAATATCAAAAAATTTCTATATGTGACACGGCACCAGAGTTAAGTTCGGGTTTTTCAAAATGCTGACATGCCGAGCTCAAAAGGTTCGCCATTACTGATATAGTTAGTCCCAGATCTTGTAAAGTCTCTCTAACCCAAAATGACATTTTGCTGACTCTGATATTAAAGCCTAAAAAGGAGCTAAATAAAATACCTACTGTAAGAAAATTGTGAGCTTGGGGAAAGTGTTGTTGGCAGAGTACCTTTCACTGTTCCTTAGACCATCATCTAGAAGAGCTCCCAGGTCTGCCTATGATTGTGAGCAGTCTCTCTTGCAGTCGTGCTTTTTTGGAGAAAGCACAGATCTCTGAGGTCTAATGTGTTTGACCTATGGAGCTGTTCTTAGAATGAGGCTGTTTAAGGAATGAGATTCCCATTGAGGGAACCTGATAGTGCCTGGAGTTTTCATCCCAAGCTTGAGCCCTCCCTCTATCACACTAACTTAATAGGAATAGGGCAAAATGAAATCCACTACCTATCTGTGGAGTCCCTCATTACTGAAAGCTGTGAGATGCTGGGAGCTATTTCCTTTCCTTCTAAGGTTGTTGTTTTGGTTTTTTTCCTCCTCAGTTGAGGCCCGAGTTTATACCTCTGTGTTGTGGAAATAGTGGGTCATGTTCCCACTGCTGAGAATTTCTTATTGTGACCCAGGTCTCAGTACCAATTCCACCTCCTCTCTAGGCTAGCTGTCTTGCCTGAAAATGAGGACAAGTCTGTACCTCTTAATATTTAGTCACAGTGGCTCAGAAATCACATAGAAGAAACATGAATTATAATAAGGACCCATTTAAGGATGATCTAGGCTTTTGGACCTGTTTTATCTTGAGGCCCTATTCAACTCAATATCTGAAAGACTGTTGACCATATCTCAGTTTTCTCTTAGAGCTCTTTCAGAGCTTCTTTTAATTCCCTTCAGCTATCTTTAGTAATCTTCATTTGGAAGTGAATAATACTATTGCCTTTTCGAAAACAGTATTGCTCTGGACCCTCTGAACTGTATGGTGTTAGTTGGTGAGGAGGAATTAAAAAAGGTATGTGCAAAGCTATAATAAGCTTCCATCAAGTCACAGTTCCCTTCTCTTAAATTCCCTAATATGATTCACCTAAGAAGAAAAGGGATGAGAGTTGATGCTACATCTATAAAGTCCAGAGTAGAATCTGTTCTTCCATTTCATGTAAACTGAGAGTGATCTAGCTCAATAATTTGGTTTTGTCTGGTAGCATGCATTACAATGAGAATTTACTTGCAAACTTAAAATTGAGATAATTTTTTTAATTCTCAGATTTCTGCACTGAGTGGCCAGCTGCACTAGACAGTGATGAAAAATGTGAGAAGCATTTTCCAATTGAAATTGACACAGCTGATTATGTTTCAGCAGGACCATCTATTCGAAACCCCAAAGCACGAGTAGTAACCTTAAGGGTAAGAAATGGTTAAAACTGATACATATTTATTATAGAAAATTTAAACAATATAAAAGTGTTTTGAAGTATAAAGTAAAATTACCTATAATTCCACTACTTAAAAATAACCACTATTGACTGTGAGAGCTCAATTTAGTGTATGTGCAATCCACCGTTTGTATATTAATGGGATGATACTATTTTTCATTTAGTAATATGAATTTAAAATTTCCCAAAGATATTAAAAATTCTTTTATATTATATTTAATAACTACATAAGATAGCATCTAAGTGAAGGTCTGTTGTGTACCAAGAGAGTGTTTGAAGCTGGAGTGCAATGTTGATCTATCAGACATGGTCCTTTTTCTAAGACTGAAGTGGGAGATACAAACAGGTAATTCCACAACATAGATCTACCATAATTCGTTTAAATTATCCATATAATGGGATCTTTAGACTTTCTGATGGCTTTGATATATATTATAAATGTTTTTTTGATTATATATTATAAACTCCTGCAATGTAACAGATACAACAGGAAATGTAACAGATACAACACTAATAGGTTGTGAGAAAGCCTGTTTTTCTGTACCCTCACCAACCTAGGTATTATTACCTATTAATTTTGTAGGTAAAAAAATAGATCTTTTATTTAAAATTTGTGTCTCTGAATTCTAATGAGGGTGAGAAATTATTCCTTTGTGAAAGCTTTTTTTGGAGGGTCATTTGCCCTTTTTGATGGTGTATTGACTTTTTATACTAATTTTTTTCTTTTTATTAGCAGCTTATTTGAGATATAATTCACACACTCTGGAATTACCCTTTTAAAGTGTACAACTCAGTGGTTTTTAGTATATTCACAGAGTTGTGTAACCATCACCACCACCTAACAGAAATTTTCATCACCATAAAAAGAAGCCCCATTTCCATTATCAGTCATTCCCCATTATCCCTCTTCCCCACCCCCAAGACCCTGTTAACTACTAAAGTACTTTCTGTCCCTGTGGTTTGCCTACTCTTGACATTTCAAATAATTGAATCGTACAATATGATTTTGGTTTGCATTTCCCTAATAACTAATGATGTTGATCATTTTTTTTCTTTGGAGAAATCTATTTAAATCCTTTGCCCATTTTTTAATTGAGTAATTTTTGTTGTCATTGTTCAGTGTGTTTTTATATATATTCTGGATACCAGTTCTTTATCAGATACATATCTTGCAGATATTTTCTCGCATTCCATGGATTGTCATCTCACATTCTTGATGGTGTCTTTTTAAGCACAGAAGTTTCATTTTTTTATGAAGTCTAGTGTATGTATTTGTTGTGGGGTTTTTTGTTTGTTTGTTTGTTTTTTGGTGTGGTGCTTTTAGTGCCATCTGTAAGAAACTGTTGTATAATTCAGAGTCATGAAGATTGAGTCCAATGTTTTCTTCTAAGAATTTTATAGGTTTGTCTCTTACATTTAGGTATATGAATTACTTTAAATTAATTTTTGTATATGGTGTAAGGTAGGGGTCCATTTTTTTCCTTTTTTTGTTATAATATTTTTATTTATTTCAGAGAGGAAGGGAGGGGGGGGAGAGAAATAGAAACATCAATGATGAGAGAGGATCATCGATCAGATGCCTCCACACTGGGGATCGAGCTTGCAACCTGGGCATATGCCCTGACTGGGAATTGAACCCTGACCTGCTGGTTTATAAGTCAATGCTCAACCACTGAGCATTGTTTTTCTTTTTGCATGTGGATATTCATCTGTCTCAGCACTGTTTGTTGAAAAGATGATCCTTTCCTCATTGAATTATCTTGCCACCCTTTTAAAAAATGACATAGTTTATTTTTTTAACTTTTCACTTCTCTATTTTGCCAAGTTCTGTTTTTTAACCTTTTATTATATAAAATTTTTAATGTAGGGAGACATAGAGTTAGTATAATAAACACACATGGCACCTTTTGACAAATTTAAAATATCGAGTGCTTCATGTACTGAAATACATGTGTATGTTTTTGTGGTTTTGGTTTAAGTGTTTCTTTAAAATTACTACTACAGCCGAAACCGGTTTGGCTCAGTGGATAGAGCGTCGGCCTGCGGACTGAAAGGTCCCAGGTTCGATTCCGGTCAAGGGCATGTACCTGGGTTGCGGGCACATCCCCAGTAGGAGGTGTGCAGGAGGCAGCTGATCGATGTTTCTCTCTCATCGATGTTTCTAACTTTCTATCTCTCTCCCTTCCTCTCTGTAAAAACTCAATAAAATATATTTTTTAAAAAAAAAAAAATAAAAAAAAAAATAAAATTACTACTACACTAAAATCCTTAAGTGTTATATCTATAAATTAAAAATATTTTCTTACATAATTCCAGTGTAATTAATTAGTACAACTAACAAAAGTTTGAGTAATTACTTAATATTATTTAAAATATTGACTCCACACTCAAATTTCCCGAATAGTCTCACCAGAATGTTTTTTTAAATAGCTTTTGTTTAAATCAGAATCCAGTCAAAGACTAATGCATTTGCTTGTAATGTTTCTTATGTCTTTTTAAATCTCCAACAGCAAAGGACCTCCCTACTACTCTTTTTACTCCTCATTCCCCCATGGCATAGACTTGTTAAAGAGATAGGTATTTTATTCTGTAGCATTTCCTACCTCAGTTTGTCTGAATGTGTCCTAATGTCATTCACCTTATTTCTCAATCTCTTATATTTCATATAAGTGGAAGTTAGCTGTAAAGAACTGAATGTGCCCTTGACCGGAATCGAACCTGGGACCCTTCAGTTCCCAGGCTGACGTTCTACTCACTAAGCGAGGGCACAACGTTTGGTTGCCTCATTCTTAATATGCTAAAACTGATCTCTTGGCTAAGAGGCTGACAACCTGATCTTTCAATTGTGAAGTTACCTGTTTTTTGCTTTTCTCTTGAGCAGGTAATCCTTAGGTGGATATATTCAGTAAGTTTTGATCAAGTAAAACCATTACTCTTTTTGATGTTCAGGGTATATCCTAACTTTGGCCTGTGGTAACTCTTTTAAGTTGGTTCCTGTGTCCTTTTTTATAGTCCCATTTGCATTGGAACATTTCCTTGCATTCTGACACAACAAGATGACCCCAACTCACTTCATGTATTTCTTATCCCAGACCTGATTTAGCTATTTCTCCAAGGAGCTCTGATATCTTTTAGTGGACGTTAGTGTTTAGAGACCAAAATCTGGGTGCTAGAACTTTTTAGTTGATTCTTTTGGAAAGCTTTTAGAAAATAAATGATAAATAATGGTATTTTTAGTTCTCTTTTTTAAATATCTAGAGTTTGATTTTTCTCTTTTTGTCTTTTGCATTAGATAAAATATCTAAAATCATGTTCCTGTGGTCCCTTGTGCAGTTCTATACTTTAATGAGTGTGTCGCTGGTATTTGTTCTCTAGTTGTGAGATTGGGTTTCAGTTTGAGATAATAGCTTCTATTATGTTAGTGATGTTTACTAGCATTTTTGGAATGATCTCTTGAATTATTGAAGTAATGAATTACATGAATAGATTTTCAATTACTGAACCACTTCTGAACCCTGATCAGTTTATAGTATATCATTCTTTTACTCTACCACTGATTTGCTTTGTTAGTATTTTATTAAGGATCATTTGTGCTTATCTCATATGGCTTTGGAGAAACATCAACTCCCTGCTCTCATTCACCAAGGGAATGCCATATGCCATTGCAGTTGCAAGTCTCTGCTCTAGTAACTTTTAAGTTAGTCCTTTAAACCACCATTAGTTCCCTTCGTTAAAGGAGTCTTGATAGTCACAACACATCTTTTTAACATAGTACGAATGGGGCAGTTACCGATGTACTTTTTTTTATTAAATTTTTTATTTTAGAATAGCTTTAGACTTACAGAAAAGTTTCTAGGATAGTACAGAGTTCCCCTATATTTCACACCAAATTTCTCCTGTTGTTAACATCTTACATTACTATGGTATATTCATTGCAACTAATTAGTCAATTTTGACACATTATTCTTTAATTCCATACTTTATTTGCATTTCTTTACTTTTTTCCTAATGTTCTTTTTCTGTTAATAATCCTATCTGGGGTACCACATTACATTTAGTTATTGTGTTGGCTGTAATGATTTCTCAGAATTTTCTTGTTTTTAATGACATGGACAGTTTTGAAAAGTACTAGTTTTCTGGAATGACTTCCATTTAGATTTGTTAAGTCTTTTTCTCATAATTAGACTGGTATGTGTTTTAGGGAAGAAAACCGCAGAAAAAATTGCCATTCTCATCACATGATAACAAGGGTGTAGGCTCCTACCATGTCTTAGCCTAGATCACCTGGCTGAGATCGTATTTGCCAGTTTTCTCCACTGTAAAATTACTATTTTTTTTCCTTTTCATACTGTACTCTTTCACAGCCCACACTTAAGGAATTGGGAGTGATATTCCACCTTCTTGAGGGAAAAATATCACATAAATTATTTGGAATTCTTCTATATGGGAAATTTGTCTATTTTCCATTTATTTATTCATTCATTCTGTATTTTAAATTAGAGCATCTAAGTATGGCAAAAATTTGTTAAAAATCTCTGCAACCATTTTTACATTATATGCTAACAAATAGACTGTAATTTTTTTAGTGATACAGCTGTGATTAATTTCTAATTTTCCCTTTTTTTTGCTAGGTTTTGGTATCAGGGTCATGCCATCTTTATGAAAAGAATTTATGAAGCTTTTCAGCCTTTTTTATTCCAAAGAGTAATGTAAATGTCATAGCAATATATTTATGCATTTAGAGAAATTGAAAATATTTTATAATTACAGAAGACAATATGTATTTACTGTATAAATTTTAGAAAGTCTAATAAGCAAAAGGAAAAGAGAAAACTTAAAATTCTACTCTGCTGACATCATTCCTTCGGCTGACAGGTTAATATAAAGTGCCTATAGAGTGATGATACCTGATACATTTTTAAGAACTTCATAAACGTTACTTCTCTTAATAATAATGATAACACCGACAACAATAAACAGCTGTTGAGCTCTGTATTAGATGATAAAAGGAGAATCTCTGAACTAAGAGTCAGGAAACTAAGTTTCACCTTACTTCCTGTGGGCCTTAGTCTTTAGTACTAGAATAGACATCTAAATTCCCTTTTAGTTGCCGAAACCGGTCTAGCTCAGTGGATAGAGCGTCGGCTTGCGGACTGAAAGGTCCCAGGTTCGATTCCGGTCAAGGGCATGTACCTGGGTTGCGGGCACATCCCCAGTAGGAGATGTGCAGGAGGCAGCTGATCAATGTTTCTCTCTCATCAATGTTTCTAACTCTCTATCTCTCTCTCTTCCTCTCTGTAAAAAATCAATAAAATATATTTAAAAAACAAAAAATAAATTCCCTTTTAGTTTTAAGTTTGTTTATTTCATAAAACAATGACCTCACTGCTTTATTTGAAGTATGCCACCAGATATCACTTATATCATATCATGCTCCCTTATGTCCTTTCCTCCTGACTCATGTCTGCCGTTCTGGACTTACTTCACTGTACCCACTGACTGCTGGGGCTCAGTGTGGTGTCCTTAATGGTGTCATGGAGTTCAAGGCATGACTTAAGCAACATTGTGAAGGTAATCAAATATTATAAAATATTATTTAGAGATATTCAAATTTTTAAATTCAGAGAAAGATGGTACATATTTCTTGATATTCTAAAAGTAGTTCAGAATTAAAACTACCTTAATATTTGTATAGGACTTTACTTTCTTTGCCCTAGCTGGTTTGGCTCAGTGGGTAGAGTGTTGGAAAAATGTGGGCTTGATCCCCAGTAGGGGCGTGCAGGAGGCAGCTGATCAATGATTCTCTCTCATCATTGATGTGTCTCTCTCTCTCTCCCTCTCCCTTCCTCTCTGAAATCAGCAAAAATATATATTTTTAAAAGTGCTTTATTTAATCTGATTTATTCCTAACAAAAATTCTGGATCCTTTCTGTTTTATACATGAGGAAACAGGAAAATCAGATGAATTGTTTAAAGTGAGTTAGCCAATAAGTAGCAAATCTAGAAGTCAAACACAATTCTTGTCTTTTGTGTAATACCAGAGTTCTTTAACTAACTGCACTATTCTTATAAATAGAAACTATTTCACACACTTAGACATTGCTCAATTAATATAGCTCTTTTAAATATGAGCATTTGAAAAAACATACATATATAATAACCACAGCCTCCTATATTAAATGTCAACATTATTTTGGTTATAATGTTAATAGTACAATATTGATTCTTTAAAATATAACACCTTGAAAAAAGAAAGGCCTAAAGATTCTTTTGAATTTTGGAAAAAAGAATAATGACAGATGCCACTCAACTTCAAAATCAGATCATTATCCAGGTTAGACTCCAGTTTTGCAGTGCCTTTGAGTGCTAGCAGGTGGCGTGAGTGCACCACACAGCTGTGTTTGAAATGTTCATGAGTTTCTAGCATAAACTCTATATAATTTTTGAACATTAAAATGTTAATGTAAACAGGTTTTAAAGCAGTTGTTACAATAATGATCAACATTGCTGCCATTTTTTTTGACTAATATGAAAAGCTAGAACACTTAAATTTTGTAAATGCTACATTTTAAAATTTATTATTAAATATGATTTCAATGAAGGGAGTTTTAAAAGGGAAAAATGTCTAAATTCTCACTGTCCTAATGTAAAAACCATTCATTTCTTTCTTCTGTATCTATACATATGTGCATATATTTTTATAATTATGATCATAGTGTAGGTCCATTTTATGGTTTTCTTATAAATAATTCTCCATATTTTCAATAATCAGCATAAAATTGCATATTTTACCAATCAAGCTGATAACCTGGTTGTTGATACATATTCTTTCCAGGGGACTATGGAAGTTCACATTGTCTTCAACATATAACCATTCTGTTGGATTGATATTTAATAATCAGTGTTCTTTTAAGACTGCATTTGCATTTATTTATTTGTTTTCTGTTTTCTCTAGTTCAAATAAAAATTCACAGTGCTTAAAAAAACAGTATACCCTCTCCTGTTTTCACTTACGTATTCATTCAGCAAATATGTGTTGCATGCTTTTTAAGTGGTAGGCCGTTGCCAAGAACAAGACAGACATCATTCTTACCCTGAAGAGTTTGCAGTCTAGTGGGAAAAATGGAAAAATAAATAAGCTCTTCTGCTATGATATCCTGAGGGAAGTATAGGGTTATGGAAGTTAGAGAAAAGAAATAGATGGGATTTCAAAATCTTATTTATTATTTAGCCTTTTTTCTTCTTCATACAGTTATGACTCTTTCTTATTCTTAGTGTTCTCCATCGAAAAATAATCTGTGGATTACCATATTTAACTGTATTCTAGTGTCTAAATTATTCTCCTATGTTAAGCCTGTTCATCTCTAGATAATACCTTCAGCCATGCCATAATTCTCTGCAAATTAACGAGTGCTTTCATTTAGTCCATCATTTCCCAAAATATGTTTTAAGGAAGACTAATTCCATGAACTGTCCCTTAAAAAGTAGAATCTGAGGTCAAATAAATGTGGGGATCATTACATAACAACCCTGCATCTTGAAATTTCACAATGTTTATTAGCATATTACCTCCTAAGAAATCCTATTGTAGGGAATTCAATTTAACTCAGCATTTCCTGAATGCATTCAATAGATAGTCGTTTTTAAAGAAATAATTCTTAGAAGCCTGTGGGGCTAGATTTGTTATTTTGAGAAATATTGAGCTATGTTATTTCAAATGTTTTGATCCTTTGCTCCCTCCATGAGATCTGTAGCTTTTAAAATAAATGCCCCTAAGCTAGTTGGAATGATAGGGGGTCTCATAATTGTATGATAGAAATTCCTTATGTTTTATCAACTTATTCCTATATTCCAACTTTACTATTACTAATTCAGTTTAATTCTATTAGTTAATGCTACTCAGAAGCAGCCTAATTTTATTTATTTAAGAGACATGCCATTGATTCTTTTAGGAAAGGTACGAATGCCCAGAACTTTAAAAGATCACCAGGCAGTTTGCTCCCCCATTTTCTTCCATGAGTAAGATCAGGCTTCGTAATGCATGCTGTTGCTAACTATAGAAAGGAGTTTGAAAAGGATTCCTTTTGCTCATTTTAATGTTAATTTAATATTAATACTGCTTTTTCATTAAAGTATACGAAGTAATCTTTTTCAAATAATTTTTTTCTTGTATTTTTAAGGTTAAACTTTCAAGTTTGAATTTAGATGATCATGCAAAGAAGAAACTTATTAAACTTGTAGGAGAACGATACTGCAAGACCACAGATGTGCTTACCATCAAAACAGATAGGTAAAAGAAAGAAAAGTTCAGCCCATCGGCCATGTGTTGCTTTATTGTCCTCCCATACCCTAGCAGTCCTTTTTAAAGAAATTACATTGAAAATAAGGATAGTCTTTTATTTTTTTTTTAAATATATTTTATTGATTTTTTACAGAGAGGAAGGGAGAGAGATAGAGAGTTAGAAACATCGATGAGAGAGAAACATCGATCAGCTGCCTCCTGCACATCTCCTACTGGGGATGTGCCCGCAACCCAGGTACATGCCCTTGACCGGAATCGAACCTGGGACCTTTCAGTCCGCAGGCCGACGCTCTATCCACTGAGCCAAACCGGTTTCGGCGAAAATAAGGATAGTCTTTTATATCAACTTATATTAGCTTTGTTAGGTCAAGAGAAGTTGTCTAGTTTATATTTTTAATGTCCTCACACTGGCCTACTGTTACTGTGGGATCTTTATATACATGGAGAGGCTTGCCTGATGAGTTAAATTATTTGTTGTGATTTTTAACCTTGATTTTAATATATCCATGTATATAAAAAACTCAGAGAAGAGGTTAGAAGAAAACAAGTATAATTTGCTAGCAATTAATGCTTAAACGGGTTTTTACAGAGTCAAAGTATATAAAAATCTCATAGTTCACAATTAAAATTATTAACTAGAAATTTAATTTATCAAGGTACTTGTGTAAATAAGCAGAATTTAATGCTAGCATAGAATTCATAAAAGTAGCATTAAATTTATCTTATATAAATGTATAAATTAAGTCATTTGAGGTAAAGAAAGATTATTGTTATTGTTTTACTAAATGGTTACTTTATTTCTAGAATTATACTTTGGTTATTTAAATTATGTCAAAATATAAAAGTCATGCTTTTAGAGAAAGCAATTGGGCAGCTATCCTCTCCCTCTTCTTGTCAGTTTCAGAGCATTTGGAAGTGTCATTACCACTTAGGTCTTATATCCTGCTTGGTGGTGGGAAGTAGCCTGACGCACATATGAGAGGGCAGCAGTGTGGAGGTGGAAGTAGTGAATTACACAGATTATTCTTATTCTAAGGACAATTTTCTTAAAGCAGATAAGGAATATCTGCATGCAAGTTATTCTTTTATATTTAGTATTTATATATTTTGCAAATAATTCTGTGTATTGAATTTTTAGAATTTTTACTTCTTCCCTCTCTCTCTTTTGAAGGTGTCCTTTAAAGAGACAGAATTATGATTATGCAATGTATCTGCTAACAGTTTTATACCATGAGTCTTGGGTAAGTGATTGTGTGAATGTTTAATCATTTTGTCTGTAAATTAGGTGATGTTCTGACCTTTCAAAACAGTCTGTGTGGCAAGTACTCAGTTGTGTGGGTTTTTTTAAATATATATTTTTATTGAGTTCAGAGAGGAAGGAAGACGGAGAAGATAGAAACAGCAATGATGAGAGAAAATCATTGATTGGCTGCCTCCTGCACGCCCCCTACTGGAGATTGAGCCTGCAACCTGGGCATGTACCCTTGACTGGAATCGAACCCAGAACCCTTCAGTCCGCAGGCATGAAGGAAGCTTTTTAAAACTACAGATGCTTGGCCCCTATAGAATCAAAATCTCTAGCAGGGAGGCTCAGGCTTGTTTCATTTTAGACTCCACGGGTGATTCTGATGCTGAGCTCTGACTGTGAATAAGTTCCCTAGCTTTTGAGTGTTGCTAATAAAGAAACTGATTAGAAGGTTGGTATATCTCTTTTAACATAATTTTTTTAAACATGTATCTAGTATTAGAGCTGGGGGTGCAGATGGAAATATGAATGAGAGGTCTAGAAAATGGAGACAGACATATGACAGAAAATATATTTTTGACTTGATATGGTAGTAGGCTATGGCAACTGCTCTAGATTCCTGAGTGGGAAAATGATACAGTGAGGGTGATGCTTCCCATGTCTCTTTGCCTTCAGGCAAGATTTCCTTTTACTTCTCATGTTCAAGAGCCTACCATGTACTTAAAGATTTTTAGGAAAGTTTGTGTTCTTTCCCACCCCGTGGCTGAAGTCATGAACTTGAGCATTATTATACTCTTTTCTTCCCTTATCTTCTCCCTTGATATCTCAGTGTTAGCCTTTAAATATCTGTTAAACTATTTTCTCCTCTTCATCTCTACTGCTACTGCCCAGGTATAGATCTTCATCTTTTACCCCAAAAACTGCAAACGCCTTATTGATTTTCCTGTCTCATCCATCTTCCATGTTGCTGTTAAAGTAATTGTTCTAAAAAACAAGTCTGTTGTGTCATATTTCTTTATAACGTCCTTCAGTGATTCCCCTTTACCTAGGACTAAATGTAAACTCCTTAGTCTGTTCACAGTCATTGCTACCTCATTATCAGCTACTCAGGAAATGTGGGTTATATATCTTATACCTCAGCCATAACGAGCATAATGTGTTCTTTCATAACATTGCATATGCTGTTCTCTTTGCTTATAATCTTTTATTTTTTTCAAAATATCAGCCTTACAAATTCATATGAACCCTTTAATACATCTCAGATGTTACCTCTCATATGTTTCCTGTCCATCTTTTTCCACTCCTCCCTCATTCAGTTACTTTTATGGTAATTGTCTGTGTGCATGGCTGCCTAACTCCATCAGACTTTGACATCACTGAGGACAAGGACTGTACATTTTATTCATCTTTCTATTTCTAGCATCTAGTACTGTTTGGCATATCAACAATCAGTAAAATTTACAAAACTGATTTGGATTGAATTGAACTTCTTGACATATTAAGTAAAAATTTAGCTGTGGTAACTGAAAGAATTGGCAATAGCTTTTTATTCATTATGCATATGTATCTATTTTTTTATTATTTTCAAATAACTTAGGGAATTTTTAATGGTCAAACTGTTTTCCCTCATATAGCACAATGTCTTTCTTGTAATCATGAGAAGTGGAATATTACTGTGATTCATGTCCTAGGCAAAAGGAATTGTAAATAAGATGTTAGAAGGTGACAAATGCGTGTTTTTAGTGGAACAGATATTTCTTTGCTTTCTGTTAGAATACACTGACCAGGGCATGAATTAGCTATTATTATATGTTGTTCTTTGTATTGAATTTATGCTTGCAAGGGGAAGAAAGAAATAGGTTCAAATTAAATTATTCTTTTGTTCTTTTTATATTTTTTTTACCATGTCTCTGTGTTCCCTGGAACATGTTGTTCTGCCACTAACAAGCAGTGTGATTTGGGGCACATTGTTTAGTTGCCCTGGGCTTCAGTGTCCTGCTCTGTAAAACAGATGGTATAACAGTATTACCTCATAGGATTGCTGGGAAAGTTCAAGGAGTTAATATATGGAAGGTGCTTAGAATAGCAAGTACTCTAATAGCTATTCAGATTCATCCCATGCCACTTTCCTTCTCGGGCCTGAATTCAGTCCCCTGAATGTACTGAGCTCTTCCGTCCTCTAGGCCTTTATCGGCTTTTTCCTCCACTGGGATCACAATCTTCATCTAACTGGCTTCTACTCAACTCCAAGTCTCCTCCTAGACTGGCAGTTCCAGGCCAGCGCAGTGTCCGGCGCAGTAGTTGTACAATCATTATTTACCGAGTGAATTAAAGTGTAAGAATCGAGCCGGCTGTGGAAAAGAGAACAGGATCTGCGGAATGCAAGGTGCTTCCTAGGGTGACTGTAGTCAGAGCAGGTTCTCTCACCGTAGGAGGGAAGAGAAGAGAGACCATACACTATATGTATATGCATGTACGTGTATAATATCCACCCTTATAAATTAAATAGTGAAGTTATATTCAGTGATTGAAGTATTAAAATAGGCATCAAATTCTTTGCCTGAATGATCAGCTAGAGCTTACAATGGTATTTTTATTGTCCCCCAGTATTTGACTATGCTATTGTTTACGCTTTAAAATTAATACATTCCAACTACACTTAAAAAAAAGACATTCTTAAACAACTGCCCACTTTGAATCCTGGGTGTTATTTTAGAAGCTAAAATTTTGATTGAATTATAAGTTATACATCATAAATAAAGTTTAATCATAGCAGTGTTTTTAAAATGGATTTAGGACATGCACGATGTGTCACCAGTACTGATTGGTTACCCTGAGGTGGTAGAATTACAGGTTATTTCTTTCCTTTTCAGTAATTTTCAACTTTTCTGTGGAAGCTGTATATGGAACTGCAGCCTGCTGATACTATATCTGAAATCAGTTCTGGATAATTATTCCTTTAGCATTAACCCCTGTTTTTAGAGGCCCTTACTGAAACAATGAACTTTTGCTTAAAGACATTGAAGTTAAAGAAAAATGTGTTTGTTTTGTTTTGTTTTGTTTTTAAAGGAAACTTCCAGAAAGGCTATTTAAAGTCACATAAATGTAAAAATCTTATTTCAAAATTATTATTAATTATGACATTTTGGAGATATCGCTTATTTAGAACTAAAACTGAGCCATTTTAACTTTAATATTTTTAACTGAATGTGTCATGTTTCTAGAAATGTCTGCTATGTTTCTTTTTTCTTTCTTTCTTTCTTTTTGTTAATCCTTACCCTAGGATATTTTTTCCCATTGATTTTATTTTATTTATTTTTTACTTGGTTGAATTTTGTATTTTAACAGTACCCAGTGAAATTATCCTTTAAAAGTAAAAGGAGAGCCCTAGCCAGTTTGTCTCAGTGGATAGAGCGTCGGCCCTCTAACTGAAGGGTTCCGGGTTGGATTCTGGTCAAGGGTACAAACCTCAGTTGCAGGCCCAATCCCTGCGCAATGTGTCTCTCTCACATCTCTGTTTCTCTCGGATTTTCCATTGAGTGGATAGAAGTGAGAGGGGAGGGGGGTAGAGAGAAAGAAACATCGATGTGAGGGAGACACATCGATTGGTTGCCTCCCACACTCACCCTAACCAGGATCAGGAATTGAACCTGCAACCAAGGTACGTGTGCTTGACCAGGAATCAAATCCGAGACCTTTCCATGTGCAAGCCGATGCTCTAACCATTGAGCCACGTTGGTCGGGGCTGTCTGCTATGTTTTAGTCTAAATCAGTTACATCTCATTGTTTCCCACGTTTTGTCCTTTTCCTCCTTTTCCCAGTCTCTACCTCTCCCAGGTGATGCACTCTATCTTGTATACACTGCCAAGTCCAAACTCTTATTGTCAGACCTCTCTGCTGAGCACCGTGTTAGTTGAGACCCCCTGTTGAGAGCCATGGAAACTCACTCAAGCTGGCTTAAGCAGAAAAGATACAATTGCAAGGATCCCACAAAATCTCAGGAATGGGCATGAACAGAAAGAAGACTATGCGAGGGCTGTTTTTATTCTGTGGGCTCTATTGCTCTACAGGCAGCTGCCTTTTTTTTTTTTTTTTTTTTTTTTGTCTGAAGACTGATTTCCTCTCCTCCTCCAGTCTATATGCCAGAAAGAGTGACCTTCACTATTTCAGAATCTTATAGGACTAGTCATCCCGGGGAGGGGGAAGGCTGAGGTGAGGAAAAAGGGAGCAAAGGAACAAAACTAAAAACAAAACTAAGCTAAATTTAATTCTCTCTTTGGATTCAAACTCCAAGCGGGGGGCTCTGCTTCAGTCAGGCATTGTCCAGGAACTGTGGCCAGATGGGCAAGATGATACCAGGGCAACAGCTGTCGGGCAAATAATCTGCATGTAAGAAGTGCTAATTGATAGAGTGAATGAATCGAATGAATGAATGTGCTGACCTAGGTTAGGCTCTTGTGAGTCAAAATACCACAATAATGTTTTTGTGGTTATGATTTTTTAAATAGTCCTTTTTTTTTTTTAAAGAAAAATACTACTATATATGGATAAAATGACAAACTCTGAGACTTCCTTCAAAATAATTTAGTGAAAGCATGATAAAGGAACAGTGCTTTTCTATATGCTTTTATAGAGAGAAGCATCTAAAACAGGGGTTCTCAACCTTCCTAATGCCGCGACCCTTTAATACAGTTCTTCATGTTGTGGTGACCCCCAATTTCATTGTTACAAATTGAACATAATTAAAGCATAGTGATTAATCACAAAAACAATATGTAATTATATATGTGTTTTCCGATGGTCTTAGGCGACCCCTGTGAAAGGGTCGTTCAACCCCCAAAGGGGTTGCGACCCACAGGTTGAGAACCGCTGATCTAAAACAAGATTGGCTATGAGTTGATTGCTGAAACTGGATGATAGGTGCATGAGGTTCACAGTCTGTTGTCTTTACTTTTGTATTTGTTTGAAATTTCCTAGAATAGAGTTTTTAATCATAAAAACAGAATTGTATTTAGTAGAGTTAAAGAGCCTTATAAATTAGCTTATAAATTAAATTAATTTTGTGCCAGTCTCAGCATTATCACATTTGAATAATGAGGTTTTTGTTTTAGCCAGCTCTGTTCTTTATTTCATCTGAAGGGTAATTTCAGCAGATGCCCAATATGAACAAGCACATAAATGTACCTTTTACCCAAAATGTATGGGTATGAATTAGTTTTTAGCTAGGGTGCCTAGAGACATCGAGTTTCTCCTAGTACTGCCCAGCATATAGTAGGTTCTTAGTAAATATTTTTTTGAACAGGTGTCCCTTAGCAGTCACAAACCAAAAGGGACCCTTGTCTGTTGAGCTGTTTTCTTAAAATTTGTTTAAGAAATCTTGTTTGTTTGTTTTTTGCTGTACGTTTTTCCATCATTTGAATTTTGCTGATTGTATCACCGTAGTATAATTTTTTAGATAAATGAAGACTGCTCCAGGCTCACGTAGCCACCTGAGGTCTAAGGGAATCAATATTATGGCACATCACATCTCTAACACACCTTGGCAAACCAGTGTAGAATTGTATATACCAAATGTCAGGAGAAGATAGATAAAATGTTGGAAATTATTATTACTTTGGTTACCCCCTGTTTAAGCATCTGTTTCAAAGCAGTTAAGAAAGTCTTGATAAATCTAGGTGAAACATTTTTAAACCATTAAGTAGTCTTTTTTAACTTATTAATCTATTGATCTACTAATGCCAGCTTATTAATTACTTGATTAGAAATGAAAGTCTCTGAACGACTTGTCTTCTAGCAGTCAAGAATGAGATAGAGTAACTATTTTTACTTAATGCTTTATAAAATGTATTTGCTGACTTCTTAAATGAAATATGCTTCACTTGTAAATTACAATTATGAAGAAACCATGACATTGTCTTGAAACATTTAAAGCATTTCTAAGGGTAGATAAAACCATTTAGAGCATTTTTAAAAGTGGCTGACATTTATTTCTTCCTCAAATATTACAGTTAAATTTAGGTGGGTAGGATAATTTTTTCAGGTTTTTTTTTAATGCACAAAATCAAAATTTGCTATTAGAAATTATTTGCCACAGTGTTGTGTGGGCAGGGCACACCAAGAAAAATTTTACATTATTTCTGTTCCCCTCAGGCAAGCCTAAAGCTCATTACCAGATAAGAAGGCGGCATAGAGTTGATTCTCAACCAGATATTTCTAGAACATAAGTTGAGGCATCATCTTCAGCCATAGATTCCATGCAGAGAGGTGGGCAGACAGTATAGGGAGCTGTGAGTACAGATACCCTATGTTGGCTAAGGAATTTGTTGATCAGAGGAGACATTCTCCATCCTATTGGTTTCTCTTGGAGGAAAGAGGGTACTTAGTTTGAAGTATAAATGGAGGATTTCTTTTGGGGGGTTTCTGTGGTTGGGAGCCGCTCTCCTAGGGTTCGGTGGGGTTTGCTGGATCATTGGCATCCCCATGGCCTGTTTGCACTTGGTAAGGCTTCTTTTTCACCCTCTAAAGGACACATCTCCAGTGCATTTCTCTTTCTATGGGGGTGGGGATGGGCGGCAGGCATGGTGAAACTGTTTACCTCATCTTGCTGCTCATGTAGCTCTGAGGAGCCTTGGAGATCTGTCTGCTCAGGCGGGGGTCTCTTTTAAGAGGAGTTTTCATAAATAAATCTACCTCTCTTCTAATACTTTAAAATGTTATAACTTCTTAAAGTTGTAAGAATAGTAGATGATTTTATAATGGCCTATAGCTCAGAATCTTACCCTGTTAATTTGGAAAGAATGAGGTTGGTATTCAGCACTTCTTTGAAGCAGAGCATATTACTTATTAGCTGCATTGCTTGATTTTTCACAGAATGGTACATCTTCATTTAAATCATAAGCTGAATTGTATGACCATGAAACCTACCAGTGTTCCCTCAATAGCATGGTAATAATTTTTGTAAGAAAAAAAACAAGTGGTAACAAAAATTATTTCCATTGTAGGAACAGAAAAGGAAGATAATACCAAAACAAAATTCCAGAATATATGAAGTCATTATGACTGAAAATCGTGTATTACACACGTACTTCATATTTTTAATTTTATTATAATAATTGGTCTTTCCTGTCATCCCCACAGGCATGTTACAAAGATAAATACAGTCTCCACTCTCATTATTTTTAACCACAGAAATGTAAACTGTTGATGTGTTAGCATTTAGGGACTAGAAAGCTGCAAAAAAAGGAGTTTTCTGTATCTTTTGGAAAACAGTATTGCGTTATAAGTGGAATTAGAACTAGTGAATGGAAACAGAGTGTTCACATAGCCGTGTGCAGTCCTGAAGCTGTTGGTGCAGGTGGAGAGCAGTGCTGGATAAAGGGGGAAATCAAAGTGTACATACAGAGTATTCACATTTTGCCAACTTCTGTTCCCCTAAAAACCCCAGTCTTTTCTTTGGATAATATTTCTCAGAATTCAGAACTCATTCTTTCCTTTCAGAAAACTGAGGACTGGGAGAAAAATAAGACTGAAGCAGACATGGAAGAGTATATATGGACAAATAGCTCCTCAGAAAAAAATATCCTGGAAACACTTCTCCAAATTAAAGCCGCAGAGAAAAACCTGGACGTAACTAAAGAAGAGCTCCTTGGCACTAAAGAGATTGAAGATTACAAAAAGTGTGTTGTTAGTCTTAAGAACGAAGGGGACAGTGAAAATACTCTTTCTCAGTACAAAGACTCAGTGAAGAGACTATTAAATTTGACATGAATTATGTAGAAAAATATGTTGGTTTATTTTATGACCTATATGTAATTATCTAATTTGATATAAAGTTGAAAATGTTAAAAAATATTGTTTTACTTTCGAGTTAAAATTATTCCTTTCATACTAATGCACAAAAGGCAATGAATATTCACAAATTTTCTTACTATACTCTGGGGCAATTAGACTCATTAGATCTCTGATTTCTTCTGGTTCTAACATGTTTTGATTTTACTTCTGTTATAACAACTTTAGAATTTAAATGCAGATGATATATTTATTTTGTCACCTGTTACATTGTTTCCCTACACAGTAGCACTTATTGGATGCTTCTGAATTGTAATTGTGATTATTTCAGAAGTGAGGTCTAGAACCGGGCCCCACTGCAGCTCAGTGTTTTGTTTACATAACTGCTGTCCACCCAATGCATTTTTGCAGATGTCAGTTCTGATTAGAATCAGGTCCTTGGGAGTATTTTCTAACCTAAAAAATTGGTTCCATCCCTCTATTTTGGGGTCACTTTATATTGATTCATTTCTGTTTAGTATCTTACTTTCTATTTCCTGGGCCTCATTTCTCCAAATCCAACCTGAAAATGGAGATTAACTGGTATTCATTGCTTGATTCCCCAGGGAGAGCTTCCACAGCTCAGGAAAGAGATGAGGCATAAGGAGTGTAAGTGGAGTAAATGACCGGTCACCCATCCCCCTCCTGCCCCCCCCCCCCTCCCTCCAGGAAGCCAGGACCAAGCAATGCTCACCACACAGGGAGGGCCTGGGACTTCCTGCAGAGCCTTGCTCACTTGAGCAATGCCCTAAGAAGCATTCCATTCCATTTAGCTGTCAACTCAGGATTTTTAAGTATATCTGGAGGTCATTTCTTAACACTTCCAAAGTTGTCCACAAGTGATTAACTTAAAATAAAAATAAAGGCATTATTGAGTTTCTTTACCTAAGACTTGTTTTAGAGGACAGAATTAGAGGACATAAATGAAAGCCAAAAGGAATTTCAAAACAGTTGCCCAAAAGATGTATATAAAATGAAGGTATGATTTGGTATTAGCAAGCCCAAGAGTTGGTAGGTTAGAAAGGACAACAATACGGCTTTGAGTGCAAAAAGGAGAGAGGTATGTTGTATTTCATTGGATGAAAATAATGAAAAGCAAAGTAGATAAAACTGAATTTTTAGATCAGGTTTCAAGCATACATGAGTGCATTGAAATGTTATATTTTTAGAGACTCAGAGTTAGGAAAACTCAGCTGCAGAAACAGGACTGAAGAAGGAAACATTTGGAAGGAACATGTGAAGAGGTGGTGGATTAGGATCATCGGTCCTATAGTAATAGTACAGTGCAGGTGTCAGCAGGGGCAGAAATGATCTATAATAATAAAAGCGTAATATGCTAATTAGACCAGACGTCCTTCCAGACGAAGCCGGGGCTGCGAGGGAAGCCTGGGTCCCGGGTGCCTGCTGGTGGCCAGAGGGAAGCAAGCCCAGGTCCTGGGTGCTAGAGGGAAGCTGGTGCTGGCAGCCAGGGGAAGGAAGGCCTACTCTTGCACGAATTTCATGCATTGGGCCTCTAGTGTGTAATAAAGAGTTTGACCTTTCCCAAAGGTCTGGCTTCTCCCTGTAGCTTCTGGGAGGTAATCTATGCCATACCTCATAGAAGTGTCTTTGTTTAACGCTGAGCTGCTCACAATGAATTTTAGGGTGGGGCTGGCCACACCTGATAGTCTTAGGCATGTCAGAAAAACCAACCATGTTATTTTGGGTGGGGGCTTTGAGTCATCTGGTAAATCAGTGCACCTGGCAACTGAGATCAACCACAGGTAGTCAGTCAATCATACCTATGTAATGGAGCCTCAATAAAAACTTTAAACATGAGGCTCAGGCAAGCTTTCCTGCTTGGCAATACTCTGGGCATGTCAGACCCTGGAACAGGGTGAGGAATCCATCCTGCCTCCAGGGGTAGAGGACACCAGAAGCTGTGAGTTTTTTTGTTTTTTGTTTTTAAATTCTTTATTGTTTAAAGTATGACATGAGTCTCCTTTTTCCCCCCATTGACCTCTCCCCTGCCACCTCCTCCCCCAAGCACAAGACCTCACCCCCCCCCTACTGTCTGTGTCCATTGGTTTTGCTTATATGCATGCATACAAGTCCTTTGGTTGATCTCTTACCCCTTCACCCCCCACTTTCCCTCATAAGTTGGACAGTCTGTTCCATGCTTCTATGTCTCTGGTTCTATTTTTGTTCATCAGTTTATGTTATTCACTATATCCCACAAATGAGTGAAATCATGTGATAGTTATGTTTCTCTGACTGGCTTATTTCACTTAGTATAATACTCTCTAGTTCAGGGGTGGGCAGCCTTTTTGTGAGTGCGTGCCAAAACCAGCAAAATCTCTGACTCAAAATTCTTCTGCGTGCCAACCCTAATTTTTTGAGAACATGTTACGCCTACTTGATATCTCTTAAGGTGTACGTATGTGAAGAACCTTGAAGAAATAATAAAATTCATCCGAGCGACAAAAACACAGTATATGATGATGAAAAATACATTTATTTTTTAATGTATACATGTACACTGACAGTCCGACAGAAAACTTTATGACTCCGTTTGATATTATCAGTGGGACTTTTGCTGCTGCATCACTGATGACAGAGATTTTACATCAGGTTTAGATTTCGTGACCTTCAGAGATATGCACGAGCTACTACTTTTCTTCCGTCAGGCTACTCCTATTATGAGACTTAACAAAATTCATCACTGAGAACAAAGATTCACAAGTGTATGTGGATGAAACCCAAACACTGGTTGGATCTAGGAAGGCAGGGAGAGTTAAGGCAAAGGCATAGAAATTGCTCTTCCCCTCTCTCGTCAATCCATGTCTATGGTCTTTAAGATAACTTATTATGTAAAATTATTTATTTATCTAAGATGCACCTACACTGAGTTTATCTGAAAAATAAAAAAGTCGATATTAAGAAAAAAATTGTAAATGGAAGATTATAAGAGAGGGTTTCACGTGCCAGCAAAAGTTTCCGGGCGTGCCATGTTTGGCACGCATGCCAGGGGTTGCCCACCCCTGCTCTAGTTCCATCCATGCTGTTGCAAATGGTAAGAACTCCTTTTTTACAGCAGTGTAGTATTCCATTGTGTAGATGTACCACAGTTTTCTAATCCACTCATCTGCTGACACTTAGGCTGTTTCCAAGTCTTAGCTATGGTAAATTGTGCTGCTATAAACATGGGGGTGCATATATCCTTTCTGATTGGTGTTTCTGTTTTCTTGGGATACATTCCTAGAAGTGGGATTACTGGGTCAAATAGAAGTTCCATTTTTAATTTTTTGAGGAAATACCATGCTGTTCTCCACAATGACTACACCAGTCTGCATTCCCACCAGCAGTGCAAGAGGGTTCCTTTTTCTCCGCATCCTCGCCAGCAATTGTCAAGTTTGTTGATTTGTTGATGATAGCCATCCTGACAGGTGTGAGATGGTACCTCATTGTTGTTTTGATTTGCATCTCTCGGATGATTAGTAACTTTGTTCATGTCTTCATATGTCTCTTGGCCTTCTTTATGTCCTCTTTCGAGAAGTGTCTACTTAGGTCCTTTGCCCATTTTTTGATTGTATTGTTTATCTTCCTTTTGTTGTATGAGTTCCCTGTAAATTTTGGAGATTAAACCCTTATTGGAGATAACATTGGCAAATATGTTCTCCCATGCAGTGGGCTTTCTTGTTGTTTTGTTGATGGTTTATTTTGCTGTGCAAGAGCTTTTTATTTTGATGTAGCCCCATTTGTTTATTTTCTCCTTAGTTTCCATTGCCCTAGGAGCTGTATCAGTAAAGATATTGCTATGACATATGTCTGCTATTTTGCTGCCTATGGAGTCTTCTAAGATTTTTATGGTTTCCCATCTTACTTTAAGTTCTTTATCCATTTTGAATTTATTTTTGTGTATGGTGTAAGTTGGTGTTCTAGCTTCATTTTTTTGCATGTATCTGTCCAATTTTCCCAGCACCATTTATTGAAGAGACTGTCCTTGACTCCATTGTATGCTTTTGCCTCTTTTGTCAAATATTAATTGAGCATAGTGGCTTTGGTTGATCTCTGGGGAAGCTGTGAGTTTTGAATCTTTCTGGACTTCATCCTATGAGCTTCTCCCTTGGCTGATTTTAATCTGTATACTTTCCCTGTAATAAACCACAACTGTGAGTATGACAGCTCTCATTGAGTTCTGTGAATTCTAGTAAGTTATTGAACCTGAGGGGGTGGTTTGGGAACCCCTGCCCTACCTGGAATTTAGAGTTGGTGTCAGAAGTGAGGATGGTCTTGTACAGGACTGTGACCTTGAACCTTTGCAGTTTGGCTAACTGACCTGAAGGCTCTCGGACTGAGGCTTGACCCTAGGATTACAAACTCTTAGAGCTGTAAGATTAATACAAAACCGCCTCTGAAGATAACAGCCACCGTCATTGTAATTTTAACCATAATTAAACAGCACTGTTTGTCAATTAGATCCTTGTCCTTTAAACTATTAAGTGGCCCAATATATACAGTGAACATTACCGTATTCATCCTTATAATGAGGAAGGATTCTAGGGGACGCTACTGGTGTTGATCTGCAATCATTTCTGAGTTCAAACTCTTAAGAAGTTGCTTAAACATGTAGGCAAAAAAATAAAACTTGTCTTCTTAATGATAGGGTGCTTTATTTCTTTCTTGGCGTATATTCTTTCCAATATTGGTCAGTATTTCATAATAATGGACAATTACAGACTTAAACCCATACCAAAACTGACTACCTACAATGTTGGAGAGATTTCAGTATTGTGGTTATTTCCCAGATGGGTATAACAACCTTCACCGTAGTTGTTGACTTGGCCCTGACATCTTTGTTTCTTAATGGTTTAAGTTCTATTCAGGAGCGCTCTTTGGTCCCTTTGACTTTCATTAGGACGTGGCTTCCAGGCCTGGCTGTGTTTGATGCTTCTTGGCTGCCTCTAGCCTGGTTGCTTCTCCAGTCTAAGTTTACTCTGTCTATCTGATGGTCAAAGTTAGGGGCTGAAGAAGAGGAGTGTGAGTTTGTTTTCTTACAAAGGTAAAATATATTTTCCCCAAGTTGTGGTTATTTCTCTAAAACTATCAATTTTTAAGGAATGAGT